GATGCGATATGAACTCCCGCAAGCAATTGATTGACCATTTTTACACCACTATGGAACATCAAATAAACAAGTAACAAAGCAAGTGAAAATTTCCATGTCAGTAAAGAAAGGATCGTGATGTTAATAACAAAAGATAAAACAAATTACCTTCCTGCCCCACAACCTCCTTGAATCACGTAGAGCTTCTCACTTAATGCTGCTCAAAAATAATATAATCAGGCACATCCAGGTTATGATGTGAACAAGAACTATATCACCAGAAAAATGAAAATGAAATCGTCACCTGATAACACAAGTCCCGCAGACTTAAGTGCTTCATCGGTACCTGAAGCCATTATCTGAAAAACTATATAACTTCAGCTTCCTTACAGACGCATTAAATAGGTTTCTAGACTTCATACCGTAAGTTCCCCCATGGCAGCCCTCTTGACACCACCAGAAACAGGAGCATCCACCAGCTTTAGGTCCTTTCCCTCATCTGCAAGATTACCAAAAAAAGAATAAATTATAGAACTCAATCAAGTGACAGTAAAAGATAATGAGGGAAGTGAGAATTAATCAGCGGGGCATATGACCAACCAGAATGAACAGTATTTACTGTAGCCCGTTACTGAAAACACTTTGTAAGGATTTTCCTCTATCATCAAGCAAAGAAAAAAACTTACTTTCTAGACGCCTTTCAAGTTGGCTAACAAACGCGGGAGAGACTGTTGACGCAAGTACAACAGTCGCTCCAGATGGAATAGCTGAAATATTTGAAAGAAAAGATAGGAAAGTCAGCTCTAACCTCCAGTGCTAAAAGCTAGGGTATAGAGAGATACCTTCAACCGCTCCAAGATGTCCATACAAGACATCCTCAGCCTGAACCTCGTTTGTTACCATAATTACAAGAACATCTACATCTGTAGGAGCAGATACAAATTGTAAGTATTATTTTTGGGGTAAATGACTGGATTTTAGGGGAAAAGGCAGATATTCATCTCAAAAGAGCTGGGAGCTACATGACACAGCTACACTGTAATTATCTGCTTTCGAGGAGTACCTTTCGTCACTTCAGCTGGAGAATTTGCCACCAATCCCCCGGCATTCTCAAATCTGACAAGTGTTGGCTTGTATACCTGCAATTCAAATCATTTCAACATTTCATTTCAAAATGTTGCATGTTTACTGCTTAAGAGTGATAAAACAGTGTTTCTCTTTGAATTTAAGTCACCTATTAGCAAATCCTACATTTATAATAATCTGACGAGCTAATGCGAATACATGAGTAAATTAACAATTATATGAAAAAGGCACCCAAAGCATAACATTCACGGAGCTAACAGCCAAAAGTAAGGCAATCTATGAATGCACTACAGCCAAAAGTCTAGATTGAGGCAAACCATGTGCCCCTGTAAACACAGTGTTAACTTACTCTTATACATATATACCACCGACTCATATAACCAATTAAAACCAACTAACACAATCATCCTGAACATGTATATCATAGACTCCCTATACCATTTCTAGTGGAGACTGGAGGGTTAATCAAAGGCTTACGTCATAACCGCGGACAGAAAAATTTGATTTCAACAGGTGTGCTGCCATGCCAAAACCCATTGCTCCAAGACCAATAAAACCAACTCTATTCACAGGCTTTGCTTGAGAAGTAATTTCTTTGGCCAAATCCTCTGGCTTATAAAGTTCTCTATTGGCTGCTTCTAATATGCCAACACCAAGTACTTTTTCCCAGATCTGCTTAATCATTAGGTGAACCTTTCATTAGAGAGTCATGCGTCATGTAAATGGTCTATGACAGTAGTTTTCCATTCAGTTACAATTTCCACAAGTTTCCAAAGAACTAGAAAACAGATGGAGAAAACTTTATTAGGGACCTTAGCCAATGAAGTAGCTGTATCATCTCCCTGCATCTGTGATATTCCTGGAGAAGGGAAAGTTATGCATAGAAATAAATAAGTGGAAAGAGGTTGTTATCATTGTCCCGGACATGAGATCATATTGATTTATACCGGAGATTAGTTGTTGGCGTGCAACTGCCAAAAGTGGGACAGGAAATGGGAGCGATTTGGCTTTATCTTCAACAATGCCCTTGCCATCAGAAAGTCAGTTAGAGTCTCATTAGTTACATATGCTAAACATCAAGACTTAATCACAGTGAAGAAATAAAATAAATTGGAGCTAAATTATGTATTTCTCTCTTTCCTATTTTCCTTTGAACCGAAAGAACGACAACGATAAAATATCACTTTCTATTTGATGTATCATAATACCAAATTTTGAGCGAGAACATTGAGGAAGCGACCCTCTATATCATCTTTTAGCAACAAAGGAATATGATTCTTGTAAATCCTGAAAACAAAATATACACAAGACAATTTATTTTTGTGACAGCCATGATCAGAATATGGGCATGTCAATTTGGCATATCTTCAATGGGCCTAAATGAGAAGCTAAAACAAAATCTATTTTTCTTCCAGTTAGATTTGGTAAACAGGAAACCATGCTATAGTTACAACTTACTTGCAATAGTTTATTCTCAAAACTTCCAGAATTAGACTATTCAGCTTATTCTTTTTCCGTTCTCTAAATGTGTGTTATTAAAGATCTACTAATACATGAAATGTTGTCAAACCTGTGATTACTAACAGTCCTACTATGAGAGACCTTTTTGATACTCATAACAAAAGGAAAGTCGTAGTAGCATAAAGCATACCATGAATTTCCAGCAGCATTGGAAATTATGTCATACAGTATCCACGGATGCACACCCGCCTGAGAACCTAAAGATATAGCCTCCACAGCAGCAACAAGATGAATGCCCTCAAGCAGCTCATTCACCATTTTAACTTTACTGGTTCAGAAAAAAAACAATGACATCAATTGGTTTTCTGTAATGCAGGGGAACAGTTAGAATAGTCAAAGGTGTTTTTTACGCATATTACGACCAAATATCTCATAGATTTCATGACATTAAATTCGGTAAACAACTTGAGCATTATAATTGATATGAATCGCGACGAGGAAATAGGCAGACAAACTCTTAGAAGTTGTAGTGACCACGAGAAGGTAATTCTGGAAAGTTCCATACCTTCCAGCACCAATTTCTCCATCAAAAGTGTACAGCTTCTGACACATTGCTGAATGAAACAAAGAGATTTTCTCAGTAACAAAATTAAAATTCAGAACGTCTACATCTTGAGCGGGTCTATACACTAGAGTTAAGTTTTACCAGTAAGAAAGGGTTGTGCTCTTGTGATCGAATCTGACCTTCCAGATGCTATTATCTTATAAGTTGAAAAGGAAAAGGTTACTACAAGTATGGTGACACGCAACTTTTAACAATGAATGGAGATCAGCTAGCACAATAGTAGTCCACCAGCATAACAAACTTAGCAAGACAAGAGAGTATATACCATTAGTTTTCCATCAAGAAGCTCAGACATCCCTTTTAAAACATAGGCATCAACTACAAAAATCTGCTCTCTGTTCTCTGCAGTGGAAACAAATCCCATTTTCAGTTCATGACTGAAAAGCGCAAACTTCAAAATACGGTGTAGAAAGGAAAACCATGCCTCAAAGTATCAAATTGAAACCTGTAAGTTGTTTCTCTAGCTTCTGGAGTTGCAAAGTCGATATTGTCGAAGACAAAAGCAATACAGTGTCCTTCTGTAGACCTGCGAAGAACAATAATTCTGAGAAAAATTTCATAAAATATGAGCTAAAGAATCTTCGGGAGTACCTTTCATAACACCCTCATCACCAAAAATGACATCTTGAACTTGGTCAGGGTGGGATAGTAAAACCACCACGGCTGCTGCACCTGCTTAATTAAGAACAAAGACACAAGAGAGAGGAAGCAAGGTAAATATCATGACACAAGACAGTATCAAAAGTAAAGAGAGTCATAAAACAAGGTAGCAACAGAACACACAAGAAGACGGTTTGCATGTACAGAGGCTAGTGCTGGATATAAAATCAAATGCTCGATAAACCGTAAAAAATGTGCATCTTTGCCTTAGAATTTGAACTCATATCCATGTATGTTAGTGTTTCAAATTCCTTAGAATACACTCAGAGACTGCTATACCTTTCCCAACATCAGCAGGGCTGTCACATTTGTGTCCTCCCAATTCAGTGAACTTCTCCACTAATTCTGTACTTATCTGTCGAATTAGATACAACAATTTAGCTTTCCTCCTTATTTTTTCCAACAAAAATTCCAAACTACTAATCAAATCAATTTCACGTCTGTAGAGAAGATTGATATAAACGTGTAAAACAGCTGAAATCCCGAGAGATAGACTGAGTATTTCGAAATTACTACAGAACCCACAAATTTCACATGTTTGGTTCCGAATAATTTAAACCGATCCACATGATTTTTCCAGAACATGCCGATCCAACAAAAAAAAAAAAAAAAAAAGCCGAAGCAACAGACCTCGAATGCTTGAACCTTAAACCCAGAACGAAGAAGCGAAGAAGCTAATTCGAAGCTGTAAGAATCAAGACCAACAAACCCAACGACGCCACCCATCTTCTCCGATCACTACGATTCTCCGTTTCCTCCGATGTAATTAATATACAGTCAACCAACCAATTTCATACGCATCTCTCTGTCTCTGTCTCCATATATATGAAACTATATATTTAACAAATTGAGATTAATGTAACGTTACATCGTGTAGGCTCTTACGTGGAAATCCATATCCAAAAGCCTTTAGCCTTTTAACTTATCTGCTAAAAGCAAAAACTTTCTTTAGCAAATACATCATTATACATATTTATAAAAAAAAAATTGAGAATAATTTGTATTGTTGTTAGGTGAGAAAACTACAAGAAAACATAGTATATGGTATCATTCCATTTAAGGTTCCATATCATTCCACTTTCTATATGAACGAACATCTAAACTCTTAAAATTGGCCACTCTTGTAATAACGATATTCTAGATTAATTTTGGATTAACTAATTAAGCAAAGTCAAAATCTTCACTAATCCAGAGCTTAGTCTTCGTTCCAATGCATAATGATAGGATCAGAAACTGATTATCTCGAAAAATCAGGCTGGATTAAATTCATAACCCAAAAATTATAACCGCCGTGTGTACATATAAATAATCACATGTGTTTACAACTTTTACATCTTACCACCAACAACTAAAGATAGAAAGAACATATATAAAGAGATATTACCGCTTGAGAAATGGAGACTGTTAGATTCGCCGTCGCCGTCGCCGTCGTTCTTGTATTTTGCGCCGTTACGTCGTCTAATGCACAGACTACACCACCGAGTGGCGGTGCAGGAGGAGACGCACACTCACTGCCGTGTATTCAGAAACTGATGCCGTGTCAGCCGTATCTTCACTTGGTGACTCCGCCGCCGGCGTCGTGTTGCATGCCGTTGAATGAGATCGTAGCCAAAGACGCGACGTGTCTCTGCGCCGTCTTCAACAACGTCGATATGCTCAAATCGCTTAACCTCACTAAAGAAAACGCTCTCGATCTCCCCAAAGCTTGTGGCGCCAAAGCTGACGTGTCACTATGCAAAACCAGCGCCGGTGAATAAATCCCTACTACGACGTCGTTTTTAAGTTTCTTATTTAGCCCAATGCGACGCCGTTTTTATTTCTTATCTAGCCTAATAATTAATGCGACATTATTTTCTGTTGGTTTTGTGTTAACGAAGGAACTAATTCGTCTTCAACACCGCCGGCAACCCCCAAAACTCCTCCAGCATCTTCCACCAGTACCGGTACGAATACATAAAAGTTTAAAATATTTGAAATTTAAATCTATTTGTGAGGGTTTTACGGGAAATATATTTTTTGTGGTATAAAACTAAGTTTTAAAAATTGTGGATTATTTATGTAATTTTATTTTTAAAACGACAGGAACAGGAAGCGGTTCAACCGGAGATGCAGCTTCTTCGACGGCCAAACCAACAAGCTCAGCTCCGGCCATCAACTTCGGTGGACTTAGCTTTGCATCGGCTGTCGTGGCAACACTCTTCTTCTGATCTACTATATTTATTTTACGTACGTCTTTATCGGCTAGGCTTTCATTTGTTGGAAATTAATCAGACGATGTTCGGTAACGTTCTTATTTCAACTAAAGGTTATAACTGATGTACTATGAAATTCAAATAATAGTAATAACTTCCAACAACGCTTTACCAACATTTTGTCTAAACAAATGTCCAAATGTTCAAATCTTCTTATCATGGATTTTAGTTTTCATTTTGTTGTCTTCTTATAAAATCTAGTGAATTAGATGAAAGGAGATAGATATGATGAAATTAGTTAAGATAGACGGACATAAATCCAATTATAACCATTATTTTGTATAAACAATTTATTCCACATATTTATAAGTTTATATACAAAATAATCTTAAGAGCTTTTTCAAATTCTTCCAATCATATTTATATTAAAACAAAAAGGATACCCGCCAGTGAAATTTGTAGAAGTTTAATTGTAAACTTAAATCCAAATTACAAAAAATAAAACCAAACTGAACCAAGAGCATATGTAGTTTTAAAAGAAAAAAAAAAAAAAAAAACAAACATGACTCTTTCTTGATGGGCAAAAAACACTAGATAAGGCCATCAAAATTTAACTTGGACTGCATCACGGATCAACATAGGCCATGATTGACCATCACCTTCACGCCTGCAACCTTCTCTCCAGCGGTTCAAGTACGAGGTGGGAAATGCTTATGGCTCATCAATGTTACTGTTGCTTTGACTTCTCTTGGGAAGAGGACATCGTAGAAAGTTGGTGGTCTTTTCTCGGAAAAACGGTCTATTTCCCCACGAGAAGTATCACATCATAACAGATATAGCCCATTCTTTGACCACGGTCCATATCTCTTTGAAATCAAAGTTCTCTTCCTATTTCTCTCTGAATCGAAAGTTTTAATGCTAAATGTCCCCGATTCAAAAGTTCGAGAGCTAAAACCCCACGGAACTGGGTTTAATCGGTTTACTGTATACAAAACCGATAAACAAACCAACTAAACCTAATTATAACCGGAGTAAACCTGATTTTACCCGTTGACATAATAATTTGGTCAGATCAAAACTATATCAAGCATGAAACCGATTAGTTTCATAGAGCTCAAACCCAATCGTAAACAACAAACAGAGCCACATCTCACAAACAATGGTAGACACAAATATGTCCGTAATTAACAAATCAAATCAACCCAAAGGTAGATCTTGATGATTCAAATCAAAATCTAAAGCTTGTGGAAGGATCCAAATCCGATTACGTTCTGGGATTTGTGCTAATTTCTCTGTTTCTTGTTCAATTAACAGAGGATGGAGAATGGGTTCTGGGTGTTCGTCGATATGGCTAGCGGAAGATGGAGGAATCTTAAGGAAATGACAGAGAAAACTCAATGAAGATGATGATTGTTGAATACATAAAAGATTTCATTTTTTTTTTTTGGTTTCTTCATTTTTGCAGAAAGTTTAAGAAATAACTGATTGATAATAATACTTAGACGAGTTAATAACCCTTCATTTGTTTTAATCTTTCTCCTAAATTTTGTAATCTTTGATTTGTTATCTTGGAAAAAGATAAACAAAGAGTTTGTAACTTTCAAGCAATTTCTTCTCTTTACGACTATTTCGATTTTCTCCAAGATCCCAATCGTAGGACACACTTCTTATCATTGGAATAGAGAACAATGTAATCTAGCTATTTACAACCTAAACGTAGTGGAAACTTAGAGAAGAAAATTCAGGTTGAGTCAACTTGAAGCTTGATTGACATGTAGAGGAGGGTGAGAAGAGCTCCTTGTGGAAGAGGAGCATGTCTAGCTAAATTGGAGCCAACCCACATTGCCACTACCATAAGAACCACCACGCTGCTGCTTGCTTTTCCACAGAGCCAGCTTGCAAATTTTGCTGGAGAGGTGATTATACGAAAGAGATGATTATTAGCCAAGTTGAGCTCATTTAGATTCCTCCAACCACGAATGCCTCTAGGAATTTCGCCGAAGATTTGATTCCTACTAAGATCAAGCCTGCTCAATTACTTCAATTTCACCAAGCTTCCAGGAATCTCACCGGTGAAATCATTCTCCGCTCCGGAAATCTCGATCAGTCCTTTAAGCGATCTGATTTCGTTGGAAATTGATCTTTTGAGATTCGTAGGTTCGATAGATTCTTCGCACCAGAACCCGTCTGGGATTTGACATGAAAGCTTGTTGTTAATCAATCCAACCCAAGTCAAGCTCTTGCATTTCCGAGATTAGTGGAGATTTCTCTGTAGAACAAATTTTCTATTTACAATAAATTTATGCAATGGGATTTTGTAATTTTGATATCAAATTTTATCAAAATTGTTTGAAGAATCGGGTGAAGAAGAAGATGATATCCGATCAGATCATTTACGGGTCAGTCATATTTTAATTCAGTTTAGAATCAAATTTTAGTGGTTTGGTATTCAGTTTACTTTGGTTTTAAAGTGCAAACCGATATAATCCAGATCTGGGAACATTTAGCATTAAAACTTTCGATTCGGAGAGAAATAGGAATAGAACTTTGATTTCAAAGAGATATGGACCGTGGTCAAAGAATGGGCTCCATCTGTTATGATACGATACTTCTCATGGGGAAATAGACCGTTTTTCTGGCAAAATAACGTCTTATTCATAGTTTATCTTCTACATAGTCATAAACCTATAAATTAGTGCACCTGAATATATATATGGAATATGATAACAGTAATTAACGTTACAATACAGACCACTATGGTTTACAAACTCCAGTTAAAATGTATATATAACTCTTTAGAATTTAATAGCTGACGTTTTTGGAAGCTAGCTTTTTAGCACCTGTCAAGATATTGACATTGCAACTCCCAGATAATGTAATTATAATAATTCCCTGATTTAAATATGTTGACGATAGCTAATTGAGAGCCCCTTTTCACTTTAGTTCTAGGCTTCTAGCTAGCTAATGGATGTGTTTATATAATAATGTTATCCGAGTGTTTGTGACTCTGTGTTGTAAAATTATCGATATACTAAACCATATGACAGTTCATCAAATGGATTCGATTTCGTTTATTTTAATCTTTAAGATTATGAAGCCAACAAAACAAGCAATAAACAACGAAACAAGTAGAGTCCAAAGTCCAGGGCACTTTACAAATAAAATCACATAACTCGAACTGTTTTAGTCTCCGACAGCGACAAATACATATACGCAAGTAAACATACAGCCACATAAACATATACACACAGAGACATAAACTAAGAGTGTTTAACAAAATTTGATATAGTTTACATAAATCCATCTAATAAAGCCTACTAATTGTACTAATTTGTGTGTTAGTATGTGTATACGTATACATATGCAGTTTATATAATTTTCTTAATCAACTACAATTTATAAATTAAAAATTATAACTTTAATCTATAGAGTAACATGAATTTACCTGTCTACATCTGAATACCAAATCTACAGTATACATGATTATATATGGCATGTTTCCTATAATGCTTTAAGTTTTAATAATATAAAACGTTGATTAAAAAACATACTGTACAAAAATGTGGCAACTACCAAATTTTCCTTTTATTGAATGAATAAATGTATTCAGACAGCTATTGAGCTGTATATATATATGATATATTACTTTGTTTCATGGTACCGACTTATGTTATGTAATCTTTGTTTTTGGCTTTTGGAATTTCTAAGAACAGAGAACTAAAGTTATTATTATAATATCAAAGTATAAAAATGAAAAACAAAAACAAAACGGAGGGAGAAGCCATGTCTAATGATGAGTTAGGTAGCGTCGTGACTCGAGCTCAGCTCAATCGCCCAGCTCTTCACAATCAGACCCATCCTTCGTCCATGTGCGTTTTTCTTCTCTCTACTCTACTCTATCGTATTAATTCACATTATAGACTTTAATCACATTATGTCTCAATCAAGTTTGAAAAAAAAAAAAAATTTACACAATTTTTATATATGAGTTATGACAATAGTTAAATCATAATTTTGTATAGTATGTTGATTACCATTTTTTGTTGGCATTGTACTGACTCCCATTTATAACTGTCGAAGTAAAAAAAGTCAAATCTAATTTTCTGCTTTCTCTTATCGCATTGATTCATGCTGTTTTGCCGAATAAAAACATTTAGTTCTAAATGACCTTTGTCACAACAAAAAGTCACACTTAGATATACATTTTATATTTGTAATCTTTTTGTTTTGTTCGGTAGAACGAAACATAAAACAAATAAGCTGGTCTTATAAGGAATGAATCTGATTAATTATCGAGTTTGACTTGATGATTATATGAAAATTAATTATGTAGCGGCCATATATATATGTGAATTAATGAATTAGTGTTCGTGAAACGAAAACCTTACTTTTTGTAGTTTAATAAGAAATTATATCTATCAGATAAAGTCCCCCAATAAAGTTAATTAGAAACGACAACTATATTACGAAGAGAAAGAAGATAGACACAGTTGTACACAAACAGCTAACAAAATTAATTAGTAATACTTAATCATCACTTAATCCCTATACTAATACAAGTATATATATATATATATATATATATATAAACATAATTATAAAGCCAGCCCATTTTCTATAAACGTCTCTCTCTCTGTGTTTCTCTTTCGTTCTCTCGTTCTTCTACTCGGATCACAATAATGGGAAACACATCTTCATGCGCACCGTTGATCATATCAACAAACTCATCCTCAGGAGTAGTCAAAATCTTGGCTCCATTCACCGGAACTCTCGAAGTTTTCCCAAAACCCATCAAAACCTCCGACATCGTCTCTAGACGCTCCGGCCACTTTATCACCGACTCAACTTTACTCCAAATCGGCCAACGAGTCACCGCCGTATCTCCCAACGAGTTTTTACGGCCGAGACGACATCTCTACCTCCTCCTCCCGACCGACATGCTCTTCTCTGTCTTAACACATGAAGAACTCGCTCTCATCTCCGACAAAGCCGCGGAGACACTCAACGAAAGCCGGTATAGCCATTTGAAGAGAATATTCCCTGTTTGCATATTTCCGGCGACGGGAGACAAAAGAAGAAACTCATCATCAGCTAATGATGATGATAATCATGATCACGATGGTGTGGAAATAAGAGAAACCCTAGATGAGAAGGTACTATACGAATCAAAACATGGATCTTGGAGGCCTAAGTTGGAGACGATCGTGGAGAGCTAAATGCCTAAAGTCTCGAGGATCATTATAATACTATATATGTAAAAAAATCAATTTTCAATCGTAGATTAGTATTTTGTTTTTTTATTTATTCTTGATTTTTTGTCCGAGTTTTAAAGAGAAATTGAGTCTTAATTATATGGTTGTTCACGATTTGAAATTTCGTGTAGATACGGTGATTCAAATATTCAATTGTGTAATTAGGTCTGATTAATTTATAATGGACATCTTATGGGGAGGAGGATAACTAGTTTGTCTTCGTTTTAATTGCTTAGTATACATTCTAAACTCCAGAACATTGCTTATAATCACAAACTAGATAACAACCCGCACGATGTGCGGGATAAAGTGATTCAAGTAAAATTATTATGATTAAAATTATTATCCAGGATCCAAGATCCGTTTGTGTAAAACGAAACATGTTCTATTTTTTTTTTTTATTATTCAAATTTGGGACTATTTCATATAAGAATATGTTTTACCCGTAAAATATTTGAACCTTGAATAAAGCTTCAACGTGATAAAAAAGTATTGACGAAATGTTACCATTTATGGCAATATGTCTTTCCGTATGTTTTAAAGATTTCGAGATTTTGTAATATAAAAAGATTTTTTTTTTTTAATAAGTATAAAAAATCCAAAATTTAGCAAAGATGAGATTTGATAGTTTCCAAGCTAAGATTTTTTAGTGTTCCAAATATAAGATTCTTAGATTATGAATAGATTATTTACGAAATGGTTATAATGTGGCCAGATTTTGGTTTATATACAAATGTGGTTATAATGTTTTTATTCGAAAAGTTAGAACTCCTCCAAAAAATAGGATTTTAAGTATTCGTAACATATATAGAAAAGAGATTATCTTATTTATTTAAGTAAAAAATTTATGAAAGATGTAAAGATTTTGTAGTTTTGAATTCGAGATTTTTGAACCAAATGTATATATTTTATCATTTAAATATAAACATAAATATAAATATAAATAAAAAATTGTTTACCCATCCGCTAAAGAAAATTTATATAAATGTATATAAAGAAAAATATAAATATAAAAATATAGTAATATAAGATAAACAAAAAGTGTATGTTTTTAATTATTAATGGGATATATGGATGTATAAGACTAATGACAAATTCTGTAAATAGTCTAATAAATCTTGGATAATTATCTAAATATATAGAAGCCAAATTATTGTGAGAGCGACACATCAGCGTGGCAATCTTGTTAATAACACATGATGGTAAGGTTTTTTTTTTAAAATGTTTTTCTATTAATATATAGGGGATACATCCGTAACTAAGAGAATTAAGTAATTTACGGTATTTATTGTGTAAACTCTATCGAGTGATATATTATCTCACCACTACACGTATTATATGACCACTGTATATTATAGTATGAAGTTTGGGTATACATATATGCATGCATCTCTAGTAAATTTATTTTTAGTAGCCTACACGGCTACACATGTAGATAAGTCATAAGTGACTTCGACTGGATACAGTATAGCCGTTGAAGTAATAATCCGACGGCTATGATGAGTAGATTTTTTTTTGTTGGATAAAAAGGATGTTGGTCAACGAATCAAAGAATTGGGTTTTTGGTAAACCAGATTTTAGGTACAACTATTTTGGTATTTGGTACGTATATATCTTTATCTAATAAATCACAAGTAAATTTTCAAGTAACTGCAACATCCTCCATATGACACCTGGCTTAAGTTCCAATTTTTTATCTTTCAGATTTTAAAACAATTAAATTTTAATTATCCTTAAATAAAACAAAAAATAAATGTCGAGAAAACCTTTCTCCCACAACCGCATCCCCTTTTTCTCCCACGATTTCAAAATCGATCTCCACTTCTCAACAATGGAACTACAAAAAGGTTTTAGATCTCTCAAAATCAATATTCCTTTCATACTACTTCTCACCCTTATTCCCCGATTTCTGAGATAAAAAACCAATGATTTCTCAATTTCTCAATCAATTGAACGGTGTTATTCATTAGAACGGTGTATTTCTCAATTTCTCCCTATCTCTACTGAGCTTCCGTCGTTTGATTTGAATCAAAGGTAAGCTTTTCAACTATTTTAGATTATGAACCAAAAACCATCACTCTAATCTTCTCCAACCTCATCTCAATCAAAGTATACTCCGCTGGAGAAGTTTGGGCTATCATACAAAAAGCTTTTAGATCTCTTCCTTTTCTGATTCGTGTTTCCTCCAGCTCTAATCGGGTAAAATTTTTTAATTTCTTACATGTTCTGATTTTAGGGTTCATCAATAGAATCTCTCCTTCTAACTGCAAGCACTACTTCTATATCAAAATCTTTCAATATACAAATTCTATGTTCGAATTTCTCAATTTCGGTTTACTTTGTCATCATCGTATTTCATGTGTTGTTGTGTTCTTATCACTTGTACAAACTCTCATGTAAATTTTAATGTATTCACAGTCTTTACTAATTTTATAACAACTCTGTTACAAGTTTTACGTTTAGTTTTGAAACAGGGAAGTAGGATACAAGCTTCTGTAAAAGAGAAATTATTGAGCCGTCTCTCTTGAAATTTCCAGCATTGGACGAATATAAAACAATAACCTCAAATCTCTCTGGTTTGTTTTCTCTTCTCTGCATGTCTTAGATGAGTGGGTATCTGATTTTGTGTGCATGAAACCTTTCTTTTACTTTTCACAAAACCTTTGTTTTCCTTACTTTTACTCATCTTCCGTTCTCAGTTTCACTATAACTTGAAGATATATGGTTGTGTCAGGATGGCAAAAACATTGAAGGTGACGGTTTAGCGTCAGCCTTCGTGGTGCCTGTGTGAGGGAGTTCACCAATATGACGTTAACTTCCCATGTGACGGATCTTTACCCGCTAAGTTTGGTCCACCTAAACGCCGGTATGATATCATCAAATCTTTGGCTATGCTTTGGTGAATTTAGAAGACGAGAGTTTGGAGAATGAAGTTTGGAATATAATTTCGTATAGAAACAACACAAAAATGAAGTTTTGAAGTCTTGCAATTCAAAAGAAAAGAAAAAAAAAACAATCTGAAAGATGGGTGCATGATGTGGAATCATCTTCCACGGTGAAGTGTGAAGAATTTAAACGTGCAATCATCTAATATATATGTTCAAGATCCTTTTGAGTAAGATATACAATATACAAAGGTAAAGGGCTTTTGTTTGTTCGATCGCTCATTTATGTCTTACAATACGTTTGCGTATTTATGTAAGACCCTTGGCAATTTCATAATGCAATGAATGTTTCCTCAAATTTTGTCGCTCATATGTGACGATTTGGTAATATTATGATACAGCTTTGGATGTAACGATTTAATCCTACTGTTTCACTTTCTCAATCAAACCAAAAATATCATTTATATCTAATTTAATTTCATTCACTTAAAGTTATGAATTAAACAAACTTACGTACAAATTAAGTTTAATAAAACTAAAATGTATTTTTGATATTGGTCATTGGTGTTATACTTACACATTTTGAATGAATAAAATCTACAAATTGGTGGTGTTCTCCCCGTGCAACGCACGGGCTATAACTAGTATATATATATATAGTATGCATATATTTTCAACTTTGGTTCGTATACTTTATCAAAAGAAATAAAAAAACTTTGGTACGACATATATATGTATACTATCCAAAATTTAATTAATAGAAGCTTTAGAATTTTATTGGAACTATTCGCAGATACTCTGAATATAAAAGATATCGCCAGCCGATCCAATAATTAAATGAGGATAATAAAAAAGGACCTGCGCAGTTTTTTTGGTAGTAGGCCTACACCTATCTGAGAATACGTAGATGGATTATCTCATCCACCATAAAATTTTCATGATAAAGCAAGCTTTTACCATTTATCAGAAGAATATATACATGTAAGTTTTTTAAAGATTTTTATAAAACTTACGACATAAAAATTCTGATAAGAAGCATTTTATTAATCCAGTTTATAATCAACTTTATCATAAAAATAAAAAGTAACCTTTTAGCCATTTTTTGGGGCAGTATAATTACTCTAAATCCAAAGAAAAAAAGAACTTTAAAAAAGCATGGCAAAAGACAAACCACACCTACCATTCAACATCTAACCTCAATAGTAGTTTCAAGTATCAAATAAAAGGAAATTTTTTTTAGTAAGATAGAAAACTTGTGGTGTAATGGGCCATGGCCCATTTATAAGCTTTTCGGCTGTATCAACAACGTTGGGCCTTCTAGAAGACACTTGAAAAAATAATTTTATACTAGAGAGATGATAGAGATAAATGGTGATAAAAAATAAAAGAAATAAAGGCATCGCCTAATAACGTGTTTGCGTCAGGGACGAGTTTGTGGATGACCACACTCTCTTAGTACTGAACTATAAACTAACAAAAACACTTGCTAATCTTCTTCACGCACCTGTGATGCGCGTGTCTCACACACCCTTCCCGCATTTTCTTCTCCGTGTCTGTGCCGAGGTTTTTTTGGTCGTTATCGAGTTGACCTTGTTTGTTTCTTGTTACGATATCTAAGTTTGATTTTTCTTTTGACGAAAAACATAAATATTCTAGAAGATATTACTCGTGTTGATTTTGATAAGAGGGAAACTCTAGAAGCTTTTGAAATTATTGAATCCATTAGGAAGAGAGTTGTCTCATTAACGAATCTCAAAATACAAAAAAGAATCTGTTATGTCAGATTCCATCAACCGAACAAAACCGAGAACTCAATTACAATAACCGGGAAAGTTGAGTCAATAAATAATATAACCTCGAATAAGCAAGTTGATGATTTAGATAAGAAACAAAAAAAATAGTTGAAGCGCGTGGGAAGTTCCATATAAAGATAGTCCTAACCAATAACGCTCATAACAAATTCACATCTCTCTCTTCTCTATCTCTTAAACTTCCTTTAAATCGATTCTCCCGAATTTGAGAGCAGAGCCTTTTTTTGATTCCAACTCTTTCTCTCTTGTTCTGAATTCGTGGTTCATCGGTATAAACAAAAAAACATGACAGGCTTCTCTGTGTCTCTTTTCGTCTCAAACTTATCAAATGTGGCCTCGTATTTGTCGCCCATCTTCGAGAACATCCCCTCCACCAAGGTTGTTCCCGCACAGATCGAGAAAGTTGTCTCTTTGGTCTCTCGTACCGGTCGCGATTTGCAGCGTTACGATAACTCTGGCTATCGTCAAGTCGTCGGGTACGTCTCAAAGCCCTAATTTTTGTTTTTATCAATTAATCTTACCCCCAATTCGAAATTAGCTTTGGCCGGTGTTCAAATTCACAATAATGATTAGTTAGGTATTATTTAGGTGTAATTTTGATATAGTTTTGTGGTAAAACATACGCCAGAATAATTTAAAGTACCAATTTTTTAAGAATTCATGTTCATTAGAAAGATCGTTAAACCGTTAATTATTCCCGCGGCAATTTGGAATCTCAGAAGATTTTAGTTGGTAAAAAAAACGTGTTGAAGTTTTCAAAATTTGAGGACTATATTTGTTCATTTTGTTTGCTTCTTCTGGAATCTCATTTCAAAATTGGTCAAAATTTTCTGCAGATGTGTACCGTACAGATACAAGAAACAACAAGTCAATGGAATTGAAACGCAAGAAATCCAAGTTCTTCTTGTCAGTGCTCAAAAGGGCAAAGGAATGTTATTTCCAAAAGGAGGTTGGGAGACGGATGAATCAATGGAGGAAGCTGCTTTGAGAGAGACAATCGAAGAAGCGGGTGTAACGGGAGAGCTCGAAGAAAAGCTTGGGAAATGGCAATACAAAAGCAAAAGGCATAGCATAATTCACGATGGATACATGTTTGCTTTGCTTGTTAGTCAAGAGTTCGAGCGATGGCCTGAGGCGGAAATGAGACAACGCAGATGGGTAAGTTTGGACGAAGCAAGAGAAGTATGTCAGAATTGGTGGATGAGAGAAGCTCTTGAAGCATTCATTAACCTGAAATGTCTCGCTGACGATGATGAAAGCGGGAACTGAATTAGTAGTACTCAGATGAAGAATACGGTGTTTAGAGTTGGTGAAACAGAGCTTTTGACTTAGAAACCCTCTACACGGAGCTGAAGCTTCCTAAGGGATTCATTTGGTCACAGCATCTCTCTGTCTCTTGAGAGGTGTGGAAAAGTTTTGATTGTTAGATGAAAGTCAACTTTTGTCTTCTAATTTTATTCATTCTTTTGTATTTGATGATTCTTTCATTCTTTTATTGTGAATAAAAATGCTAGATATGTTCCTTTACTTTTATAATAACGTTTGCTAACTCAATCAATCACACTTTGTTTGCCAATCTTCGTTGTTACCAATAGGATACACATATTGGACCTTAGTTGATGATTAAGGATCGAGTGTACAGGCCCAACATGTAAACTAATGGGCCTAGAGTGGTAGCTAACTAGCTACTAGCTAGCTGTTGTGGCTTAAACCCTAGAACCTCGGGATAAACCCTGATTTGTTTATCACTCAGGCGCGCGCTTGATCTGATTTTCTTTTTAAGCTTTTGATGACACTTTCCCTTGTCGGATTCTACTCTCTATAGTCTATACCTTTGAAATGGCAGATTCGAATACTGAGACAACCGGTGCTTCTTCGGGCTCCGTGGGTGCTGATGAGAACGCTACCCAGATTCAACCGATCCGGATGCCAACCATTGAGGAGATCCGAGCTCAAGAGGTTTGGAACAACTGCGCCGTTCGCGCTGTAACTAGTGGAGTCATGGGTCAGTTCAAATCTCCTCTCTTTCTCGATCTATATTGCTCCATTGCTCCTGATTTTCCAAAAAAAAAAAAAATCAATTCATAGGTCAATGAGAAAAAGCTAATTTTATTGAGGATAGTGAAATTGGTAAAGTGTTTAGCTTTTTAATAGTTGATATGCTTCTGAGTCATCACTTTCAGGTTGCACTCATAATAGTCGGATTTGGTTATATGTGAAATCTCAAATCGAATCTGTTGTCTATAAATGCTCTAAAAGAAGTTATTCTGATATAAAGCTACTTACTAATATAAATGCTCGCCGGTTGTAGAATTTATTCTAAAGTTGATAATGAGAATTAGACATGTGAGGATATTCAATTTGGTTTGTACACATTCTTTGTGAATTGTGGTGTAGGAGGAGGACTCGGGTTGATGATGGGTTTGTTCTTGGGGGCACTAGATAATCCTATTATGCATGATACGATGACGGCTAGGCAGCAGTTTGTGTTCACAGCAAAACAAATGGGCCAAAGGAGTTGGAATTCCTGTAAGACATTTGCGGTTATGGGTTTGGTTTTCTCTGCAGCTGAATGCATTGTCGAGAAGGTAATATCTTGTTTATTGACCCACACAAACAAGGAAATTCCACTACTAACTCCTGTATCGTAACTTCGAAACCTTATTGTCGACTTTTTTTATATTTTACTTCTCTGAAAAAGGCAAGAGCGAAGCATGACACGACAAACACCGCTATAGCTGGATGTGTGACCGGTGGTTCAATGTCCGCCCGAGGTATGATCTATTATCTTCTGTGTATGGAATTTAAATGTAGTCTAATTCCCAAAACTGTAGTCTCGTAGGTGCTTTGATTTCTCTGATATACACTGTGTTCTTATTTGGTTGAAATAATATATACCTCTTTGCAATGTGCCTACATGATACATTGTGTTTCTGGGGATTTAATGGATTGATTTTGTTTCAGGTGGGCCAAAAGCTGCGTGTATAGGTTGCGCTGGCTTTGCAACTTTCTCTGTACTCATAGAGAAGTTCTTTGATAGGCATACATAAACCAATGAGATATCTAACAGACGCCAATGCTGAGATTTTTTTGCTGCTTCTTTTATGTGATAGTGATACAATTCATCACCTGAGCGCAGGGAGATAGAAGCTAGAATTACACTTTTAAATATAGAATAAGCAAGGCTTGTGTTGATTGATTGAATATTCTACAGTTATTGTTGTTATTTATCATAGATTTCGTTAGAATTGAGGGCTCCAATATTTAAGTAAGTGTTCACAGAAATTAAGGGGCCTCTCTTGGCACAAAGTTTCAATTCTCAGAGTTTGGAGTTTCTTCGTGTTCTTGTTATCTACAAAATACTCGTATTTTAATCTGCTTAATATTAGAACCTTTTAACGTTAAGACTGATCTTAAGACTAATAAGTAATAATCATAAACCAAACCTGAGATTGAAACAGAGCTAGGAATAGGTGGCCAAACAAGTACACTGTAAACTAATTTGTATATGGAGAAAAAACAGAACTGTCTTTTTAATGTGAGACAGCCACAGAAACTTCATTACAAGAATTACATGTGGCAGACAAGTAAAAATCACTTGCCAATTCGGATTAAGATTTGGTTCGTGGAATGTTATGATCCAAGTCATCCAGCAATGGCTAAAACAATGTTGACGAATCATCAAAAGTGACCCCAAACTGTACAATGGCTAAAACTAGCATATACGTGCTCTTCTTTGGCTGTTCTGTTCTTCTGAAGCTACCAGCGACAATGATGATGTGACTTCTCTTTCTGATAGGCATCTCTTGTATGGCCTGAACCCACTTGCAGTTGCAGGATTACATGATCCTTGGTTTTCTAAGGAGCTCAACTGTTTCCATGAACAACTTATCGGCTCTGCACTCTTCTCCAAGTTCTCTGACACTTCTGTAACTGAGCCAAAGGCATTAGAACTGGTACAAGACGTTTCCCATACCCCAAGAGATAAATTAGTATCAATATGCAAGCTAGAATTCTTGATCCCTGAGTAGTGATTCTCCTGATCTGTCATTGATTTGGGATCATCATCATCTCTGTAAGAGGATGGTTTGTCATGAGATTCTGCCACGACAAGGACAATCTTCCCAAAAAGGGTAATGCTTGACATGGGTATTGAACCAATGTCAGAATCCTCTTTGAAGGATTGCTTGGATGTTGTGTAGTCATTCTTTTTATCAATGGAAGTTGCACCAATGGATTGGATGTCACTGGTACACGAATTAGGCGAAGAGCATCTATTGATTTGATCCTCTGAAGCAAATGATGACAGGACTGAAGTTGGAGACTTGGTTCCTTTCTCCATAGCTGACAAATTTGATGAAGGAGACTGAGAATATGGAACAGGCGATTTCCGGGGATAAGGATGTGCCGGTTTTCTCTTTGGACGAGGGGGCGGGATCACAACCGCTTTAACCGACCCTTCACTTCTATTGTCAGGTTCCTGAGCCATCTGCAATGGATTAAACAAAAACTGTCAGATTACAAACTAACCGTATCAGAACTACTGATGTTTTAGAACACCTAAATACACAAGACCTTGGAGAAAAACTTTTGAGCATGGCTTCGTATCTGTACAGCGGTTTTCGTACCTATGTGTTCTGCAGCAAAATCAAGACTTAGGTTCTTCAGAACTACATCTTCTAGCAGTAAGTTTCTAAGCTCAATTAAAGCTCCAAGTCAATTAATACCTTGGATTTGACGCCAACCACGACCATAAAGCTTAATAGCTTCAAGAAACCTATCATGCTCTTCCTCACTCCACTTCTCTCTCTGCTTAGTTACTGTGTACGGTTTCCTAACCTTGAAGAACAATACACAGAGGAGAGGTCAGATCAACTTGCAAAACCTGAAATTTGACTCTTGTTCGCAGTGCTTACAAAACATATACCTTGACAATGTTTTCAATCCAATGACTGCTGGTTTCAGGATTTGTTCCTTCATTGGAATTGCAACTTCCATTTTCTACATTGCTGCTAAGCTCCTCACTTCGATCCTAAAGTGGACCAAAAAAACAATGAAATTAAATGGCTTTTTTCTTGAAGTTCTTCCGAAAAAAGAAACTTTCTTCATATAGAATCTACTTCTTCGAAACTCGATAAGCTTAACTAACGACTATCAGTTCATCAATCTGTAGTCAATTACCTCAGCGGCCATTATTAAACAATATCTAAAAAGCTTTCTTGCTGCAACGGTAATTCTCACAAATCCAGCCTGAAACCGAACAAAACAAAGCATAAAGCTGATTAATGATTTTTGTAGTCGCATGAACAATCAAGATCGAAGAGAAAACAGGGAAATGAAAAATTAACCTCAATCAGAACTTTGTAAGTTATCTATTTTACCGATGATTTCTGAACAGTGTATAGATAAAATTAGAATCTTCTTCTGCTTTTTTTTTTCTCGAGAAATCAAATTACCGTAAACAAGAGAGACGATTTCTCGAGAAAATAACAAAATAGTAGGAGAAAATAGTTATTAGAAGAGGGAGACAGGAGAGTGTGAAGAGAAGGTGCTAGAAATAGCAAGTGACCAATTTTTTAAATTAAATAGCCGATATCTGCCACGTCAGATTTAGATTTTTATCATTATATAATGTTCATGGAAATTTCGAGAAGGTTGACACAGAGAGAGAGATATCTTGTGGCTCAGAACAAACCTAACCTAACACTCACTCTCGCATTTTAGCAGTGTATACCACGCGCTTAGTCTTCTAAAAGAATCTGATCTGTTTCTCTAATCCGAATGAAAAAGATTCTGTGGATAAAAATACGGAGACGTTAAAAATTATGAAGTGTTGTGAAACTTATTGTTGTCTCTTTTTCATTCCATGAATAATGATACATATATATAGGCATAAAACCTAGGGTTTTAGAGTACATAATGAATAACCCTGATGGGCTTATTGGGTCCGGTTATAAGTCCAATATGATGTATTATAACACTCCCCCTTGGATGGAGTAACCGGACCTGATAGTCAATCGGGATCTCGATAATACGCTGGGGAATGTTGCCTCATTAAAACCTTACCAGGAAAACCCAGTGGGAAAAACCATGGTGAAGGAAAAAGAGTACAACACGCATTACTCCCCCTGATTAGAGCATCACCGTAGATCTCTAAGTCTACGCATTCCTATTTGTTGGATGAGCTTCCGGAGTGTTGAAGCGGGTAATGATTTGGTGAAAAGGTCAGCGGAGTTATCGCATGATCGGACCTGTTGAACGCTGATCGTACCATCCTTCTGCCAATCCGAGGTTGAGAAGAATTTCGGTAGGATGTGCTTCGTCCGATCTCCTTTGATATAACCTTCCTTGAGTTGAGCAATGCAAGCCGCGTTGTCTTCAAACATAACCGTGGGCTCCTTATCTTCTTTCATACCACAATCTGATCGGATGTGCTGAGTCATGGATCGTAGCCAAACACATTCTCTGCTGGCTTCGTGAATGGCCAAAAGTTCTGCATGGTTTGATGAAGTGGTAGTGATTGTCTGCTTTATCGATCTCCAAGAGATAGCTGTTCCTCCATGCGTGAACACATAACCAGTTTGAGACTTGGCATTGTGCGGATCTGATTGATAACCTGCATCAGCAAAACCAACTAGTCCATCCTTGTTGTGGTTAGTGTAAAACAGTCCTAAGTCTTTAGTACCTTGAAGGTATCTTAGGAGGTGTTTGATACCATTCCAGTGCCTCTGAGTTGGACATGAGCTGAAGCGAACTAGGAGGTTCACGGCAAAACAGATGTCTGGTCTAGTGTGACTAGCCAAGTACATTAACGCTCCTACAGCACTGAGGTATGGCTTTTTTGGACCGAGAATTTCTTCATCGTCCTTCTTGGGACCAAATGGATCACTGTCCAATCCTAGGCTCCGGACAACCATTGGGCTGTTCAATGGGTGGGCCTGGTCCATATTGAATCGCTTGAGTACTTTTTCAATGTAAGCCGCTTGATGCACAAGGATTCCTCCTTTAACGTACTCAAGTTGTAAACCCAAACAGAATTTAGTTTTACCTAGGTCTTTCATTTCGAATTCTGCTTTCAAGCAGTCGACTGTTTGGGAGATTTCACCAGATGTTCCGAGGATGTTTAGATCATCCACGTAAACTGCTATGATTACAAATCCTTTGTTTGAGTATTTCTTGATGAAAATGCATGGACTGATGGGATCGTTTTTGTAGCCTTCTCTGATGAGATATTCGCTTAACCGGTTATACCACATACGTCCACTTTGTTTCAGTCCATACAAGGATTTGTTCAGCCTGATGCAGTATTGATCTCGAGATGCATGCTTATCTTTAAGCTCTATGCCATCTGGTAATCTCATGTATATTTCATTGTCGAGGGGCCCATAGAGATATGCGGTGGACAACATCCATTAACCGCAAATCTAGATTTTCTCTTATGGCCAGACTTATGAGGAATCGAAAAGTAGTTGCATCCACCACCGGAGAATAAGTCTCCTCATAATCGATTCCGGGTCTCTGTGAGAATCCTTGTGCTACAAGCCGTGCTTTATAACGAACGACTTCACCGAGTTCGTTTCTTTTACGCACAAAGACCCATTTATGGCCCACTGGTTTGACATTGAATGGTGTCCGGATGATCGGACCAAACACATTCCTGAGTTTGAGACTCTTTAACTCCACGTTTATGGCTTCTTTCCATTTTAGCCAGTCTGTTCTATGAGTGCACTCTGTGATAGACATGGGTTCTAGATCCTCTTGCGTGTTCGCAATATCAAGTGCTACTTTGTATGCAAAGAGTGCATTTAAGTCAACTTCTTTTCTGTTCCATTGGGTTCCAGACATGTTGTAATTCATAGAGATCTCATTGTTATCGATCTCGTCAGAACCTAGAGATTCGGCGTCCCGAACCTCTTCTGGTGGTTCATTAGAGTGAGTCTCAGCGCGCGCTATGTCTGTTATATTGGGAATCCCGGTTTCAACTATTGCACCTTTCTTTGATTTCCGTGAATTCTTGTCTTTGGAACCTAGAGGTCTGCCACGTTTATTTCGTGATGCAGACTCTGTAGCAACTTGAACTTGTCCCGTTGGAACAGTGATTCGTACTGGTGCATTACAAGCTGGTATGTACGATTTGGTTACTTTGTTCGGGTCAGCAAAGGAATCTGGCAATTGATTAGCTAGCTTTTGATAGTGTATAATCTTTTGGATCTCCGAATCACATTCTAGAGTCCGAGGATCTTGCCAATTTAAGGATGTTTGATTCCATGATAGCTCTTTGACCAGCTTGTGTTTCTCTCCACCCAATGTTGGATATACCGATTCATCAAATTGGCAATCCGCATATCTGGCCTTAAATAGGTCTCTAGTGGTCGGCTCGAGATATTTGATGATGGTGGGAGAATCAAAACCAACATATATTCCCATCCTCCTTTGAGGTCCCATTTTGGTTCTATGTGGTGGAGCAATGGGTACATAGACTGAGCACCCAAATGTTTTGAGATGGGAGATGTCTGGCTCATGACCCTGTAATAATTGGGATGGGGAATATCTATGCTCACTAGATGGTCGGATGCGTATTAGTTCAGCAGCATGTAATACTGCATGTCCCCAAGCTGAGACCGGGAGTTTCGACCTCATGAGTAATGGTCGAGCAATCCATTGGATTCGTTTAATGAATGATTCAGCAAGTCCATTCTGAGTATGGACATGTGCCACAGGATGTTCAACGGTCACCCCCATGGCCATACAGTAATCATTAAACGCTTGGGAAGTGAATTCACCAGCATTATCAAGACGTATAGTCTTTAGTGGGAAGTCTGGAAAGTGGGCTCCTAATCTGATGATTTGAGCCAACAACCTAGCAAAAGCTTGGTTCCGAGAAGACAACAGGCATACATACGACCAACGGGTCGAAGCATCTATTAGTACCATGAAGTACCGGAATTAGGCCTGGGCGTTCGGTTTACTCGGGTTATTCGGTTCGGTTTATTCGGTTTTTCAGTTTTTCGGTTATCTAAAAATCTCGCCGAATTGAACCGAACTAAAATTCGGTTCGGTTCGGTTCGGTAATCGGGTTTTTCGGTTCGGTTACATGCTTTAAAATCTATTCCGAATTGAACCAAAATTTTTTTTTGTTCGGTTTATTCGGTTTATTTTTCGGTTTACTGTCTGTAATACAAAAAGATTTACAAGGCCAATAAAATCACAAACCCAGACCAAATTTTAATAACAAGCCCAAACCCATTTAAATCTAGGGTTTTCGACAAGCTGATGGTTAAGCCGCAACGGCGACGGCAACGACAACCAGAAATAGTTTCTAGCTGGCTCCGGCGCTTGAACATCCGTACCGTAGTGGATGGACTTAGGCTTCGTGCTGACGACGAGATGCAATGTGAAAGATGATTGAGTATTGACGGTTGCTTTGACGACGATCTAAGTGATCTATGAGGAAGACGACAGAATATCACATATTTGAAACAACATAAGGAGAAGTATAAGATTAACAAGGCTTAAAGAAGAGAGAAATTTATTTAACCCAACGTTTTGCTAGGGTCTCCAAGGATAATCGGCTGCAAAAGAAAGAAAAGAAAGCAAATGGAAAAAATCAAAAGAAATGACTTAGATCTAGGGTTTTTCTTTTTTCATACATATTTTATGTAATGGACTGTGGGTTTTGTAAAGATATTGGGCCAAATAAAAATAAAAACAATATTATTAAAATTAGGGCCAACGAATATTAGCCCAAATGAAAAAAATTATCTAGCTTGAGCCCAAACTTTAAAACCATTAGGGTTTTCTCTTGTCGACAACTTGACATACTCCCAAAAATGGCCGCAACCGTTCTTCTTCTTCCTCATAAGTTATGACATACAAAACCAGGAACGATGAAGAAGAAGATGGGGTGCTGAGAACAAACCGTATAACCGTTCGGTTCATAGCTGCCGAACCGAACCGAACCGAAGACCGAACTCCCAAAATAATTTCGCCGATCGGTTAACTCCTCCTTACACCTTCGGCGCCGAGAACCGAAAATTTCGGTTTTCTCGGTTCGGTTTGATCGGTTTTCGCCGAATGCCCAGGCCTAACCGGAATGTCCCAGAAGGTGGGTGAATGGGACCACAGATATCTCCTTGGATTCTTTCCAGAAAATGCAATGTCTCTTTGGACACTTTTACTGGTGAAGGCCGAGTGATCAACTTCCCTTGGGAGCAAGCTGTGCACATGAGGTGCTGAGGGAAGACTCGGTTTTCTCGAAGGGTGTGTCCTTGAGAATTTTGGATTAATTTACGCATCATGGTCGTACCGGGATGACCAAGCCGGTCGTGCCAAATAGTGTAGTCTTGGAATCCGGCTTTGAGAGCATTATTAGCCTCAATCATACTGACCTTGGCATAGTAAAGGCCAGTAGATAAAGCGGGTATAGTCTCGAGGACTTGTTTATGGCCAAGTGTGATCTTAGTGATCAGTAGGGATTCTTTGTTCTCTTCACCCTGGGTTTCTATGTGTTCAGATGATAGAGGAGATCTGAGATCTCGTAGTCCATGGGATCGATCGGCTCGGTAGTGGTGTCGTCAGCATCAACTTGCTAGGCCATGTTAGCCTCAGCAGGTGCTTTCCCATGTTTCTGATACAAATCGCAATGAAACTTGGGAGTACGACAGTTCTTTGTCCAGTGATTGAACATTCCGCATCTGGTGCAGGCAGACTGATTGGTTGGGTGGGCAGGGCGGTTTGGTTTAGAGATACCACGGCCCTTACCGGAACCATAACCGAGGTTATGTCAGTTGCCACGTCCATTTCTGCATCCACGCTTTCCACGTCCATTCCCATGTCCACGGCCACGATCTGAGGATCTGTCTAGCTGGACATTGTAGGATTCTTTGTGGGAATTTGGTACTGGAGCCGATCCCGGGGGCCTCTAGGCACTGTTCCTCATTAACAGGTCATTGTTTTTCTCGGCCAAGAGCAAACAGGATAACAAATCTTCGTACAATGTATGTTTCATTGCACGATATTACTGCTGAAGCATAATGTTTTGGGTATGGAAGGTGGATAATTTTTTCTCGAGGAGATCATTAGCAGACACCTCTTCACCACATAGTTTCATGATTGAAACTATCCGAAAGAGTTCGGAGTTGTAGTCATCCACAGATTTGTAATCTTGGAACCGGAGTTCCTTCCAGTCAAACTTTGCTTGTGGCAAGAGCACCGTTTTCTGGTGATCATACCGTTTTTTCAGGGCCACCCAAAGTTCGAGTGGGTTCTCAAGAGTGAGATATTGTTGTTTGAGGCTCGCGGCCAAATGATGGCGGATATGAAATATCGCCTGGGACCGGTCTTTATCAGATGCGGTGTTATCCGCTTTAATACACTCACCCAGTCTCTTTGAGTTGAGGAAAATCCTGGTGTCCATGGCCCATTCGAGATAGTTTTCACCGGAGACCTTGAGGGCCTCGAACATGAAATTGATTTCATTAGGGATTTGTTAAAAGGATAGTTATATGAAAATAATTAAATTTTCTATTTGAGGAAACTTTATATTTGAGGAAAGTTTCTAATTTGGGAAACTTTCTAAATGAGGAAAATTTCTATTTTGAGGAAACTTTCTATTTTAGGCAAGTTTCAATTTGAGGAAACTTTATATTTGAGGAAAGTTTCTAATTTGGGAAACTTTCTAAATGAGGAAAGTTTTCATTCCGGGTCATTTGCTATTTAAGGAAAGTTTCTATTTTAGGAAACCTTCTAAATGAGGAAAGTTTCTAATTTGAGGGAAACTTTCTAAATGAGGAAAGTTTTCATTCCGGGTCATTTGCTATTTGAGGAAAGTTTCTATTTTAGGAAACCTTCTAAATGAAGAAAGTTTCTAATTTGGGAAACTTTCTAAATGAGAAAAGTTTCTATTTGAGGAAAAGTTTCTAAATGAGGAAAGTTTCTATTTGAGGAAACCTTCTAAATGAGGAAAGTTTCTAATTTGGGAAACTTTCTAAATGAGGAAAGTTTTCATTCCGGGTCATTTGCTATTTGAGGAAGGTTTCTATTTTAGGAAACTTTCTCGGGAATCGTAAATTTTAAGGATACGGAACATAAGTTCGGTTTAATGGTTTAAAGTTGGACCGGAATATTAGATTCCGGTTTGGGCCGAATTGATTTCCGGTTTAGAATAACCAGTTTGAACCGGTTTACCCAGATTGAGATCCGGTTATTATTTTTGGAACCGGTTTGATAATCGATTTAACCGATGAACCGAATTGATATTCGGGTTTAGGAGTTAACCGAGAATGATTTCCGGTTTAGGGGATACACGAAAATTGCGGTTTTGGATTTGATTTGATTTAGGTTTTAAGATTTCGGCCATGGCTTAGTGTTTTCGATTTTGAGTGTTAGGTTTAAGTAATACAAGGTTTTTGATCTTTAAGCTTTTAAGGTTTTGTTTTTACCTTTCACCAATTGGGGTTGAACGGATTGAACCGGGAGCTTAAGACCTCGGTAACTCACGCTGTCGATGAACAGTACTGATGAACAGTGTCGGCGTGAACAGTATTGGCGAACAGTATCGATGAACAGTATCGGCGAACAGTGTCGATGAACAGTATCGATGAACAATATCGATGAACAGTGTCGGCGTGAACAGTGTTTTGCGATTTTTAGGGTTAGGGTTGTTAAGAGCAAACTCGTGCTGATAACGTGTTGTGAAACTTATTGTTGTCTCTTTTCATTCCATGAATAATGATACATATATATAGACATAAAACCTAGGGTTTTAGAGTACATAATGAATAACCCTGATGGGCTTATTGGGCCCGGTTATAAATCCAATATAATGTATTATAACATGAAGAAGATATTGAGAAAAAACAAAGAAGATATTGGGAGTTTTTGTAATTATTTGAAAGATATTCTTTGTTTTGTTTCCGATCAGTCCTGTCCTGACATCCACTTGCTTTCTTGATATTACTCTTTGCCCCCAAAACTAATCTCATTGTTCAGTTTATAACCTTGCCCCCAAAACTAATTTCCTGATATTACTCTTTGCACCCTAAACTAATCTCATTGTTCAGTTTTTAACCTTGGATTTTTTGTCAGGGAAAGTTATATCCTGAAAATTAACTTCTTTACAAATGATTTAATACTTGAATGATTGGTATGTAATTCGATTAAAAAATATCTCTCTCTTTAGTCTTACCAATTGTATTGAATGAAAATTAAAAAGTTCGGACAAAAGATTAAAAGAAAATAAATGGTTGGGATAATGGGCAAATCAGTCACATCACATGGTGTCGGATGTGACAACTATATCTCTTAATCACACAAACCATTAGAGCCACAATTTTGATACGGCCAGATCACCCCATTCCTCTCTTTTATTTTATCTCTTTATTTTGATATGATTTACTTATATCAAATCTTGTAATATTTAAATAGTTTCATTTATATATTTTTAAATGAAAATTATCGCTTTCCGATTTTTTTTTCCCACACTATGAAAAAAGAAGAAGATTTTTTTTTTTTTGGTAGGGAAAGAAGAAGATTTTTTTATGAGGTCCTTAAGTTCCTTCTCCGTTACGCAAGTTCATTTTCTATTTCACATTTCTCTGTCTACAAGAAATTAAGGTTCAAGCCACTCATGATTCAACATTTATGGCAGTTTTAAACAAGAAAAAACCTCTCTGATTCATAAATATCAAAACCCAGTTCAACAATTGTTTTCAATCTACTAAGTCCTAGTCCTAACTCCTAATATATAACTCTGTACAATTTCCCAATAAGGTGAAGAAACCTTAGAAGTACTCAAAGCTTACCAAATATAGTCTAGGCTGGTTGCACACGACTGGTTTGTTGCGAGGACTCGGGTTTCAAAATGGTCATTTTGGCAACAGAAAGGACTTCAGTTGCCTTGTTCAGTTGCTAGGCATTGTTGGAGTTCTGTATCTATCTCTGGTGTGAACCAAGTCATCAGAGGAACCAAGTCTTCATCGGGACCTGTCTGTTTTCTAACTGCATCCTATCACAACCCTCTGTGGTCTGTCAGATTCAAGCAAAAGATTTTCAGAAAACTAAACAGCAAACGAGTTGCTGATATCTCCAGTAGACCAAAGTGGAAACTTACAGTGAATCTATATGTGCTATTCCATGCTTGATACTCAATCTTTGGTAGGTTCTTCGTCATTCTTCTTGGAAAATAAAGCAAGCATAGCAGTCTTAATACAATACCAAGATAAAAAGTAAAAGAAGCACTAAAATATTATATTTGATGAGCAGTTTTGTCATAAATGTGAGTGGTGGTGCAGCGATAGGACAACAAACCTCCAACACAAATTTAGCTTCGGCATCAAATGTTTTGCAAAGTATCTCATACTTCGCCGAGAAAGTCTGCAAAAACAAAAATTGTAAAGGTTCTTTTAGTGAATGCCTTATACAAAGATAATGAAAAATAAGACTACTGATTCTGTACCAGAAGATTAGCTTTCGAGGGCGAAATGCTTGATATTCTGTATCTGTATTAAAAACGAATGAGAATTCAGATGTTTGAAAGAGCCAAGATCAGTAAAGAGGCCAGAAATAAAAATTACTGACTACAGCAAGAAACAGAGATATTAGGAACCCATCAACACTTCATCTGAGTTGTTACATGGAATAAGATCATCTTCCAAAAGGTTACCTCTTACCCTAGTATGCTCGTGTAGAAAGTCATTGCCAATGCATTAGATGTTAGAACAGTTAGCACGATAGCACTCATCCGATTCTGAGAAGAAGAAAAAAAATAATATAACCATATTATCATCAAGCTATGAATCTGAAGGAGGAATATGAGAGACTAATTTTGGAATCAACCTTAGAAGCAATGAGCTCAATCAACTGCATTAAAAATTCTCCTAGTCCCTTTCCTTGAACACGGGATTCCAGTTGTATTTCATACACATAAAGGACAGGTATCTCTTCCTCTAAAGTAAACCGGTAATGCACAAATCCAGCTATCTGATTACACTGTTCCATGGAAGCTCTTCGAGTAGATATTTCATAGGCTTTACCAAAACGCAGCTCACGCACAAAGATATAATGTGCGTCTGCGGAAGACATCTCCTTACGCTTCAGCTTTGCTTGTATAGGCCAATCAGACCCATAAAACCCTTCCATGTTTGTCTGTGAAATTTAGTAACATCATGCACAACAATAAAAAAGATGTATGTTGAGAACATTTAATGCTACTTCATTCTTCTTTTTACCTTCAAGAGCTTTTGAATGTATTGCTTCACAGACGAGGAAAGTCTATCTCCACGGCCAGATTCCAGGTACAAAGACAAGTCTACAAACCGTAAGAACAACACAAACACAGAATTAGCTAACCATCAAGACTCTTCTGTGAACTTAAAACGAAACGAGTCATCCCTGAAAACAAATTTTACACAAACATGATCATAACTAAGTAATCGGAGCACACTTAATCATAGACTACCAATGAGCAAGGGGTTTTCAGATCATCTAAATCCATGTAATCTATGTTAATAAGCAAGAATTCGAACTTACACTGCATCTAATTCATAATATGTTGTAACATTAGCAATTTTAAAACTAAGTTTATATGCATCAAATCATTGTGAATAATAATAATCAGTTCCCATACATAAAAATCAAATAATATTTACCGTTTCTTCGGTAACGGCGGAAAGAATCAAACGGAGAAAGAGGATCGTCGATGGAAGAAGCTCGTTTAATAAGGTCATGAATCGTCTTTTTCTTCTCCAAAATCTGCGCAACAATTCTCGAATTACCGATTTCGAGCAAAATCATAAATCGAAATTTCGAATGCTATGAAACATACACATTACTTCCGAGATTCTTTTACCTTTCGCCGTTTCTTCAAATCCATTGCTCGCCACTCCGATGATCTCTCTCTCTCTGAAGTGATTCGGTAGGAGACGGATCCATCAAACGGGTTTGGAGCCGAATCAGATCCGACAATAATAAATGACGTCAGCCCAATGGTCGTATTCGTTCAAATTCGATAGAGAAGCCCATCATCTTTCTTTATTTTGTTTTGTTTGTTCAAGTCAACGGATCATTTCTCTTTAAAACAAAGTCTAAAAAATTTAATTGATTTCACTTTGATATATGGTTCATACATACATTATCGTAAATGAACGCAAAGAAAAATATTGAACAAAGTTTGCAGTTTCTCTCTGGCACAAAAGATGATTTTAGGTACTAGGAGCTTTTCTCTTCTTATCAGAGACAGATGAAGCATCATCAAGTTTAGACTGACCAAAAACAGATCTGCAAAGCTTCTCGATATCAGAATCAAACAACATGATAGATTATTATATTGAGAAAGAGCAAGATGGGTCAAATCTCTTACCCGCACGTTGAACATTTCTTGTGATGCTCACAGAAAATGGACAGACACACTGAACATATGTAGCCCATATCTATTGTCTTCTTGTGGCAAAAGCACCTGCAAGTTTTGTACTTAAACCATCTGTTATACATGCGGAGGAGACCCTATTAATTGAAGAGTCAATGACTAGGATCACTTACGATGCGCGAAAATCAACACCAATGGGTTTAGGAAGTTGTACAAAACTGCGGGAATGCAAGTCAGTTGCAAAAATCGTCTTTTGTGGGAAACAAAACAAAACAATCGAGAGTTAGCACCCATTAAGTTCGCCAAATGAAACGAGTCACATAATGTTTGCGTTTGGACTTGAGTTGCGTACCGTTAGATACTGAAACAGCCCATCCAACTGTTTAGGTGTATGATGTACACCACCAGTTATATAAGATGCCTACAAATAAGCCAGGAGATAACAACTGATGCATATGACGAGTTTGACAAGTTGAAGACTTAACAAGTATGTACAAAGGAGAAATAATATTACCTGCTGCAAAAATGCTGAGTTCTGAACTCCTATGTAACACGAATCAATGGGTACCTAAAGAACCAATTGATGAAGTGATTTGGGTACATGATACTGGATTTAGATAACATCAAGAAGCGGTAATCCCAAAGAACCAATCAATATGAAGATTACCATTAAGCGTTGGGCAGAGAAGATAGAGTTCATAACAGCAACATATCTGAAACAGGGACAAAACCTTTAATGAGACCAGACAAACAGGACAAAATCTTGCAAGTAGAAAAAAGTTACAGAAGAATATACTGTTCCGGGCCATCTGGGGAACCTTGCAAGCATAATATCTGTGTTTCATATAAATGTCAATAGCACAATCAGTTGTGTATTTTGGGGATATACGATAGAACAGATGAATCATAGGAAAGAGGAGTTTATATTATCGTTAATACTTTAAGCTGAAGATTCATACAAAGCAATCAAGATGAAAAGTTTTATCCAAGACAACATATTGATACATATATCATACTGAACACGCACCCGAGGCTGGGGATGAAGATGTCCAGAACGGAAAACCCTCTGTATATCTAGAGCCAGAAATTAAGAGAACAACAAAATGTGAAGACTGAAAATCACAAACATATATTACCAGATAACATTGATGGCCGTAGACATGCTATAGATTTAGCTGAGAACAGACATGTCGATCTAAAATGTTCCTTACTTACTTAACCCAATAGAGAGAGTAAGCTAAGCTTTAAGATTACTACCAGATGTTATGCAAAGATATCCTATCATTTTATACTATATAAGGTTTCAAAAAACCTATCAATCATGCTATATGATTTTCCATAAGGATACAGCAAAGAGCCATGGAGAGTGATCCTGACAAGAGACAAGAAGGTATTCTATCCTCAGACACTTCCTCCCTGCTGAGCTCCTCATCTTTTGTAACAAAATCTTCCAATTTCTTCAGCAAAGAACCAAAAAGTGCAGGCATTCCAGTTCCGTTGCTCTCGAGATTTCCATGATTGGATGTCAAAGAAGAATCATAAATGTAATCACAGGAACTGTATCCAGTAGCTATAACTACAACTTGGTTCAACTGATTTAAGCCCAAAACTGCATTCAGAAACGCAAGCACCTACACAAAACAGCAAGGTTTCTGAATAAAAAACAAAGCATTAAGAAACAAAGAAACAATTGATTCGCTAGAAACAACACACTTACATGAGAAAGGAATTGAGAGAAGGTAATCGATGTAGTGCTCCAGAAAAGAGGATTCGTATCAAGCAACAAAACTAGAAGACTAACATCGTCTGCGACAAAAACCATCACGACCAATCAGACTTGTTTCCAGTTTATGGGAATATCTACAGACTTATACGATTGACGAATGTTAGGGTTTCGAAGTAGAGAGGAATTTAATAAGACCTGAATACTGCTTAGAAACAACGGAAGGCATAGTTTTCACAGAAGAATCCAACTCAGAATTTCAGTGTGCCGGGAAATCTTCCCGGTGAGAACGAGATCCGATAATGCTATTTCAGTGCCGGGAAATCGTCTTTTGTTCTTCTTCTTCGATTTATATATATATCTTCACAACAAGTCTTTGAGTTTTCCGATTACGAACGAACCAGGTTATAGAATGGAAATTTTGGATGCTATAGAAGAAGAACAACTTACTCTGAAAATCTCAAGTTATTCGGTATGAGCCGGATCCTTCAAACGGGTCGGGATCCAAGTTAGATCCGACTATAAACGACGTAAGCCCAAAGATGGCATTGGTTCAAGTTTTATTATAGAGAGGCCCAGAAACGCCTTTTGTTTTGCTTCACTCTTTTTTTTTTTTTCCAAATAACACCAAAAACTTAAGGAACAAATATATTTTCTAAAACTATCTTTTTTTTTTTCGTCTGAATAATCATATTAAACCTTCGAAAGATACAAAGATCGGCGGAAAGAGTTAATATCCCCGATAAGATGAGTCGACGGAAAATAGTGATATCTCCGAAGCCAGAAGCCCAAAAGAGGGAAGCTAACAAACAACCAAAAACAAGACCATAATCTAAACTTAGAAAACTAATCGATAAACCTCCAAAGATTGAATTAACTAGAAAACACAAGAATCTCAAAGGAAAAGGCCTGAACTTGAAGCTAAGGGATCGACGCACAAATGCCTTATTTGTCTTGTGGAGAGGAACCGAATCAAAACCCATGAATAACTCCTCTCTCTGCTGAAAGAATTGATAGAGCTTTGGGTGGTATTAAACGTTCCAAACCAACCCCGAGAAGACGATAAACTCAAATGGAAGAGATACCGCATATGATGGCAAAATAGCGACCCACGAACTCCAAACGAAGCAAATCTTGATGAGACAGAAGAACCAGCCAAGGAAGATGAGCAAAGAGCCAATGGTAAAAGGCATCGAGTCCGTCTCACCACACGAGAGATTTTCCAGGACAATCGATACAAAACACAACACCAAGGCAGAGGAACAATGGCCAGAACCGAAACTTCACTCAAACAAGATCCAACCACAGAACAGACAAAAACCCCACAAAAGTAAGACTCTGAGAATTCAAAAACAATTAGGAGGAGAAACCGCTATCCAGAGCAACTCTGGAACCCTAAAATCGCCCGACGAAATGAGAGGAAAAGAGGCGAGGAACAGCTTACAAAACAACAGGGGAAGACCATGGTATAACTTGACAAATGCCAAGACCGAAGAAGAAAAGCGCAAGCAGATCTTTTTCACCACAACACCCCGAGCCGTTCCCGATCCATGGCTAAAAACAGCCTATGCCGCACAAAGAGGAAACCCACCAAAAGCCGGTCGCATCCACGCCATTTCTGGCCAGCCTCCACTCCGTAGAAGATGAAGCAAACAACAGATCCGCCCGATTCCTCCCATCACCGCGATTTAAAACTACAAAACTAAGCTGGAAAGGAAAATGGGAAGCCAATCACGGTGACGACAAGAAACGCCGACCACCAGAGTGATTTCCCGGCCACAGATCTGAGAACTCGTCTAGGGTTTAACTGTTTGGGGGCGAGAGAGAAAAGTCGAAAGACGACGATGATTTTTCTAAAACTATCTCTCTATACGAAATTCAGTTTATTCATCGGTTTTACTATCGATATATTAAGTTTTATGGTGAAAAAACAAAATACTATTTCAAATGAGTAAAAAGCTTACTATACAATTGTTTCGCCAAAAAAAAAAAAAAAAAAAAAAAAAAAAAAAAAAAAAAAGCTTACTATACAATATGTTGGGAGTAATATGTTAAGTAGGAAACAAACAAGTTTTTTTGGTTGCAAATATAGAAGCAAATCTGAAATCACATACATATAGATTATTAGTTATTCATTTGATTTTACTTCAAAATCTTATTCAGTACGTGACTGTCCACTAAGAATCTAAAGATCTAATCAGAATTTTTAATTAAATCATCATATAAATAATAAAATTTGGCAATATTAATGGCGATGGCCATTGGAAAGCTTTTGCATGATGGCCTAAATATAAATTATTGTTTGGTCACTTTCACTAGCCGTCCTTAGCCTCCGAGATACATTGAACCTCCCAAATTCACGTTAACCTTTAAAATCACCTACACAAATATATAGAAGGGAACAGTCAACACAAAATGATAGGGATCATGTAAGCAAAAAAACCAAGTGGTGTGTCTTATATAGACAGATTTTACAAGTAAGGGCCATATGCTCAAGACAATAACTGAAAAGGAACAGACAAGTTTGAAAGGGGTAAGAGAGGAGAGAAAGAATCGAATTTTGTGAAAAAATTGAGCACCTGAATCGAATTTTGTCGATGAAGATTTTCGCTCTGTGGCTTCTCGTTAATCACTTTCTCCTTCTGCTCGCTCGCTCGGGTATAAAGAGTGAGATAGAATTAACCAAAGTTGAATTACAACGTCGAGAAGGTTTTCTTTTACAGTTTCTCTGCTCTCGATATGGTGTGGTCCACCGCTTCGTTTACCACTGTCCCTCGATCCAAAGTTCGATCCCATTTTTCTTTTTTACACTAGTTCTAAGTGGTTTTATTGTCCTATTTTCATTTCATTTCCGTTTTAAGTAGAAAAATCTTGTTAAATAAATTAAAGAGAGAGTGATTAGAGATTATTTGGTAGAGAGATATAAAGAGACACAAAGTCCTACTGCTGAAACATATCCCGCGATAAGCTTTAACATCAAAAGACCCCTTCTTCGATTTTGATCTTTGAACCCCATCTGATCTCACATAAACTTTTCACTCTTGAGCTTTGAAGACATCCAGCAAAGCCTCGATGCTCATCACCACGAAGTCTGAACCGTTTTCCTCTCTCCGCCGAACACTCACCTGATAACAATGGTTTGACGCTCATATATATTACATTCATAAAAATGAATAAGCAAAACCGTGCTCTAACCTGTCCCGTTGCAGCTTCGAAATCACCCACAGCCAGTATGTAGTTGTACTGCGCAGCCTGAGCTTCTCGCACCTACACCCAACAACAACAATTACAACAACAACAATAACAACCAAATTCATCACTCAAAATGCATACGGTAAATCCCTATGTTTCTGTGCACCGGACTGGAAGCATCTAACAGTTTTACCTTTTCCTCGATCTTTCTGCCACTTATGTCAACATCCACATAGTATCTAGCTTCGTGAATTTGATCTCTCACCTGGACACAAGAGGAATAACAAAACAAAATAAGATGCACAGATAATTAAAGACTACAAGAAATTGCGGGTGCTCTCTCATGAAAATTGCAAGTCGCAAATTTAAAACCTTTTCAGCGTAGGAACGATGTTTTTCTGACAAAGAGCACACTATGGCCTGGTGCGGACTAAGCCAGAAGGGCCATTTTCCTTCGTAGTGCTCTAACAATATGAAAAACATCTGCTCAACAGATCCCAACACCGCTCTATGTATCATCACAGGTCTCTACCTCTTCACTTCATCCTCAGCTGAGGACGAGTACTCCAGTTTGAACCGGTCAGGTTGTTGGAAATCAAGCTGGTACGAGGCAACAACACACTAATAAAGTAACCTACCAAGACATATGCAGGGAAAAAAAATAGATAGGGAGTCTAACCTGTAAAGTACCACACTGGATATTCTTTTTCACTGCATCAGAAATTCTAACGTCTATCGATGGGCCATAAAATTTCCCGTTTCCCTTGTTCAACTGCCAAAACATCACTTTTTGAATGAGTGCATGCTCTGTGAATATAACAAACTTTTTGAGTAGAAGCATCAGAAGATGCAATATAGCTGTTGGAACCGTCGAACACGGGTCAACCCAGTAAAAGCTCAAACTGCCTCATTTTGATGTAACACTCCAAAGTCAGCCAGTCTCATGGGTAATTGTACATACCAACATCACAAAGACAAGTATTAATGAGGCATATTGTCCTTGCCACTACAAGAACTGAAATGTATTTATAATGACTACAGGGACATAGCCCTAACCTCTACATGAGCGAACTCTTTGTTGGAAGAGCAAGCAGTGACCAGGGCAATTTACATGTTTGAGTCCGAATTCTTGTTTATCAACCTGCGAGAAAGTCAGTTCATTTTTCACCAGTTAAATAGTAGATCTACAAATGGCGACTTGTGAGCAAGAAGAATGTTAAGCTATTCATGCACACTTACATCAAAGGTAAACATATTTTCCTTTTCGTTTGCAGCATGTCCAGATGTTTCCCAGAGTTTCATGTTATACATATTTGGCGACATAACCTGCCAAATTCAAGGTTATATATTAGCAACCGAGCGCTTCCACACTTAAAAGAGATAGTGAGATGAGAGGCAGGAAAAACCTCAGTGTAACCCCTCTTCCAATATTCTTTCTTGATGAATGCCATCAACTTGTTATATACACGAGTGGCGTGTGGGAGGAAGAACCAACTCCCAGGGCTGAAAATTCTCACATATGTTATTAGTTTTGCGGAACAAAAAGAAAAGAGGAAAGTAGCTGATATTGAACAATAAAGAACCTGAGTTCGTGGCAAAAGAAAAGTTCTTGCTGTTGGCCCAGCAGTATGTGGTCACATTGCCTCGCATCTTCTGTATAGACCTGCAACGGCAAAGACAGAATAAAAGAAATAATGAATAGTCTGGACCTGCCGAATGATCTAAAACATTTTAACATTTGGGTATATTATCATCTGTATAGCCATGCCCCGTAAGAATTCTGCGAGCTCTGGCGGTCTCTGTTACTTATACAGTAAGATGATGACGCCTGAGATGAGATGAAATGAAATACAGAAGTTAAGAGTCAAACAAGAGAGAAATGAATGTGGATTATATAAGTGGGTATCAAAGACCAAGTTCAAACATCACAGCATTTAATCCACCATGAATTTATTATTATTAAAGAAAAAAAAGGTGCTCTTACCTCTTCCTCTCTGTTTGTACATGGCAAAATGCTTAACTTATCGAGAGCCTGCACCAACATCGACAGTAAATCGAAATGAAAATATGCCACAGAGGGAATTTTTCACAATCTGATGAAATAAAAATATTTACCAGATCGGAAACCGTGTCGCTAGAACAACCGAAAATGTCTGCGTCTTTCTCATTATCACCAATGGGTGGGTCTTTCTCACTATCAAGCAAACAATCACCTTCCAAACCCTTGGAGTTGTGCCCTTCTTCTTCTTTTGGCTACTTAGGACTACTCTCCCACACGAAGAAGAAGGGAACGGTTTGGAAGGTGATGGTTCGCTTGATAGGGAGAAAGACCCACCCGTCGGTGACAATTATCAAATTTTACCACCATAAAAAACAATTATCAGCATCGTATTTACATGATCGGAGGCTGCTCGAGCTGCTTGGCGTGGATCTCGTCGATGGGAGCTGACAGATACTTGGGATTATTATTAGCCGCCATCGATGGAGGAGCACAAGACCAACTAGTTTGTGAAAACGAGGGCTTTCCTCGCCTTTTGGACTCTCTTTATTTAGACCAACTACTACCAGACCCGGTTCAACCAAATCGAGACCGACTATGGTGGTCAAATGTAGTCAATCAGTCAAACCCAAAGACTTATTTTCAGAAGAAGGGCAGTTTTTACTTTTAAAAATCTACATTATTTAGCTTTCCTCCATATTATTATTTTTCAACAACAATGCATTATGTGTTTGAATGTGAAGATAACATCCACATCACTAAACAAAAAAAATTCCTTTTAATGCATATAAATCTAATCATTACATAAATTTATCTCTATCCATTAATTATAGCAGCCAGCCACAAGCCAGTTTCCGGGTTAGTAGGACAGATTGCAGTCCCATGCATTTAACGTCGTGCAAGATTAACATAAACACTAGCTACTTGCCATTTCTAGATAGAACTAAAGTAAAAAAAATTAAGATAAAGATTAAAAAATAGTAGTGATTAATATTTAATGCAAAGCTTATACCTTCCAAGGCTGCTGCTCACTTCGATCCCACTCAAGACTCCAAATAAAAAGCTGCAATGTCCATCACTCTTCTTCTTCATAATTCTCCGATCATCATTATCACTCTCTGTCTCTCTTCTACTTCAATGGCTCTTGTTCGTGAACGCCGTCGAATCAACCTCCGTCTCCCTCTTCCACCACTCTACGATCGCCTCCCCTGTTTCTCCTTTGCCTCCTCAACCGCCGCCGTCACATCCAAATTGGATGTCATCAACAATGGAATCTCCGCTTCCGATATCGAGAAACTCCACGTTCTCGGAAGCGGAACCGGCGGGATCGTATACAAAGTCCACCACAAAACCACGGGGGAGCTATACGCTCTGAAAACAGTCAACGGAGACATGAGTTCTACTTTCACAAGACAATTAACACGCGAGATGGAGATCCTCCGTCGCACGGAATCTCCTTATATCGTCCGGTGTCACGGGATCTTCGAGAAACCAATCGCCGGCGAGGTTTCAATCCTCATGGAGTATATGGACGGCGGAAACCTAGAATCTCTCCGCGGCGCCGTAACAGAGAAACAACTCGCTGGATTTTCCCGCCAGATTTTGAAAGGATTAAGTTATCTCCACTCTCTCAAGCTCGTTCACAGAGACATCAAACCGGCGAATCTCCTCTTAAATTCGAGAAACCGGCGAATCTCCTCTTAAACCGGCGAATCTCCTCTTAAATTCGGAGTGAGCAAAATCATGATCCGATCGTTAGATTACTGCAATTCGTACGTCGGCACTTGCGCTTACATGAGCCCGGAGAGATTTGACTCCGTCCGTCGCCGGAGAAAACTCCGATGTATACGCAGGCGATATCTGGAGTTTCGGATTGATGATGCTCGAGCTCTTCGTCGGACATTTTCCGTTGCTTCCTCAGGGACAGAGACCTGATTGGGCGACGCTAATGTGCGCCGTGTGTTTCGGAGAGCCACCGCGTACGCCGGAAGGATGTTCCGACGAGTTTAGGAGTTTTGTTGATTGTTGTCTCCGTAAAGAATCGAGTGAGAGGTGGACGGCGTCGCAGCTTCTCGGTCACTCTTTTCTCCGTGAAGTTCCGATTGCTTGTGATGTTACGGGTCTGGATCTTTTTTCCGGGTGACCCAAATCGCATTATTACTTATTGTAGAATTTGTATGATCAGAAAATATGAATACTTGCACTATTACTATTGAATCTTTTAAGAGACCACGTAGATAATTATGATTATCTCTCTAACAACAAAATATAAATCATCTACTCGGGATCATTTATACAAGAAATGGTTACGATGACCACTAAAATAGTTACAACATCGTATATTCATTGCAATAAAAATGTGCGTGATGTCTCAAATAAGTGTCGAGAACAAATCCTCAGAAACAGAGGAACTCTTCATTATGTCTTTTTTTCCCTCGCATTTCCCTCTATATTACATTATTACCTAAGGAGTAATGCTACATTTGGTTTTAAACCCGCCGGTTTAGCCAATCCAATATGACTCCAGCGATAGTTTCCCGTTCTGGTTCAAAGAGCAGATCGTGTAACAACCCATCGTAAAGCTTGATCGACTTATCGGACGAGGAAGCCTCGTTGTATAGCTTTTGGGTACCTTTAGGATCAGTAACTGTATCAGCTGTGCCGTGCATCACAAGAAACGGAACCTTGATTCTGCTCAGATTCTGCAGTAAATGAGCACCAAGTCTAAGGATCTCGTGACCGGTTCTTGCTCGGATAAATCCAGTGTAGACTAGCGGGTCAGAGTATTTAGCCAATAGAGCTTCCGGGTCACGAGAAACCGGCATTATTTTCTTTTTTGCAGCACTTAACTGATATCTCGGTATGAGGAACGAGAGAACTGGTGCAATTACCTGTTGAAAAAGCTCTAATTTTTAAGACAAAAAGCCACAATTTGTGAAAATTGTTCAGATTCTTGAGGTTTTTCAGGTTTGCTTACGCCGAAGATAGGATAAGTTGGTTGGACTCCAACTGCGGGTGAAGTTAGCACAATCCCTGAAACTCGAGCTTCAATCTTTGCATCTAGCATGGCCTGCAAAAATAGTTTATATAGTTAACATATGGTTTCAAGAGCAAAGATATGAACATGTTCAAAGATCTTTTAACCTTTAAGATTATGGCTCCTCCAGTTGAGTGGCCAATGCAGAAACAGGGCAATCCCGGGTTTTCCGCAATTACCTTCTCAAGAAACGTTTTCTACAGACATTTTTATTTCAGAGGCAATGTAATGTTTAAGCAGTGGTGGGTATGAGTTAATTTAAGCGAATGGCATGCCTTGGATTATACCAAATCAGCGACAGCATAATCAAGAGAAGCAACGTAAGCATGAAGTCCATCGCTTCCACCATGACCTATTTGACCAAGATAAAACTTTATTCAGTATCGAAAAAGAGAAACACTGATAAATGCTGAACACAAACACTTTGAATTGGTAAAGTGGTTTTACCGATCCAATCTATTCCATAGACCTTGAATCCATTAACATTTAGCTGCTTTGCAAAATCACTATACCTGCCACTGTTGAGCGTTTGAATAAAGACATGTTAGGCTTCTAATATTGAAGGAGATTTTATGATCAAATTAAAAGCTACAAAAGAAACCTGTGTTCGTTCAGACCATGTAGCAGAACAACAAGTCCCCTACAAACAAGCTCACAGATATATGTCAGCTTTAGGCCTAAGAAACCAAACAAGAAATAATACAAGAAGACTATAAACAAGAGATTAAAGATACAAAACTGGAAAAATAGGTGACACAAAGTTATATATAGTCAAGAGATCTTGAAGGTCAATGTATAACAAACACTGAAGACTTGGTCAAGAGAAACCCGTCTAGTGTACAATACATTGATTTTCAAAATCTCTTGACTAGTTAGCAGAATCCTCTCCTAAAGACTATCTCAGATATTTGTTTGATCTTCTTCACATGAATGCTAACAACATTGAGGAACTAATGAAATCTAAGTAGGGCAAAATTGAATCCAAGGTAACAAGGTAAAGGCCAAGGTAATAGTTAGGACCAGCTGAGAAAACGATGTAGGAATCCAAGAAAACGACATTTTCTTATCATAATTAAGCTCAAATTCTCGTGAACCACAAGACTCAAGACAGAGAGGGACCTATTCTTGTAGCTTTTTTCTCAACATAGCCAAAGCCTAAAAGATCTTTATTTACCAAGTTCCCAGAGAAACAATCCAATCAATCATCAATAACAGACAAAACAAGTAAGAAACGAGAATTTGACCTGTTCTTAGCGGAGTCAACAGGTGTCCATGACTGAGTGAACAACGTGTCACCCCTCTTGGTCGTGAATAGCGAGAAATCTCTGACGGAGCTTCCATCGCCACCGTTATCCTCCAAAACCCGCCTCATTGCCAAATTCCGTCTAACCGCCACTTCATCATCAACCACCGTTGTTGTCGGCGAAGAAGGGGAAACACCGCAGCCGATGTTCCTCTTCCTCGTCTTCTTCAGTGAAGATTTTAATCTCGTTGGCAACGCCTCCACCGACATTGATGATCGTCGAGTAGCAACGATACTAATCGGAAGATCATTTCGAATTTGAATCCGGTTTACATAAAACCCGGAAGAAGATTTTTTGATGGGTAATCTGGGAAATGAGTTTCCAGTAGCAAATACGACCGTTCCTTTACTTGAACAGATCATAAACAAAGAGAATTCAAAGACGATTTTGGATCGCCTTCTTCTGAAATTTTTGAATGGCGAAAGAAATCAAAATTTGGGGGTTTTTCAGAAGAGAGATAAACCCAGAACTCAAGAAGAAATTTTTTGAGAAGCAGAATCAACAAGACAGTGAAGCAATTGGAAAGTGAAAATCTTTCTAAGGAATGATTTGAGAGAACAACATTAACATTTAATTTTTAATTTTTATTTTTTTGGTTAGTAGCTGAGATAATTATACTATGGTTGTCCAGCGAAAAGGACGAGGAGAGTCTTCAAAATATGCCACGTTGGCACATCGTTGTTTCCATAAACCGCAGCGTTTTGTACAACTTTTGTTTTAGCAGTTAGGATTGAGCAAAGTAGCTAAAACAAACTCTTTCACCAAGAAAACTCTTAAAATATGGACTCTTTTAGGCCCTGAATGTTTACTAGTTTTTAATTGGTTTTGTTTTTTTGTTATAAATATAAAACTTATTAAAAAAAATCAAAAATGAAACATACTCACGTTGAAAAATAAAGTTTTCCAAAAAAATCTCAAAATCATGGTTTTTAGTTTCTCTTTGAAACTTGGAGAAACCACTCAAAAACTAGTTTTCCTAAATTTTAAAGAATCTAATTTTTTAAAATCTTGAATGGTAAAAATTAACAAAAACCAAAAACCACTTAAAAACTAGTAACTATATATATATATATATATATTTGCATGGAAAAACAAAATTCAAAGACTCAAAAAAGTTTTTTCAATGTAAAAACACAATCAGTTATTCAGTTCTCATAAATGGTTTAGGCATTAATTTTGTTTAAATGCTTAAGGTTCTGAATTTGTTTAGAAAATATACAAACACAAACAATTGAAATTGAAATTGAAAATATACAAACACAAAGAATTTCACGGTCCACTATTAACTGATAGAAGTTTTACTGTATTTTGAGAAATAAAAAAAAACGAATTGTACTTATTAAGTTTCCATACATAATGATTCTGAAAGAAAAATGCCGTAGGCATGGTTTCAAACTCTTTTACAAATCAAAAGCACAAAAATTACTTCACAGGTGAAGAAGATTAGAGATGTTGTCCCAACCAATGTTCCACTGCCTTCTATCTGAAGGCACAGCGAAATTGAGCTCGAACATCTCTTTAGAGATGTTACCACTTTCACAGAATCCAACTAGCTTCGCAACTATCTCTGCACTCTCTTGCACGTGCCTTGAATCGTAAGGATCAGTCCATAGCTTGTTCACGAACTGGAGTTTCCTCTGTTTCCCTTCCAATGGCACATCCCATTTCATATACAGCTCCTCTCTCTCCTCAGGCGTCAATCTTGAGTTAACCCTTTTCGCCAAAAACTCTCGCTCTCTTCTCAATGCTTTTATACTGAAAACGAAGCAATACCATATTAGTAGATGAAACTTTTTACAAGAACATTTTCCAAGTGAGAATTATATTCATTCATTCATTACCTTGATGATAGAGAAACCACGGATTCGTCGCAGTTTCGAGCTGGAGTTGCGTTACCTACTTCTGCTAGATGTTGTTCTAACCAAGTTAACCGTCTTAGCTCGACTTCCATGTAGATTTGATCGGCTTGATCACCTTTGAAGAGTAAATAGAATTGTGTCCTGTGGATTATGGAGACATGGCAGACATGCCACAGCTCTATGATCTGTTGTCTTTCCTCTATGAAAGTTATATGCCACGCAACTTGACTCTGCTCTTCATCTTCCATTATCGTGTTCTCCTCGTTCTCTACACTATATCCAGCTCCATCATTTGCTTCCAACTCAAGCACCTGCACAAGTTAAAAACTGATGAGATTTTTTAATGTAAAAGGAGGAAAAGATGGTTTATTTAAGGTTTGTTTTCTTTGTCTAACCTGACAAACGAGAAGTTGTTTCTGGTACTGTAGTTTAGCTACACGTTCTTTGAGTTCAGTTACGTATGCTCTTATGCTTCTCACGTTCTCCTCTGCTGCATTTTGGAACATTTGCTGCATTTTCTTCATGTTCACTGAGCTTGATCTCCTGTAGCCTGGTGTGCTTTCTCTTGACGAGACATCTCCGCTTTCTTCTCCTTTCTGTGGAGTCTCTTTCTCAGACCCTTGTGGTGTCGTTGCCCCTCTAGTTGCAGAGATGTTGTTCTCTTGAGGAGCTTTGTTCTCCGCATCACAATCCAAGACTTGCCTAGAAGCGGAAAGAGGAGAGCATGGAGATTTCAAGAAATTCTGGCGGTTGGAAACGCTGCTTGGTGTCAGAGGAAGAAGCTTCTTCTTCTTTGATTGATGATGATGATTCTTTGTCCTTGGGGTCTCATCTCCAGCATTGATATTGCTTGGAAGAGACATCACCAACTTATCTATTGACTTCTGAACGCTCTCAAGTTGCTCCTCTAGATTTGCAATGGTGCTTCCTTGTGAATGGAGCCTTGTTATCTCTTCCTTGAGATTGGCACTTACGCTTTTGTTAGGAGCTATGACATCTCCAACCTCTTTAAGCATTGCAGATGGTTTAACAGTACGCATTTCCCTTATCTCTGCTTGAAGCTTAGCTATCGTCTGAGCTGCATCTTGATTCCCTAGTCTATGGCAAGCTACTTCCTTCTGTAACACTTCAAGAGCTTTCGTTGCTTCCTCCCCTAACTGTTCTTGAAGGTGTTCAAGTTTGCGGATTTCATGCATCAATGTAAAAGGAGCAGTTGATGATTGCCGTATCATAGATTGGCGTATCGTGGTCTTTCTTGTTCTCTCATTCCGGTTTAGCGTTTTGTTCTCCGTGCTAGGTGTCACGACAACAGAATAGGAAAGACATTTTCTGACCGGTGGGTCTGGAGATTCAAAAGGATTTAGGCCCTGAGATACAACAAAAGGTTTAGTTTAAGCTTCAGCCAATCTTGTGAATATATTTAGTACAGTAGAGAGACAGAGAGGTAGAGTTAGAGACCTTATTTTGTGGCTGATCCCCTTGAAGCTTTTGGCGCAACTCCTCAAGTTGACTTTGTGCATCATCTCTTTGTCTCCTAAGCTCTTCGATTTCCATTTCCATCTAGAAATGTCACAAAACAGCCATAAACTAAGTACCAAAGCTTTGGGTCAATTATATATTTTGGTGAATCTAAAGTGGACAGAGACCTGCTGGATCTTGAAATCCTTTGCACTTGATGGATTAGGGGTTCGACGCTCGGCCTCCAATCTAGCCACTTCTTTCTGAAGATGTTTCACTAGTTGCTTATCAGAGACAACCTGTAGATAATAGACAACAAGTAAAAAATTTAGTTTGTTTTCATCCAAAAGGGCACTAAGAAGAACCCAAAGCATGGAACAAAGATCATTACCATGTTCACGTGGGCATTGTTTGTAACTTCCTTGGCTCGGTTGGCGAAGTATAGAGTATTTCTTGATTGTTCAACATGAGCCAAAGCTGGACTCAATGTACATATAATGGCTGTTCGAGCATTCCCACCTAGTGAATGCTGTAAAATCCGAGTAAGCTTGGAGTCTCTGTAAGGTACATGGCCGCTTCTTTTCCCCACACTATGAAGAGTTCACAGATTCAGATAAAATAAGTTTATTACTTAAAAAATCTTTCTGATTTTAATGTCACTCTCAGAAAATATTTAAGTACATTACCTTAACTTCCTTATGACAGTTGTAAGTGTCATTAGACTTAGATTGATATGGCAACCTTCCCTGAGTCTCGTTCCATCTGCCTGAGATTGTGATGCTCTTTCGCTTCCTGCTAAGTCCACAAAGTTCTGCAATGCGCACACACACACTAAGTCCACAAATTTCTAGTTAAACATTATGCAAAAACAGAGAAATTGAACAGAGAGGGATCAATTTTTACCAGACTAGCCATGTATGACCTCACACAATCTGAATTTTCGCGGTGAGTACTTTGTATCGTCTGTTTTGCCATCAAGAACATGTTATTAGCATTTGCAGGGTCTATGCATTTGTGGTTTAAAGAATCAATGAATTAAGAACAGTACTAGTCTAATTATTTGGTGTGACCGGGAGCTGGTATCGTTCAAAGCAGTTTCCCCAACTTGTCTTTGAGCTAATACAAAGAAAATAAACACCAACAGTCAGTTTTACTGAACAGGAATGAACCAGGAGAATATAATTACAAAAAGCCAAAGAGGAATTCAAGTTACCTTCACAAATGCTAATCAGATGCCGCAAATGTTGATCGTTATTAGCTGTTTCTTCAACCAGTTTTTCAACCACGGTACCTTTCTGCAATTGTGGATTATAAGGTGATTAGATCAATGAAAGTCTACATTCAATCAAAGCCATAATATCAGCAAGAACATGATTAATGTAAATTAGTGTGATACCTCTGGATCATCAAGGAGTTTAAGGGCACGTCCGGAATCTGAATTCAGCAGATCTCTGACATTTTCATTATATATTTCCAGACCAGAAATCTTGATAGTAAAATCTCTTTCAGGGGTCTGGAAACAACAGTGAAACAAATAAAGGTATTGGTCAGAAGAAATGCACTGACATCTAAAACATTGATCACAGCAATGCTTACCTTAATTATGTGATTGTAAATATCATTGACAGCTTTCTCTGTTACTCCTCTCATGGTGTATGTCTTACCACTGCTCGTTTGTCCATATGCAAAAATTGTCGCTGAAACATTAAAAAAAAAAGAAGTTAGTCATGTATGATAAATCCAAGTAAAATACAGAATTTAGTCATAAGACAATAACCATTTATGCCCATCAAAGCAGACAATGCAACATTCTTAACACCATCTTCATACACATTCTCTGTTAAACTCTCTGGTCCAAAAACTTTATCTGAAATCAAAAGAGTGCATTAGTAGCCATCACAAACCTCAGGACTTAAGAGTTGGAAAAATGAGGTATTAAACTTCAATTACCAAATGTAAATGAGGACTGATGATGCAAACGTTCTTGAACTTGTGGTTTAGACACAATGGTGTGGTCATCTACACATTCCCAAGCAACTTGGTCTTTAGCTAACAGTTCTTTCTTGTTCAATGGTCTTAACCTTACAGTGACAACAATCTTCTCTTCCCTGGATCTTGAGCTTCCACCTGGTGTTACAGCTGGTGTTCTGTCCATCTTCGAAACCGGAGTTCCCGGTGTTTTTATAGTCATTTCCCTACATATATTCCCACTTTTGTTCATCAGATCTAATAGATCAACTGAACTCTAACTTATAATTTCCCCAAATCTAGGAATAATTTTGAAATTAATCAGATCTATGAAAAAAACTCATATAAGGCAACATTTTTCAGGAATATCCAGACTTAATCCGTAAAAGGAAAACTTAGCTTCTTCAGATTAATTTCATCAAATCCAGAAATGTTAAATATGAAACTTCCCAAAACTTCATTTCACTAAACAGATTTAACGAAAACATAATTAAGAGAGATCAAACACTTACAGAGTAAAAAATAAACCAATGAATCGGAGTAGAGAGATCCCAGACAGCGAAGATTAGAGAATCGTGTCAGATCGACGACTGGAGATAAATAAAAAGAATAAAAGAATATTAGAGAAGAAGAAAGATAGTGAGAGAGGTTTCTGGGTTGCGTCTATCTTTCTTTTGTGGTAGAAATGATGAGGAAGAAAACGGATTTTGGGGGTTCTTTTGTCTTTACGGAAATGCGTGCAGAGTGTGATTTTGAATCTGATGAACCTCCAACGGCTAGTTCTTTCCCCGTTTCTTTTGAGGGGCTTTTATTTTTAGCTTATTCCAACGACTATCCTCGCATTTTCATTTCTTCAATAAATCAGCTTAAATTCAATTTTTTCTCATTTTCTATTTTATTCAATTTTCTCTACTGGTTTGTTTTTTTTTTTCTGTCAACCTGTTCAATGTAGATTATTATTCCGGTCTTAACTTGTTGTTACATCCGAATTTTATTTACGTTTTTACTGGATATAAAATTTGTTTTTCTTAGCTTGCGTCTTCACTTTTTCCTTTGCTAAGATTTTGATGTATATTTTGTCTTCTTGTGAATTATATTATTGGCTTCCAAAACAAAACGCTCATTATTCTATTTTTAGAAAAAAATCCTGTACAATTTTAATCTATTTGCAGATCAAGCGAGAAATAGTAAGTACTATCAAATTTGGCGTATAAAAATACTCCCTCCGTTTTAAAATATAAAACATTTTAGCTAAAAACACACTGATTAAGAAGATCTACTTTTTAAAAGTTCAATCAATCATAAAAGAGATAGCATAATAAAATAATCATAAAATATTAAAATAATATATAATTTGCATAAAACTTGAAAACGACTTATATTGTGAAACAAAAAAAGTTTTTCAAAAACACTTTACATTTTTTAAAAAGAGAGAGAGTAGTAAACTTCGTTTACACCTCATTATGCTTCACTAGGCAGAACCTCCCCTCTATCGCAAGTGGGACTGGAATATTATACGAGTCTTTGAGGTGTGAAGTCAAAGGTCTTTGGCATGAGATTTTGAAATATCTGCAAGCCTGTAATATTTCATTTTTTTATATAGCAACTTTAGTTGAAAATGTATATATACTACGAATAATTATTAACAACCCCAAAATCAATGGATAAAATAGTAACACAACTCAAAACATAAAACATGTATTCTCATTTTCCTTGGTCAAAATTCAAACATCTAAAAAAAAAAAAATAGCAATTCCCCATCTCTTCAATGGTGTATTTTTTGATTGGATCACAAGTCTACCATTCAATTGACTTCATAATAAAGTACATCAAAACCATGTTCACTCAGATTTTGTTGCCATTATATATTGGACAATTTCCACCAGTCCGCAATTTTTTACAAAATTACGATTGAAGTCACTTAGTGAGGTTTAATGAAATATTAACATCATACTCTATTGTAATTCGATTGAAGTGTTTTTTTGTATGATCATCAGTTCTCTTCATTCCTTTTCATATAAATAGTTTTCGTATATTCAATAATGACTTTGTAAGTTTGCAGTCCAATTTATATATTGGAAGCTTAAAAACGCAATGGTTTTTCAAGAAATTTGTTGACATACTTAAATTTTTTATTTTTGGGTCACGGAATTAAAATGTTTATAACTTACAAATAAGGCATTAATTAACGTGAGTCGAACAATTGTATTTGAATGTAAACCATCAATCAAGTCGATATTTATAGGTATCAACAATCAAGTCGCTTTCAGTATGTCCAAAAAAAAAAACACCTATAGTTCCAAACAAGTCAAATAACCATTAAAGATCTGTATGAATCTCTGACCGTCCATTTTCATATACATAAAATAATTTATTTAGGATGTGATTATTATGTAATCACTAATCAGCGATCTTATACTGTTTATAATTCGCCGGACGCCTGTATGCAAATAAAAGTCGTCACCGATCATTTTGACCAATCTTCCATAAAATCCCCAAAACCCTCTCACCAAACAAAAAAAAAAGCCTTAGTTGTCAAAACCCAATGTCCATCTTTCTTCTCTTCATCACCTTCGTCGTCTTCTCCATCGCTGACCTCCCGTCGTGCTTCTCCGCCGACCAACAGTACCAGAAGTGTCGCTCAGGTCTGACATGTGGATCTGGACACAAGGTGTTCGAGAAGAACACCACGTACCCGTTCTGGGGATCCAAGAAACCCAAATTCTGCGGCCAAACACCATTCGAACTCTCCTGCGACGGTAATCAAAACCTAACTCTAGCGATCGGGGATCTCACACTTCGCGTTGTTTCTGCTAATCTGGAGAATCAGACAATTTCTGTCGCCGATGATAGCTTGTTAGACGGAGGTTGCCCAGAGATTTGGAACTTCACCGGGGAGAATCAGTTCACATTAGACTCCAATACCGAGAAGATCGATCTATTCATTTGCTCCTCTAATCCCGGGAAAGCTTCGTTGTCAAATTTTACTTGCAAACGAAGTCAGGAGACTTCGACAACATATCATGTCTTTGTATCACCGGATTTTGGCCGAAACTGTACAAAAATTGGAGACGTTCCGATGCTCAGGTCTGTTAAGGACCATCTTCACATTCGGGGGTCAAATCTAACATTGGAGAACGCTTTGAGAAAAGGATTCGGTTTGAGTTACCGATTAAAAGATACATCTTGCCGGCGATGCTCCAACTCCGGTGGGATTTGTGGTTCCGACTCAGGTTCCGAGAGTTTCCGATGTCTATGTGAAGACAGACCTCACATGTCCTCCTGCGACGATGGAGATGGCGTTAACCCTACCCAAGGTTAGTCCTTAATCATTTAGATTCAAGATTAGTTTCCATCACTCGATTCTGCACATAGACTTTAGAACGATACTTTGACCAATTGGCAGAGAATTGACCCAAACTTTTAATAATCTTGTTTTAAGACATATTTTGACTTTTTCAACTTGGTGTTCGGTACGTGTTCTGTTTTCCATTTATCATTTAAACAGAATTTGTCCTAAGCAATGCGTCTATCTTCGCTCCAAAAACATTAGGATTACAGCTGGTTTTTCGTAACGCGAGCAGGCGGCTGGATCAAATCTTGGGCTTTTTGGGCCGAACACATCAAACCCGGTTTACTTTTTTCTTGAAAAACGACTTTTTAATTTCTTGTGTTTGAAGTTTCTGCTAGTAGACCGACGACTCTAACCGACCCTCTCTTGAACAAACAAATCTTTTTTACAGAAACCCCATCATACTTCCATTACAATGATTTTTCCAGTTTTAAAAATAACAATTATTAAGAGCCCTAAATTTCCCATTACGATTTTTTTCTTTGTGGGGTCATCTTCAACCTCAGAGTCAGAGGCTCAAAGAGACAAATTAAAAGTTTCAGTTTTTAAGTCAAATTGCAGTCTTTATTTTCTTTACACCAAGAAAAATTAGTATTATACTCTTTGCGCACACTAGTTGAGCAAACTTTTTTAACTCTCACCCACTCCTTTGAAACTCTTTGATTTCTTTCTGTTTTGTTCTCTTCTTCTTGTTTCTTCTTCATCTAATTTTTTTCTCCTTACCCTAAAAATGGATCATTCAACACCAAGTTTACTCTACACATCTATCTTCTACTTCACAATAATAGCAACTCAAACCCTCTCTCTTGATCCAAAGTTCAAGGCTTGTGAGCCGAAATCATGCGGCAGAGGTCCCGAGATCTCTTATCCATTCTATCTATCTGGAAAGCAAGAATCTTTTTGTGGTTATCCAAGTTTTGAACTCGCTTGTGATTATGAACAAAAGCTCCCTGTTCTCGGGATCTCTGGTGAGGAATACGTCATCAAGAACATATCGTACTTGACACAGTCATTTCAGGTCTTGAACTCAAAGGCGTCTCATGATGATCCATGTCCCAGCCCTCTGCACAATCTTACCCTGCATAGGACTCCTTTCTTTGTGAACCCTTCTCATATCAACTTCTCCATACTTTACAATTGCTCCGATCACCTGCTGGAGGATATTAGGACATACCCTCTTACTTGTCCTGGCAACACGAGTCGTCTTCGATCTGTTGGGATCTTTGACAGGAGGAAACTTGAAAAAGAGAAAAAAATTGCATCCATGTCGTGCCAGAAACTAGTCGATGTTCCTGTTTTAGCTAGTGACGAGTCTGATGTGATGGGTATGACTTATGTTGAGATATTGAAGAGGGGTTTTGTTCTGAATTGGACTGCAAACAGTTGCTTCCGCTGCATCACCAGCGGCGGGAGATGTGGAACTGATCAACAAGAATTTGTTTGCTTGTGTCCTGATGGACCTAATATTCATGATACTTGCACGAATGGTAACTACTTGTGAATTGACGTCTAATTGATCTTCTGACATTGTTTCTGTTTCTTTGCTGTAGTATTCTCAAATTCATTGTGATAGATTTTTTTTTTTCAATCTCTGATTGGCTAAGTAAAATGATAGTCTCAGTCTATATGTTCTTGCGAATGCTGAAATCTGAAAGTCCCCTGACTGGTTCATTCTTCTTTGTTTCTTCATTCCAGGCAAAAATGGTAAAAGAAGAAGAGTGATGGTGAAAATTCTCATAGGTAAAATTCTTTAAACTTCTGTTTTGGGTTACTTTGATTTGTGGTTATAATAACTAGCCAGTATTTAAATAGATTCGATTTTGATTTATGCTCGTGGCCTCACCATCAAAAGATATAAAATTATACGTTGGCAAAGTATGCGAACTTGGTTACAGTAGTTATGTTATGCTCTGTTTTTCCGTTAATGATCCAGCTCAAGCTCAAGTTTTAACAGATTACAAAATCCCTCTCAGGTGCTTCCGCTGCCGTCGCGGGATTAATAGCTGCGAGCATCTTTTGGTATGTGTATCATCGTAGAAAAACAAAAAGTTACAGAACTTCTTCAGCATTGCTTCCAAGAAACATCTCATCAGATCCATCTTCAAAGTCTTTTGACGTTGAGAAAGCAGAGGAACTATTAGTCGGAGTTCATCTTTTCTCTTACGAAGAGCTTGAAGAAGCCACTAATAACTTCGACCCATCTAAAGAACTCGGTGATGGAGGCTTTGGTACTGTTTATTACGGCAAGCTTAAAGATGGAAGAAGCGTAGCTGTGAAACGGTTATACGATAACAACTTCAAAAGAGCAGAGCAATTCAGGAACGAAGTTGAGATCTTAACTGGTTTACGCCATCCAAACCTCGTGGCTCTCTTTGGATGCTCCTCAAAACAGAGCCGGGACTTACTGCTAGTGTATGAGTATGTTGCAAACGGCACGTTAGCTGATCATCTACATGGTCCACAGGCTAACCCGAGCTCACTTCCTTGGTCTATTCGGCTCAAGATCGCTGTTGAAACTGCATCTGCGTTGAAGTATCTCCACGCCTCCAAAATCATCCACCGTGATGTTAAATCCAACAACATCCTTCTCGACCAAAACTTCAATGTCAAGGTTAGTAACTCACACTGGTTATCACTTATAGAGAAATCGGGTGGGACATCCCGGGCCGGTCTGTATTGAGTCGGACCTTGATTTAGTCATTCGATTCCCCTGTCCTGATTTGGTCATGTAGTTCCCCATCATTGTGTGATTTGATATTATCATAAACTTAACTTCGTTCTTCTTTGTTTCCTGTTTTTCGACATTTAGGTTGCGGATTTTGGACTCTCTAGATTGTTTCCTATGGATAGAACGCATGTATCAACCGCTCCACAAGGAACCCCAGGCTACGTAGACCCGGATTACCACTTATGCTATCAACTCTCCAACAAAAGCGACGTGTACAGCTTTGCAGTAGTGTTAATGGAGCTTATCTCCTCGCTTCCAGCAGTTGACATCACAAGACCGCGCAACGAGATCAACCTTTCAAACATGGCAGTCGTTAAAATCCAGAACCACGAGCTCCGCGACATGGTGGATCCATCACTCGGGTTTGACACGGATACAAGAGTGAGACAGACGGTGATCGCCGTCGCTGAACTGGCGTTCCAATGCTTACAGTCGGATAAAGATCTTAGGCCATGTATGTCACACGTGCAGGATACGCTGACGAGGATACAGAACAATGGGTTTGGTTCGGAAATGGATGTTGTAGATGTGAACAAGAGTGGACCGTTGGTTGCACAGTCTCCTGATAGTGTCATTGTGAAATGGGACAGTAAGTAAATTAGTCGCACGGCCTAACATTTGTATGTGTTCATTATTTTATGTTTAAGATTGTCAATTAACAGTTAGAGATTGGTGTTTGTGTTCTGTATTAGTAGATGATATTTTTGGGAATGTATATATGATCTTGTTCCGATTCCACGTATAGAAGGACCGTAACGTACAAAAGCCCGTGATTTGGGCCTGGCCGGACTAAATCAGCAATAACTTACTGAAACTATATATTTTATTTGTGGTTAATTTTTATTTCTTACGAAAAAAAAAGATATTGAGGCATCAAACTAATAATGGTAATTAACTAAATAATACGATCAGAGAGATTTAATTAAACGTCGTATAATATATATGTATATTAAGCCTATCTTCTGTTTACAAAATTTCCTAATTAAAGCACACCAATTTGGGCATGGATGCTTTACTACATCTATTAATGAACACGTTAGAGAGTAAGTCGTCTTGAATTGTAAATTGTATGTGAATCCAATCCCTCCACCATACATAATTGATAATTTATAGTAATGGCCTAACTAAATATTGACATTTGTTGCAACCTAGCTAACTCTTTCCTAAAACTCAATGTGTTTGATCATCAAAAGGACAAACAAAAGAAGTCTCTAGTATGCCCACCATTAAAGTGAAAAAATTGTCTTTACCAAAAATATAATAATTTGATAACTTAAAATTTTACATAACTAAAGAAAGATTCATAGATATATTGACGTCAACTTAAAATTTGTCGATTAATTGTCATTGGCCATTTGGAGGTATAAGTTGGCAAATGGATGTGATCTCTTACCCTATACACCTACATAAAAACCCCTCCATGCAAAAACATTAATGGATGTTTTCGTTAAAACAAGTTTTGATATCAAATAAGCTGACTAGCTACATCCATTTGATCATTTTCTTCTTAATATTAATAATAAATTTAAAGATAGGCCACTAATTCCTTAACCTTACACCAAACTGACTAGAAATGTTCTTCCCCCTTGCAAAGAGAGAACGCCTAATGGAACCCACGACCAAACACTGGTCCTACTTTCCCTTGTTTGGACATATCTCCCCGACACACAAATCCCACAACGTTCACTTGCCCACGTGGCCCTCCCTTTATTTCTCTCTTTTTCTTTCTTAATTTTCTCCACATTTATTTTTCTCAAATTATAAATTAAATTAATAAAAAAATCCAATCGAACAATATAAAAGTCTCAAGGTTTGTATCAACCAGTCTCAAGAAAACTCATATCTCAATTCATTATAGTAATGGCAAATTTCGAGAATCTTTCTTCTGATTTTCAGACAATAGCCATGGATATATATTCGTCCATAACTCAAGCTGCAGATCTAAACAATAACTATAGTAACCTTCATTTTCAAGCATTTCATCCTTCCTCTACTTCTCTCGACTCGCTCTTCCTTCATCACCACCAGCATCATCATCAACAACAATTACTTCGTTTTCCCGGAAACTCTCCAGACGACAATAGTAACAATTTCTCCTCAACTTCAAGTTTCCTCCATAGTGATCACAACAACGTCGATGAACCCAAGAAGAGAAAAGCTTTGTTACATACTATGTCTTCGTCGGAGAATAGTGGTGTCTCTGATAATACGAATGTTATTACTACCGAAACCGTAATCGATCTTGAAATGAAACCCTAATCTTATCATTCTCATAACTCATTAAAATTTCGTTTTAAATAATTGCTTTTGTTTCGTACAAAAATCTAGGGTTCTTTGAGAAGAGGTAAGAGGTTGAAGAAGAAGAAGGAAGAAGAAGACGAGAAAGAGAGAGAAGTTGTTCATGTGAGAGCCAGAAGAGGCCAAGCCACTGATAGCCACAGCTTAGCAGAACGGGTAATATTGCTTAATTATTTATATAAAATTCATTTTTATTAAAACGTTGGTGTATTCATTTAAATATATAAATCTATATCCAAATTTCAGGTTCGGCGAGGGAAAATAAACGAGAGATTGAGATGCTTGCAAGATATGGTTCCCGGATGTTATAAGGTAATTAAAGAATGCAAAAAGAAATAAATAGGTTCAACATTTTCAATCTTTTCATTTAGTTTAACACTTTCCTTTTCAGTAATCTAAATAGAAATTAATGGCCATTAAATAATAAATAACATATGAAAAGGTCATCGCAATTAAATAGCACTAATTATATTTGAATCAAATTTAAGCCATATTATGTACTTTATGATAAAATAATATTTTTAGTTAAACCACAACATATTTATCCAAAAGTATTTTTAACATGCGTGTGTGCGATTTTAGTTTCTTCTTTGATAACTCATAATATTTTACGAAAATTGTTCTTCCGATTTTTTGTTTAGTTTGTTTGTTCACAAAGAACACACCATTTTTTTTTCGTGTAAATAGTGGTGTGAATTTCTATGATTTATTGGTGCTTACTGCTTAATGAAAGTGTATGTTTGGTGGGTGCAGGCTATGGGAATGGCTACGATGCTTGACGAGATAATCAATTATGTCCAGTCTCTACAGAATCAAGTCGAGGTAAATAATTTAATTTGTAATACTGAACTACAGTTAATAGGACTTTGTCTTTTTGTATTTTGGCAAAAGAAAAAAAAAAAAACTAAAAAATGGTATTTTCATTTCATGGGAGGTTCGGGCAAACCTTAGTTATTCGAAAAATACAAGAATAAAATAAAATCAGAAACCTTACCAAACACTTAAAACCCCTTCTAAAACGAGTTATTAATTAATTTTTATAATAATTACTCAAGTTTGTTTTATGTTTTCTGTGGATTCAGTTCCTCTCGATGAAACTCAATGCAGCAAGTTCGTTTTATGACTTTAGCTCAGAGACCGATGCAGTTGATTCCATGCAGGTACTAGAACATTCTAATAATGTTTTTCAATAATCAAGATAAGCAAAGATATAATTAAATAGTGGTAGAGATGTTGTGATGGGTCCGGTTTTTTTATGGAGTCAGTTCTACAAAGATTAATTCAAATACAAGTGTTTATAGTCTAGATTCAATCTTATTATAAGACTATATGATCATGCGGACTATATGAACCGCTATTAAAATATGTTCGACAGGTCAAATCCGGCCTTTGCATAATTGATCTTATATATGGTTTACGTCTTCCTTTAAATTTTTTGGCATTATATATATATATATATATGTATGGTTTAAGTCTAACTAGTTGTTGCTATGACAATTACTATTAATGTGATAAATTATATGTATTGAATAATATGAATGGAATACAATTGGCAGAGAGCAAAGGCACGTGAGACAGTGGAGATGGGGAGACAAACAAGAGATGGGAGTCCTGTCTTCCATTTATCAACATGGTCCCTTTGACTTTTGTTTTCTCTTTTCTCTTTTTCTTCTTTTTAATTGTTTTTGAAATTATTCTTATATTTATTTGGATGCGATATGTCATATATACGACCCAGCTTGGGATAGTATTTGTAATCTTTATACTTGTAATTTCGACGTTATAAATTTGTTGATGACTTATAATTGTCATGTAAATATCTCAGTTGTCCTCTTCCTTTTCGTTTTGTTATTTTGTTGCTTGGCACCTTTTTCCTTTTCCGCTTTTGTAAATATGTAATTGTCCCTTAAGTTATGAAATCAGAAATAAATTTCAACAGAAACAAATTATTTTATTTTTGCAAAAGAAGTTATAAACCATGGATGAATTAGCTCATATGTCAAAGTGTTGAGGAGTGAATTAACGATGATGAGAAGAGAGAAAGCAATTGTAAATTGTATATACAGTACTACAAAATCTTCAATGAAATGTGATTAGTCTTTAACATAAAGAAATGAGTGTTACTAGTCAGTTTAAATATTGATTTTAGTTTAGTTTTAGTTTATTAATTTGGTTCTTAGTCTGGTTACTAAACCATTTTACGGACATGCATGTGCTTTTGATGTCTGGAGTTCCACTTCACTTTCCTACGTAAAGTGGGATAAAAATGGCTTCGAAAATAGAATTACTAATGAAGATTAGTTTATAATATAAAACGATAAACATAATTGCTTTTGGTTACTAAAAACATAACATTTTATATAGCATGCAATTGGATTTTTCAGATAGTAGGGATTCTAGCTTAAACTGGATTAACAGAAAAGCAAATAAAACCATTTGAGTTTTGAAGAACAATTATATGAATTATGGCTATTATTACTTTTGTTCGATTCTGATATTAATTAAAGTACTTGTTGCAAAATGGTATAAGTATGTAGTTGGTGTAAACTAGCTAGCCATCCCAAAGGTTAAAATTCAAGTATCGGCCGGTGCCCACATGATGGAGGGCTGGTGGCTTGGCCGGCCCAGGGTGGTTGGATGCAACTCCCTCCTTTCCATGGTTCGACTCCTCTTGGTGTTATCAATAGGAAGTCTGTCAGTTGGGCTTTGGTCCAATTGGTTTACCTGGTAGTCAGAAATGCAGGCGGCCTGACTATCCCCTGGCACTTAGTCGGAAGACATTCCAAACTCGGGATAGACAGAGTGGTAGTCCGTAAGGGCCTAACCGTTAACACGGTGGACCAGTCCACTATGTAGCACCTCGGTGCGTTCCTACCGGGACCGACCGGATAGCCGATAGGGTTAAAAAAAAAAAAAAGTATCGGCCGATGACAGAATAATTTAACGTGTTTTGATTTTCGGTCCAAAAAAAATGTCTTTGGGTCTAAAACCAATATTTTTTTTTTTTGGATTTAAAAGTAGTTGAATATTTACCATGAAATATTGTGCATTTTCGTAACTAGTCCTAACAAAATAAATTCAGGCTCAGTATTTAACAAAATAATTAATAGAAAAAGAGAAATTAATCACAACCAAAGTGAAAGAGCGAGATAGGAATAGTTTACACAGATACCATGAACTGGAAGAGGCAAGTTGCAAGGTTTGGTAACGAAGAGGAATTATGGAACCAAAGAGACTTTGTCGGTGTAAAATAACAAAAACACCCTTCACTTCTGTAGCTTTCCAAAGGCAATGATGTGTGTCTCCCAAACCAAAAACAGAGACAAAATAGTAAATTGTGATGCGAAGCCAAAGGACGTGTTTTACAGACGAACAAGCAATCTTTTGAGACTGCTTCCTTCCTCTTTTGTGGTCTCTCTTATTATCCATATATGAATATCTCTTCTATATATTTATTTATTTATCTGTTCATATTTTTTTCTAAAATAATTCCAATAGCGACGGTTCACTTCACAGGATCTTATGGATGTTGCCTATTCATAATCTTTATGATTGATAGAACAATTCAGATATTTTGTATGATCGTATATATAAAGAAAGTGAGGATATAACAATGGATACACTTTTGTCTTTCTGTTATTCTCTAGCTCTATACATGTTTCTTTATTTTTATTTAAAATTTTATGACACTTTGGACACTACTCATTCAATATTCCATATACATGGCAGGTCGTAGCCGAGGTTTAAGTTTTATCTTTGTAAATGCAGCTATTACGCAATTTACTCGAGATTAGTTTGGTATAGATGGCTTATGATGATAAAATCCTTACCAAAATATTTGGAATATTAATACATGATAGATATGTTTATGCATAGGTTCGTGCATGAAATAAACTTCTATAAAAAAAACAAAAATCCGAGAGCTAAAATGCAAACTTGTTAATAACTACTTCGAGAGCCAAAAAAAAAAAACTAATAAAAAGAAAGACGAAAAGATGCATGCATCCCATGGCATTCATAAGGACAGCTTGAAATGGACCATTCGTCGAAGGATGGTCAATGTGGGATTTCATTTTATGTTTACTTTCTCGTTGTTTATTGAAAAAGGCTCGTTTTCATGATTAAATCTTACAGATTTTTGTGGTTGTTTCAATTCATAAAAGTTTTTAGTGTTGTCGAAAGATATTAATTAATAGCAGTCATAGATCTAATTTTATGATCCTAAAATCCAACAAAATACAAGTCAGGGGTCACATATACTATGGATTATTCCTCTTGGTTTTTAGGTACAAGCTACTGGTTTCTACACAACCATTTGTTTTGTCTTTTTGTATATTTTAATTGTATTTGCCTATTTGGTGATCTAAAAGACTAAAACTATATCTTCTTTGTCTGCTTTAAGACCAAGATCTATTTGTTTTTTCCTCCACTGATAAGTATATGAGCAATGGGCATGAAAGCAAAATGTCAGAGAGTGTCTAACAACTATTATAATCATTCATCATCTTAAAATATAGTGATATATATATATATATATATATATATATGTTTTGCCATGTTTATTATAATTTTAATATTTTCCAATGATTAATACACAAAAATGGTTAAAATCTTTAGTTGCCCATGACGCTCAAACAGAGTCTCTCAACTACTTAATCTTAATTTTTCTGAACTGGTCAATGATTCTGTTGCTATCTTAACATACATGAAACAGCATATTATGTTCAGGATGATGTTTTTTATTAGATGCTGAAGAGGACAGAATTGGGGGTTTACAATAACTAGTGAAAATATTGGGGCCCCAAAATATTCCAAAAATAGATTTGGCGATCACATCATTCGGTGACAGAGAACAAAAACTGGGCTAAATTCAAGTATGCAAATAACACTGTGGGGACTACCCACCAATAATATTTTGTTAAGTGGGAATTTCTATGGATCGGATTGGAGCTAACTGTTGATACAAGTTGTTATCTTAGCTTTTCAAGTTCCTTTCTCATTTTATAATCTTCTTTCCCACTTTCAATAACCTTGCTGTTACATATGCACACTATTCATATAATATAGTAGAGTTACTATAAATTTTTACCCCATTTTGAAGAAGAGTACTACAATTATGAATTTATGATGAAATATTATTGTCAAATTTCTAAAAAACTTCGTGAGAGTAGTACGATTCGTATATTAACAAAATAAATTTACAAAATTAGGTCCCAAATGAAACCATTGATCATTTGATTTGGGTTCATAGAGGGAGAGAAAAAATTAGCTGCTAAGGACAAAATAGTATTTTCAGGACCACCGTTTGGAATCTTTCGATGACTTGAGCAAATTAGAAGCACTTCCCGTCTTCTTCATGCCTTGAGAACCTTGAGAAACAAGCAATTTATATACATCATCATCACAAGTCCGAACTAATAGCAAATATAACAATCTCTTCGACTTATAACCTAAACCGTATAAATTTTGTTTTCTTACTTGGTGACGACAAGCCTGACGTGGCCTTTGCTATGTTCGACGTCCTCGTAGCGACTTGCTTGAGTTTATCAAGTGGTCGTGATGTTGTCGTACTACTCCTTGGAGTCACCGGTTTAGGTCTGCAATTTTCAGGATTCTCACCAATAAATATGTTTCAAACAAAAAAATTGTAAATTTTCATATTGAAGCAAGAGAGGAAACAAAAGAGGTTACTTGTCTGAATACTTTAAAGGTTTTCTTCCTTCTGCTGAAGGAGCATCAATGGATTCTGTTTCATCATCGTACTCTGCATCAATGGAGGAAGCTAAGGTCTCACCATCCGTGACAGAGTGTCGTGACTGTCTGGTATAATCTTGTTGGATTCTTGAGTCGTCTTCTATAGACAACTGTGAATCTCCAGCTTCTGAGTTAAAGTCATCGGATTGTCCTAAGCTTTTTCTCTGCAGTCTCTGTGGATAATTAATGTCCTTAAGCAAATGAAGCCGCTCTATCTCATCGTCTTTTCTCGCTATTGTGTCCTTAAGGGACCCTAACTGCAACAGTTCTTAAGGTTTAGTGAAATATCGAGCTTTTATGATCGATCTAATTGGAATCTATATAAGAGAAGAATCATGAGATATTGTGAGAGTGTGTTTTAGTTTTTTTACCTGCTCCATTAAGTCTCTAACGTCTCTACCATCTTTGCTGCTTTTTGCAGCACCTAACTCAACTCCAGAGACACGCTCTGCGAATTTCAAAGTACTCATTGACTCTGAATATGAAGTAATATCAGGATTGAGTTGAACAAACATCAATGTCTTTGCTCGACCACCTGTCATGTTAAACACACAGAGATAACTTAGCTAATCTCCTTCACGATGTAAAAAACAAAGTAGAATTTTTTTAGCTAACCTAGAGAGCTTTGGAGAAGCTGAGTTAGTTTGCTGTTCCTGTATGGTACATGAGAACTCTTTGAAGCAAGAGAGAATATCACATCTCCTAGAGCTGAGAGTGACTTGTTTATATGTTGTGCTTCTTTAAGTCTGTCTCCTGTAACTTCAGAGCGATCAACTCTCTCACTACCGGCCAGATCTACCAAATGTAGATTTCCATACAGCACAGAACCGGTCTTCAAGTCCTTGCCACGAACATGAACAGTCACAATGCTGCATAAGGAATCATCTATCAAAGTTATTTTTGTCTTTTCTCACATACCCTAGGAGACCTAATTATCAAGAGAATGATAAAAGACAAAACAAATGTTTGTTTCAGAGAACAATATGAGAACCTGTGAGAGCGGCTACTTCTTTCGTTCAAGGCAGTGTAGCTAACGGCTCGGTTTTGTAGCCCAATGCTCATTAATTCAAGAACATCCGAGGTGGATGTCACAGGATACATGCTTGCATCAGGTACAGCAAGACCGTTTTGTTGAGTTGTAGAAAGAATCCCTAGTGTGTGAAAGTCAAGGGAAGCAAAAGAATGGAAACACAAACAGATAGTTGGAGAACAGAGCCGAACTAATATGGAAGAACTAATTTTGAAAGAGCAAAAGAAAAAAAAAGTAGAGCACAAAAAAGGATATTTCTTTTGAGAACTGTCACCAGAGAGTAAATCGCGCACTTGTTCATTGTATATCTCCACCATCTGCACCCCGACTTCATACGCTATGTTGCTTTTTCGGGTTTGAGAGATTTTGAAGAGGTCATTGAGAGCACGATAGTTTACTCCCCACTCTTCTTCGCTTGCTCCATCTGGACCAGTCTAAACAAAACAAGAATAATGGTAAGAATGTAGTGGCATCATTCATCTGGCACCTTATCGGGATATAATAGTGAATGGATACCATTGTGTAAGTTTTCCCGGATCCTGTCTGACCATATGCAAAGATACATACATTGTACCCGTCGAGAACTGATCGAACAAGAGGTTTTATATCTGAAAATACCTCAGCTGCAAGAATTGAAAAGATACATGAGATATGTGTATTGAAGTTTTGATAATTCTTAACAGTCTCTTGACTAAGAAGAACACACCAATCCAACAGAAAGTATAAATGGAATGGAAGAAAAATTCCTCAGGATAGAGGTCGAAAGGCTAACAAAAGAACACCTTGAGTAGAGGCAGGACTGTAGACCTTATTGAACTTAAATTTTCGAAGACCATCTTTCCCAGGTTTTGTTGGATTGAGAACTACCAACTCCCCATGATCACCAATGTGTTCTACCACAGTTTTTGATGCACCTTGCCCTCGCAAGAAAGGCCTCACCCGACAATACACTCTAATGTTGCCTGCAAGCCATAACTAGAGAATTTATAGGTTGCATAGAAGATGAAAATTCATAAATTTGAATAGTAAAGAAACAGAAATGTGTTATGCATGATCCACATTACTTACCTTTTAGCTCCTGAAGTTCATTGAAGAGCTTTTGGTTTTCAGTTAGGACTTCGTGATAGTTTGCAGCAGCATCTCCAAGTTCAAGCAATTTCCTCCCTGAGGATCAATATTTGTTGACAAACACCACCAAAATTTACAAAGTCACAAATATATCATACTGAGCTATTATAAAAAGCATGTGTCTGAACTGACTTACCTAATTGACTAAACTCTGTTGTATACTTATCTTGAACTTTTAGTATTTCTTGTTTGATGGAGTTAGAACAGAACCTCAACTCCTGGAAAATTGGCAGGTTTTGGTGACTATATACAAACATGATGAGTGATTCTAGTCAATGGTATATGTAAACATACTTGTAGCGCCTTGAATTGGAAACTGATAAAGCTTCTATACGAAAGTTCTTTCTGACTCCAACTCCGATTCTTCAACTCTGATTTTTCTTCCATTTCTTTGGCTTTACTCTTCCAGTGGACCAGATTTTTTTCAAGCTCTCGATTTTTTGCTTCAAGGCTTGTATTAAAAGTCACCGTCTCCTTTTTAAATTGTTCAAGCTCTCGATTTTTTGCTTCAAGGCTTGTATTAACAGACATTGTCTCCTTTTTAAATTGTTCAAGCTCTCGATTTTTAGCTTCAAGGCTTGTAGTGACTGTTAGCGTCTCTTTTTTGAATTGTTGAAGCTCCTTCACCTTTTCCTCAAGAGTCATTTTAACAGCATTTGCTTCTTTTCCCATCTCTTCAAGCTCCCTAACCCTTTCTTCAAGGGCAATTTTTGCAGTGCTTGCATCCTCTCTCATTTGTTCAAGCTCCTTAACCCTGTCCTCGATACCTGCTGTCGCGACCTTTGTCTGGCTTTCCATTTGCAAGCATTGTTGTTCATATGCTTTCTTGGTTGTCTCTAGTTCTCGCCTTAAAGTAGAAATTTCAAGATTATAATGACCATTTTCTTTCTCTAGCCTAACCATATCCTCCTCTTTGTCTTTCTTCTTCTCTTCCAGCTTAGACTTTTCTGTCTATCATAGCCATCTCAAGCAAATAAACATCTTACTAGAATCAAGTTTATCCCAGATAAACTTCCAGTAAGCAATTTTACATGATTAAAATGGACAGTTGCAAAAAGCGTTACCTTTATCCGTCGAAGTTGTCTTGTAGCAATCTGTTTAGAATAACACATTAGTGAATTTCATGAAACAAAAATCTCAGGGCCTAAGTTCTTTATGATACCTCATTTTCTTCACTAGTTCCTGAAGCTAAGGTTTCAAGAACTTTGATCCTTGACTGGTACTTCTCCTCACGAGCTTTAAACACACTGTTTTGCTGCACAAAGAGTATTCAGAATATAAAACAATTGAACAAAATTTACCATTTTTCTCAGAAGAAAAAAAAAATACCGTTCTTAGATGCTCAGATTGAGTTGAAATACGTCGCTCGATTTCCTGCACAACTTTCCTCAGCAGAGATGCTACACGCTGATCATTATATAGATTAGATCAAAAGATGTCCCAAGCAGCATGTGAGAAATGTGAGCATGCATATTTGGTTTTACAACCATTCAAGCATGTAACATCCATATAAAGCATGGTCAGGATTGATAGAGACTCAAGTACCTGAGGGATTTCACCATTCTTTCTCTCAATAGTTTCATCAAGAATTCCATTAACGATACTTAGAAGTGACTGCGTGGGAGCATTCTGCATTCAACAGAAGCATAGGGTACTATTATGAACGACTTTGAAAAGAAACAACTATGACAAAGAAGAGAAGCAGAGCTTAGGGTATGAAGAATATTCATTGATAAGGTACAGGCTTAGGCAGCAATACATCTAAATTGTTTGATTTCATCAGTTCTGAAATCTTTGCGGCTTGGAGATCAAATCGGCACTGTTTCATTTGGAAAGCCTCGTGGGACTTGTGTCCTCCATGGAGCATTGATCCAGGGGATGATGGATCTGCGGTAGAAATAACTCATTAAGTTAAAATGGAATGACTATATATGTAAAAGAGGCCTTTTCTAATAACATAAAAAAATGTACCCAGTGGTGAAGAATTGGGCAGGGGACGCTGAAATCTGGAATCGGGCAGACCTTTATGCCTTTCATGTGCAGAAGATGGAGAGAAGGGACTACGGGGAGTTGAACCTCCATGAGAGCTGCCTGATTGATCAGTGAGAGAATTCATCATCAATCACCAAAGGCATGGAGGTGGAAAGCAAACTTATGGAAACACTTGATAAAGCCACAAGTCCTTCATTCTCTATCAACAAGGCCTGAAAGCACGATTGTTACATAAATATTATTGAGCATTAGACCAACTACCAAACAGAAAGGCTAGAGAAAACTAGTTGAAACCAGGGAATGCAACAACATCATCAAGTAAAACCATGTTATTCTTAGATGAGAATTTCTAAAAAAGAGTGAGAAATTCTAATCGTAGATCATCTATTCGTTTTGAATCATTAACTGAATTTCGGTATCGAGAAGCATGATGGATTCGAAATGCAAGGAACTGGGATCTACCTAGTAGCATTGTCAAGTTGCGAATAAAGAAGAAAATAGCAGTAGAGACGAACCTACCTGGAGAGGAACAGAAGATTGCTCTTTTGGTGCAACAAGAGAAGAACGGCATTGGGATAAACTAAGTCAAAACACACGATTCAGATAATCCGATCATGAATAATAAGCACCGGGGAAAGGCAAAATGATCTCTCCAAACCTGGGAAAATCGGAAGGAGAAGGAGGAGATTTTCTCGGGAAAGCCAAGTCCTAACCTGCCAGAAAACACAGAGACGGAGGAGAACAACGAGACGTGGATTTCTCACGTCAATGACTTTTTTTTTTTTTTTTTTTTTTTTTTGCTGTAGCGCGAATGTAGGAAGAAGCGCGAGTATCTCTGCTTCTCCAATCGTTTCTACGGGTCGGGTCGGTTCGGGCGGGTTTTAATTTTGGAGTTGTACTTTTAGCCCCTGTATTTTTTTGTTTATTGCAGATGTACTACCTAAACTTTTGTTTCCAAGTTTTACTTTTTTTTTTTTTTTTTTGTTGATGTAATCAAATCGAATGAATTTTTAACATTATTATTTGATTTATGATTTTGACTTGCAGCTTAAAATTTACTGCATATAATTATAAACATGTGTCATTTTTTAAAAAAAAATTTATTTCTACAGAATTTCCTTACTGTCATTAACTATTTATTTCCTTGTTTCTTAACAGAATATCCTTTTTTCTTTTGACAGAATGTCCTTTTTTTAATGCTATATTAAAAATGATTAATCTTTTCTTTTGTTTTGGATTATAAAAAGCTTGTTTTTGCTATTAATAAACCTAGTAAAAAAAACAACTTGTTCGTCGTTTGTTGCTGCGTTCTCTCTCTCTCAAACTCGCTCAGAATAATTCTTCGAGGTAAGCTTCTTCGATTTATCTCTTAAACCAATACTTCTTTGTGATTTCGTTCGTTTCTAAGCTCAACTGCTGATCTCAAAGTTGAGAGATTTATAAACCCTAATTTCGGAGACCTAGCACCCCCTCGAGAACCGGCACTGACTCTTTATATGTATGATTGTTATCAAAAGTCTGTTTTTTTCTTATTGATCTTCGTTCATTCTTGTTCAGGGACCGACAATTTGCGCCATGAGGTCTCTTAAAAACCTTCCACCTCCTGCAAATTCAACAACAACTACGTTGAGGTATTCTGATCACTCAATTAATCTGTCTTTCATTGAATCCGATGCTGAAATATCCTCTGTTAAAGCAGTCCCTATTTACCCGAAGCGACAAGGTTTTTGTCCGAGGAATTTCGAGGATTTTGGAGATGGTGGTGCGTTTCCAGAGATTCTTGTTGCTCAATGGCCTCTTGGTATGGGTAGTGCTAGACCCAACAAGCCTGAATCCAAGGTCATTCCTGTTACTGTGGATGCACATGGAAACGTGGTCTTTGACACCATTGTGAAGCAGAATGAGAACTTAAGAAAGATTGTTTACTCTCAACATAGTGATCTTATTCCCAAGATGCTCAAAAGCGAGGGAGATGTTGATGAGGATGAGGAGTTGCAGAAGGATACTACCCAAGAAACAAAAGCTGCCATTGAAAAGATTGTGAATGCAGCACAGCCTAATAATGTAGTGAAGCAGTTGGGTGACCCAAAGTACATTAAGTATAAGCCATCCCTGCAGCAATCTGTAGCATTCAATTCCGGTGCTAGAGTGAGGATTGTTAGGGTTTCGGATATGCCTGTCGATCCACTTGATCTACCAAAGTTCAGGCACAAGCGAGTTCCAAAGGCTTCTGGTTCTTCAGAGATTTTTCCTGTCATGCATTCACCGCCTAGGGCTGTTACTGTTAAGGAACAACAAGACTGGAAAATCCCACCTTGTGTTTCCAATTGGAAAAACGGGAAAGGTTACACAATACCTCTTGATCAACGTGTTGCCACTGATGGAAGAGTCTTACGAGAGGGTCAGGTCAATGATAACTTTGTCAAGTTATCGGAGGCGTTTGATGTGGCTAGGGAGAAAGCTAGCGAGGCTGTTTTAATGCGGTTAAAAGTTGAAAGAGAGATGGCGATGAAGGAGAAGGAAGGAAAAGAGCAGGAGTTGAGGAATCTTGCTCAAAAGGCTCGTTCTGAAAGGATTTTTGCTGCAAGTGAGAGTGTTGATGTCCCAAGAGGGGATTATGACTATGACCACAAGAGGGGAATGGGAAAGGAAGAGCAGATTCAGAGGGAGGAGATTCGAGAAGAGCGTCGTAGGGAAAGACAGAGGGAGAGAAGGATGGAAGCTAAGAATAGCAAGATCACAAGGGACAGAAATCGTGATGTCGGTGAGAAGGTTGCTCTTGGAATGGCATTTACTGGAGGAAGAGGCGGTGACGTTATGTATGATCAACGCTTGTTTAACCAGGAGAAAGGAATGGACTCTGGTTTTGCAACTGATGACCAAAACAACGTATATGACAAACACTTGTTTACTGCAAAACCCACTCTTTCAACGTTGTACCAGCCAAAGAAGAATCTGTATGATGAAATGTATGGAAATGCAGACGAGCAGCTCGATAAGATCAAGAACACTGAGAGGTTCAAACCAGTCAAAGCTTTCAGCGGTTTGGGTTCCGAGAGGGCGGGAAAGAGAGACAGGCCTGTTGAGTTCGAGAAGGAAGATGAACAAGACCCTTTTGGTCTTGTCCAGTGGGCGTCAGATTTGAAGAAAGGTAAGAAACTCTAACAAAACCGGGTCTGGAGGATGACTTTGGTGGAACGTGGCAGCTGAAGTCTGAACTCTTCTGCTCAGCGAGTACCTGATCTTGTTAAATCTTCATTGTTTTGCTTATCATTGGTGTTCCATCACTTTTATATTTTAACTTTACCCCCTTAATATTTGGGATGGAAATTTATCTTCCCTTTTCACCAGAGTTGGTTTTGAGATGGTGGACACTTTGGCTGATGCCGAAGTGATACCCATCCATGAACACCGTTAAAGGTCTTGTTTGAGCAAATGTACTCTTTTTCAGTCTCTTATTTTCTCTAAAATGGTCTGTAATATTCCCAAAGTGTGAATCTTTCATTTTGGTTTTATACGTCTGTAATGTTTGATGTATGAAATCACTTGGACTTAAGTACTTTTTGGTTAAAATTGCTGGAATTCTTTCAAGGTTGGACAAATTGTTTCCTTTTACAGGGTCCTGCTTAAGCATGTACTTGTGACCTAAGCAATAGCTACAAATTCAAGAAATAGACTTTTGTTACATTGTTCTGTTTTGGTTTCAAGAAACATTATCACAACTTCATTCATAAACCTATGGGAAGTGTTTCGTTGTTCTGAGTTCATAGAGAAAAGCAAGAACGTGAAGGATGTAAACTGGACGGAGATTAAAGGAAATACGCCTATGGACTAGAGTCAGAAGAGGAAGGGTGTTCCAGTTAGGATTGCTGCCATCACAAAGATAGTCAGCTGAAACTTAGACTTCGAACCAGAGGATTTCGGACCATAACCCAATCCCATCATGCTGGTTGGTTTTGGTGCCACTTGAGCCACTGGGGTCGCTGACAAAGAATAATCAGGTATGTCAAGAGCCCTTACGAGCATGATTCATTTTCACTTATGCCTGAAATTGAATGATTGGATTACCTGCCACACCCGAGTTGTTCTTTGCACCCAGAGAGATTTGAGAATCGGTTGAGTTGGTAGATGGTGGAGAAACAGAGGAAGCCCCTTACAACAAGAAAATTGTTCGTGTCAATTTCACAAAACTGATGAATCTCAAAATCGAGGTCTTATATTTTGTTGTGTGTAAGAAGCGAATGGAGGATTCATATACCTGAGGAGCAAACAGATGAATTGGCTGGAATACTACAAAGCTGAGGCAATTGGAGAGCTAAGGTTTGATTGATCGGAAAAGCAGAGGATAAAGTACTATTGTTGTTGAGAAAGAGACAGAGACAGGTCGGTTGTTGGTTGTAGATCTGGTTCAGGCTGTTGCAGCATGGCTGAGCAGGGAGCTGGACAAAACCCTGCACGAATGGACCACATGGAGCCAAGGCTAGCAACAAGGAAGTACAAGAAGCTGGAGGACTCGGACCTTGAGAGAGACATGGTTGGATAAAGATTGGAGCCAAGAAGATTAAGACAGTGATAAAGAGACTTGAAGATGCCATTTTTGTGTATCGTCTCTTGAAAATTTGCTTGGAAAATAAGTTTCTTCTTCTTTCTTTAGAACAGTAGAGATTGTTAGGGTTTATGGAAAGATGGATTATTTAAGGTGGGATTCAATGGATTTATTGTGCAACACTGCAACTGAAATTTGATACGAAATGGAAAAAAAGGACTATATGTATTCATGCATAATGTGTGTTCTTCTGAGCAACACTTGAAATTCTTCATGTTGTCTTTTTGCTATTTACGTATGAATCTATACTGTTATAAATTCGACCGTTATTTTTGTTTATTTAAATAAATATTCTTGAGATTATGCGTGGAAAAACAATCTGTAATTAGACACAAAAACGTGCTCTAAGACGTGCATAGCAATCATACAAGATTTGCATACCATTTCTTTACAAAATCCGAAAAAAGTCCAAATTTGGGAATCTGGGTTTTTCATGACACCATCGTGTCTTTGATAGAAATCATAAACCACAATGCACAAGAACTAGAATTTCTCCTGACTCATCCCGTCTCTGTCTCTCAATCTCCTGCGATCATCAGAATCAAGAACCACCAATGGCGGCACCAAAGCTGGAATCTTTCAGGCGGGGTAGCATGTTCGACGGATCTTTCAGGCGAGGTAGTATGTTCGATGGTTCGTTTAGACAAAGCATGAGAGAGAGGCTTATCCCACAACAGAGCAGAAGCTATTCCAATGTCAACGACGATGACCAAACTTCTGTCCGTTGCTGCTCCTACAGGTTACACATTGCAGACAATCTCTCCTCCTTTCCCGAACCTTCTATTTACCAAACATTTCGAAACCATTTTATCGAATATGATGCCTTTTGGAATCCAATCTCAAGCGTGTAACAATCTCAAATGGTTAGTCTTGAAATGCTATTGGTGTTGTTTCCAGGTACTTCTCCGACAAGATCACTGGGGCTGTGAAGAAATCAAAAGATGTTTTGGTTACGGCATGGGAGTTGGGAACATCTGACCCGAGGAAGATCATATTCTCGGCGAAGATGGGTTTGGCTCTGACACTTACCTCTATCCTCATCTTCTTTAAGATCCCAGGATTAGAGCTCAGCAGCCACTATCTCTGGGCAATTCTTACAGTAGTTGTTATTTTCGAGTTCAGTATAGGTAAATGCAACAAACTTTACACATCAAACTTGAACATTCTAAAAAATTTAATACCTGACGTGGGATCTTCTCTTCTTTGTGTAGGAGCCACCTTTAGCAAAGGATGTAACCGGGGACTAGGAACATTGTCCGCAGGAGGATTGGCGCTTGGCATGGCTTGGATATCTGAGATGAGTGGAGACTGGGGAGAGGTTCTTAATGCTGCTAGCATCTTTGTAGTAGGTAATATATATAAGATCATGTGTAGTCTAAATTAAAAGCTTCCACCTTTAAATCTCCTTCAGATTCTGACAATATTGTGTGCCCTGCTCTTGTATCAGCCTTTTTTGCGACTTATGCAAAGCTATATCCAACGATGAAGCCATATGAGTATGGATTCCGAGTGTTCTTGCTGACCTATTGCTACGTAATAGTGTCAGGATACAAAACAGGGGAATTCATGGAAACAGCTGTTTCAAGGTTCCTTCTAATAGCTCTTGGTGCCTGTGTTGGCCTCGTAGTGAACACTTGCATTTATCCCATATGGGCTGGGGAAGATCTCCATAACTTGGTCGCCAAGAACTTTGTGAACGTAGCGACTTCTTTGGAAGGTTCATTATTAGCTCTCTCCCTGACTTTGAGTTTCTGGTAGAAAAGCTTCTTAGTCTGTTTCTTGTCAAATCCAATCCATAGAAAATGTTCCTTTGTGCAGGTTGTGTGAACGGATATCTCGAGTGCGTAGCATATGATACAATCCCATCTAGGATTCTGGTCTATGAAGCTGTCGCGGAAGATCCAGTGTACAGTGGTTACAGATCAGCCGTTCAATCTACAAGCCAAGAAGACACTCTGGTAGGGTTCTTTTAACTCATCCAACACATAAGAACAGCAACAACACTATCAAAAGACCAACTCACTTTCAGATTCTCACTTCTTGTTCTTTTGCTGATGTGATTATGAAGATGGGTTTTGCTTCATGGGAGCCACCACACGGACCGTACAAATCCTTTAGATATCCATGGGCAATGTATGTGAAAGTAGGTGGTGCATTGAGACATTGTGCTATCATGGTCATGGCGTTACATGGCTGCATTCTCTCAGAGATTCAGGTACTCTTCCAATCTTTAAGTACAATCTTCAGATCTTAAGAGAGATCTGAGACAAGAGAGTATGCAATGTAATTGCAGGCTGCAGAGGATAGAAGACGAGAATTTCGTAATGAGCTTCAAAGAGTGGGGATCGAAGGAGCAAAAGTACTCAGATACATTGGGGAACAACTGAAGAAGATGGAGAAACTAAACCCTATAGAAGACATACTCTACGAGATTCACCAAGCAGCCGAAGAACTACAGAGCAAAATCGACAAAAAATCGTACCTTCTGGTGAACGCCAAGAACTGGGAAATTGGGAATCGGCCTAGGGATTCGACTGATGAACAAAAAATCTCGAATCTCGACGAGGATCTAAGTCGGATCTTGGCTCATAAATCCCAGAGTGAAGCCACGCTTCGTCCACCGAAGAATTGGGATGCGGTAACAACAACTGCAACGAACTTAAATTCGGCGACGATGCAACCTCACCTGCAATCAAGGACGATGATACATAAACAGCCGTCGTGGCCTAGCCGGATCTCTATTACGCCGGGAAGTATGTTTCAGCAACCAATTGGGGGGGAGGCGACGCTGAGGTACGAGAGCGCGAGTAATCTGTCTCTAGCTACGTTCGCTTCGCTACTGATCGAATTCGTCGCGAGGCTTGAGAATCTCGTGAATGCGTATGATGAGCTCAGTGTCAAAGCTAATTCAAGGAAGCTGTTGCTGCTGAGTGAAGGAGGAAACGACAAATGTACACTTTTTTATTTTTCAATTAATAATATTATAATGAATTGTATATCAACCAGGTCGTTGTAGTATAGTGGTAAGTATTCCCGCCTGTCACGCGGGTGACCCGGGTTCGATCCCCGGCAACGGCGAATATTTTTGTTATTATTACTATTTTCGTCCCTTACTATTTATGATTCACTATGAGTTTTAGTCCCTTCACTTTTCTTTCTCCTTTTTACTTTTTTTTTGTCGACACCGACAGAACAAAATCCAAATCCTATTGGGGATAAACTATAAACCCTAATTCCCCAGAAGAAAAGATGAAATCTGTAGCTTTTCCCGCTAAAATCGCAAATCTCAGCTTCCCTTCTGGCTGTAGCTCACTGTTTTTTTCGCCGGCATTGCCTTACTCGATATCATCACCTTGTCGGAAGCTGACAAAAGGAACAAGAGGTGTCGGAGGTTTGATGTCTCAGTGTTTGTCATCATCGTCACAATCATTGTCCTCTTTATCGAATTCATTCTCCTCTCAACCGGAATCAGAGTTACTTCAAGCTTTACCCTCTTCGAAGCCAAAATCTCCGCCACCGCAGCTGCCATGGCTCATTGTTGGTTTGGGTAATCCCGGCAAGAAGTACCAGGGCACGCGCCACAACGTATCTCTCTGTCTCTCTTACTTTATCACTTTGCGTTTTTCTTTTTAGCTCGCTAACGTGATCATGAATTGCAGGTTGGTTTTGAGATGGTGGACGCTTTGGCTAATGCAGAAGGCATCTCCATGAACACTGTTAACTTCAAGGCCTTGTTTGGAAAAGGTGGTTCCCTTCTCATTCTCTTATCTTCTCCATTGTGAATTTTCATTTTTAAATGGTTTTCTTATCTCAAAGTTTTAAACTTTCAATTTTATACGTCTCAAATGTTTGATGAGGGTGATAGAAACAATGGGTAACTGTTTACGGAGGATTCAGCGTGTTTAAAAGATTCTTGTTTTGTTTCATAATCCTATTTCATGTACATAACTAGTGATTGAAATACCATTTTTCTGTCTGTGGATTGTTTCTAACTTTGGGTATTGTTTTTTTTTTGTTTTGTTATAATCATAGGCGTTATTGGAAATATACCGATTATGATGGCTAAACCACAAACTTTCATGAACCTAAGTGGTGAGTCTGTAAGTGAGCTCATCGGAAAACAACTTTGGTTTATTAAGTCAACCAATCTCTCTACCGTTTATCACTTGTTGCTTTAATTCTTTCTGTTTATGATTGCTGGAATTGTTTGAAGGTTGGACAAATTGTTTCATTTTACAAGATCCCGCTAAAGCAAGTACTTGTGGTATACTTTACCTTCTCTCTCACTCACTCTTCAACTTCTGGATTTGGAGTGCATATGCCCGTCTTAAAAAATATTTGTCTTCTTCAGGTTTACGATGATTTAGATTTGCCCTTTGGTAAACTGCGTTTATTGCCAAAAGGTGGTCACGGAGGCCACAATGGGTACAAAGCTTTTCACCCTATATCTGACCTGTTTAAGGATGTTTTCACTAGTATTTAAGTATTGTCTTACTTTTTACTTAAGAGGCAATGTGGATGGATAATTGTAAACGTTTTCACTATCAAATCATAGAGAAACTCTTCAAGAAATCATGGTGAATTGTTCTGGTCATTTACTTGCAGGATGAGAAGCATTATAGATCGCCTCAAAGGTAGCCGTGATTTTCCTCGTCTAAGAATAGGTAAAGTTCTCATTTTTCTCCACTCCGACTTATCTTCTCTTTTTCTTCTCTGATTTTTGCAAATTGTCGAATGTTTCATTTCAGGGATCGGTCGGCCTCCAGGGAAGATGGATACAGCCAATTTTGTTCTCCGCCAGTTCAATAGACAAGAACAGGAAGAGGTAGATGAAGATAGAAAATCCCAACATTATCTCAATATTTCAGAAATATAAAAACCTGATTGTGTATGGTTTTTGCAGTTGGATTATACATTCCAAACCGGGATAGAAGCAATAAGGATTCTTTTGCTTGAGGGGATCAACAAAAGTGCAACCTTTGTCAACACTCGAAAATCTATGGAGCAACTCAGTTAGAAGAGACATTGTTACATCACATATAACAACTACAGAGTATTCTTGCCGATTAATTATTTCTGTTCCATACATATTGTTGAATCCTTTTTGAGCAAATTGTACATCAGAAAAAAAACCAGATTATGCGTTTCTCATAATCGCATATTCAGTATTTGTTTTACTGAAATTACACATTTTTGTAAGCATAGGCATTTATTGCTAAAAAGGTTGTCACAAAAGTTGGTTCGGTTTAAAAAATTCGTGTTCGGTTCGGTTAGTTTCTTGGATCATTTAAACCCGACGGATTCATTGAGAGGTTTTGTGGTCCCCACAAATCGAACTCAGTAAAACCAAGTCGACCCGATTCAGCTGGATCCGAGATTACAGAGAACCCCGTCCCGTGTTTAAACCCTCCGACGACAAGCTCAGATAGAGAACCTCTCCACGCTTTTCGTTCGCTGAAGCCATGTACGGCGGAGGTGGGTCTCTCTTTAAACCCTAGAATTGCTTTGTCGTTCATCTTTTGAGACATTCTTGAGCTGTTTTCGTTCAAGATTTGATTTTTTCCGTGGTGGGTTTTCACAGATGAAGTGTCAGCTATTGTGGTTGACTTGGGTTCGCACACTTGCAAGGCTGGTTACGCCGGAGAAGATGCTCCCAAGGCCGTTTTCCCTTCCGTAAGTCTTGATTCCAGCATTTTATGTCACTATAAGCCTCATGGTGTTAGTGTAGATTTGCTCAAGACTCTTAGGGTTTTTTTTTTTTTCTGATGTGTTCATAAGGTTATTGGGGCAGTAGATGGTATAGAGGCTATGGATGTGGATGCTGATTCTACAAAGACTAATTCGAATTCTGAGGATTCGAAGACTGAGTCTGAAAAAGAAAAGGGAAAACGCAAGCTCTATGTAGGATCTCAGGCCATGAGTTACCGCCGAGATCATATGGAGGTTAGCTTTTCTCTTTGATTAATGTTTAAAGTTTATAACTTTGTGGGTGAAATTACAGATTGCATTTTCTCTCACCAGGTTTTGTCACCTATAAAAGACGGCATAGTTTCTGACTGGGATTTGGTCGACAATATATGGGAACATGCTTTCAAGTAACTGTGTAAAGCATTATATTTTCTCTAAGTTGTTTTTTGCATTTCATCTCTAAACAAACTTTCTCTTTTTTTTAGGAGTTGTCTGATGATTGATCCTACGGAGCACCCAATGCTGCTAGCTGAGCCTCCTTTGAACACTCAACAGCAGAGAGAGAAGTAGAATTTATTTGCTTTGAAATATCCGTTTTATCAGTATTGCTTTATCATGTGTTACTGATTTTCTCAAATCATATGCTTGACAGGGCGGCAGAGCTAATGTTTGAAAAATACAAAGTTCCTGCATTGTTTATGGCTAAGAATCCTGTATCTTCCCTCTCCCTTGGGTCATCATTCTTTTGATAGATTATTATATGACGATTACTGTAGTGTTGATAGCCAGCCAGCTCTTGTTTAATCAGATGTCTAACTATCTACATGAATTGGTGTTTTTTGGTGCTAGGTTCTCACGTCTTTTGCTACTGGGCGCGCTACTTCTTTGGTTGTTGACTGGTAAGACTTTTGTACTTTGAAAATTATTAAAAGTTTCTCTAGTCTGTAGAAGCCACTAATGTTCCTCTTATGCCCTATTTTATGCTGCGAAAGTCTACCTTGTTTCTTTATGTGTTTAATCTGAAAAGTACTGATGGCACATTATTGTATTTCTAGTGGTGGAGGATCCACAACTATTTCACCTGTGCATGATGGTTATGTTCTTCAAAAGGTACTTGTATTACTCGATTTAGTAAGAATTCAGGCTTTGTGATGCTGTTTTTTTTGGGTTTGGATTTTCTACTGCAGGAGAAAGTTTCCCATCTCTCTTTTCCATAGTGTCATCTAGCTGCTATAAATTCTTATCCATGTGAATTTTGACCAGTTTTACTTTTACAGCATTGATGCAGATTGTTATTCTCCGATTGTTGACCATACTTTTATCCGCAGGCTGTTGTATCATCTCCACTTGGAGGGGAATTTCTCACTGACTGCCTACTGAAAAGCTTGGAGAGTAAAGGAATTAAAGTAGGTTAAACAATGTTTATTCACTTTCTTATCTTTTGAGCCAATTTACCTAAGTGTTACTGGTCATTTTTTCTGCAGATAAGACCTAGATACTCTTTCAAGAGAAAGGAAATACGAGCAGGGGAATTCCAGGTGCATATATGGATCAGTGAATGAAACTACTATCAGTGAATAAGACCTAGATAGTCTCTCATTTCTTCCCTTTGAATCCTTGCAGGTTGAAGATGTGGATATTCCTAACACCACGGAAAGCTACAAACTCTTCTGCCAGGTCTGTATTTGATAATGATTCCTCGTTTGAAATTTTCTGTTGTTTTATAACTTGGTGATTTTTTTCTCAACAGAGGATGATAGTGGGTGATATCAAGGATTCTATTTGTCGAGTTCCTGATACTCCCTATGATGGTACTTTATGTTCTTTTGTCTTTCACTGGTTTGATAAATTTGGTTTATTTCAAACTTTAAAGTTGTTTGAGAGTTGAACGTTAGATACTTTTATCTTTCAATGTCATTTGATCCCGTATCTTTCATATTTCTGATGTGATGCATTTATCTGCAGATAAATCATATTCAAACATCCCAACTACGTCGTACGAGCTTCCTGATGGCCAGTAAGCTCAGTTTATATGTCTATTTCGCTTTATCGTGCCTCAAACGTACATGCTAAATTGCTGTTGCTTTCTACTTATAAGGCTTGTGCTTAGTTTCTAGCCAAAATGGACCACTATTCTGAACCTTGTTTAAGCTGAGATAAGTTCTTAGTTGGATCTGAGTCATTAAAGCCACTGGCATTAAAGTTTAGACGAGTCAGAAATTGCTTTGGAAAGCTGCATGGAATCTAATGTGATAATGAGAATTAAGTTAAAAGAGAAAAGTGCTAGCTTCATTGAAAACAGGAAGCTGCACCCTTACTTTTTTTTAGGCTTTCTCAATATATTATTAAGCATGTCTACTGCAGGATGCTCGAGATTGGTGCTGATAGGTTCAAAGTTCCTGATGTGATGTTCAACCCGTCCATAGTCCAGGTACACCATTTGAGCACGATAAATTCAACAGAAGATTCTAAAGACGTTTTGTTTCTTCTCTTGAGCTGTTTTGAGCCTCTAATTATTTATCAAAGGTATCTTTTAGTGACTTTTCCGTGTTTATTGCAATTTGCAGACGATTCCTGGAATGGAGAAGTATGCTGATATGATTCCTTCTGTTCGTGGGTTACCACACATGGTATATGCTAGCTAGTATATGCATAGTGCTTAGTCACTGCAAAGCTTCCATCTCTTAACTTTTTCTAACTCCACTCTCCATTTTACTGATTTGTACAGGTCATGGAGAGCATCAACAAATGTGATGTAGACATCCGGAGAGAGTTGTATAGTAGCATACTGGTAAAATAGCAATCAATGTCAACTCTTAGATACCCTACTTTTAGTTTCGTTGGATGTGGATGATTAACATACTTTCTTCTCGCATTATGCCAGCTTGCTGGTGGAACATCGTCAATGCAACAGTTGAAAGAACGTCTCGAAAAGGACTTGATCGAAGTATTGTGTCCTCGACTCTTTTCCTCTGTCTTGTAAACTTTCCCAGTTTTTATGATGACAAAAACCGTTCATTGGCCCTCTATCTTTGTTTCAGGAGTCTCCTCACTCGGCTAGAGTTAAAGTGTTGGCAAGCGGTAACACAACAGAAAGAAGATTCAGGTTTGGATATAGTGTTCACTTCTTCCTCTAAAATGAGACCCAAATAGTGGTTGGATCAACCAAAACACATGTTATGTATGTGCAGTGTATGGATAGGAGGGAGTATATTGGCATCACTAGGCTCATTTCAACAGATGTGGTTCTCCAAGTCTGAGTAAGTCTCTGTTTTGTAATTTCCATTGATCAGACTCGCAAAGAAACTATATTTTGTTTCTCTCCTGACACTCGGATTTGGGGTCTTGGTGTAAATGGCAGGTATGAGGAACATGGAGCTTCCTACATTCAGAGAAAATGCCCTTAATGCAGCTTCAGACTATGTGGAGCCTGAGAAGACAAAACTCGGAAAACTAATGTGTTATTTTCATTGTCCTTTAAATGTTATTTACTTCTTTAATATTCGCCTGAACAACCTTTGGAGTGTGTCATTACTCATTAACAAGCAGTTTAGTGCTCGTACTTATGAAACAAACAAAAAACACGTGGAAGAGTTTTAGTTGCTTTATTAGATAAATCCAGACAATCAAGACCGTCCACATCATTCGCGAACCAAGATAATCCACGAAATAAACAAGAAAAACGTTAATAAAAAAAATCCGAGTCTAAAAAAAAAAAGGAAGAAAAATTCAGCTTTATCAGTATTAAAAAAAAAAAGGAAGAAAAATTCAGCTTTATCAGTATAAAAAAAAAAAAAGGAAGAAAAATTCAGCTTTATCGTGACTTCCGAATTGCAAAGGTCTTTGAAAATAGTAAGGTACTACTCATAAAAGTTATGAAACACAATGAAAAATAATGTAATTGATATTGGTAAGTAAAATGACTTTACTCCCTCTGTTTCACAAAGAGTGTCATTTTAGAGTTTTGCACACAGATTAAGAAAACATTAAATTTTTTGTTTTTTCTAAACAAAAACATCATTAACTATATACCTAAACATAATCTGCCCAATAGTAAAACAATATGCAGAATATTAATAGTCATAAAACATAAAAAATCATTAAATTTTGCATTGAAAACCTAAAACGACACTCTTTGTGAAACAAAAATAAAACCTTAAAACGACACTCTTTATGAAACGGAAGGAGTATTAAACATAAAAAAAAATGGTCGGAAAATAATAAAGCCAAATCGACGTAACTTCTCCGCCACTACAGACTTACGTGTCATGTCTCCATATCCGCATGCAAAATCCAATAGATGACACATTCTAAATCATCCAATTATATACATCCACATGTCACCCTTTGTCTCGTCTCTCTAAACACCGTTTACCGACCTTCTCTTGTGGACGGCAATAATCGCCGACGTTCCCTAATTTATCGGATTTCAATACAACAACACACTCTCTCAATAAAAAAAAAAAAAAAAACGTTTCTTTTTTCTTCGATTCGCGATTACGTCTTTTGATTTTGTGGGACTCATCTCGGTTTTTCTGGGACTTTGATTTTGGATTCTATCTTTTTACATTTTTCAGAATTTTTTTCTTTTTCCCGGTTGTTTTTTTTTTTTTTTTTTTTATATTGGGGAAACAAAATCATGCAGAGGATCGTCGATAATGCTCTTGCTGTCACAAAAGAGTGAGTCCTTCTCTCTTTTTCGATTCGCGCATTAGTCAGTGCTCGTTAATGATTTTGTGATTTCTGATTTGTTTTTTTTTTTTTAGTTGCATGTTTAGTGATTTTAGTAATTTGACATTTGATATCAACTGTATTGTTTCCTTAGTTTGGATGTAAATCTGGTCTGTAGATTTAATCTTTTGATTATGTCGAATAGTAATTCGATTTGATTTGGATATGGAAGATGCCAATGTTGGCTGAGACTGAGTCAGTGGTTTTTTAGTGAAGCTAATTCTATATCTTATATCTTCTGATTTACCTTAATCTTGAGATTTAGTGGTTAATAGTTACTGATTTGGGTTGAGTTTTGTTGTCTCTTTAAAGAAAGTAACTTTGTGTTTTATTTTAAGCTTGTCCGTTTGCTTTTTTGGTGTTGGTTGTTGGTTTTGATTGATATTAGGATGTTTGTGTTGGTCTAAAATAAGCTTAAGCTAACTAATGATGTTGGTTTTTAGTGCAGGTCAGTGAAAACTTTGACTTATGAGTCTTTGAACAACATTGCAAGATGCATTAATGGATTTTCTGCACTTCTCTTGACACTTTTGCCCGGAAAGTCCAATGTTCTTGAAGGTCTTCATGGATGGGAGCTAAGGCCTACATTACGTGGCCCTCGTTTACCACGTTGGATGCATAAGTAAAAATCTCTTATAACGCTCTAATACTTCTTTGTGGCTGCCTTATAGCAGCATTTTTCGACTCTCTTTTGATTTCTGCTGTTTTCCAGTGGAGTCTCTTCTTTCAACCACTTCATTCATGAGCTCTCTGTGGATTCTGATACTTCAAGCTTGGACTATTCCTCTGGAGAAGATGATAGTGATGGCATCTCCACGCCTCCATCACCCTTGTCTCAAAGCTCACTCCGCTCTTGGGCTAGTCTTCCTACAAATTACGAAAGCCATTGGACAGACTGGATAACCTTCATTGTCTGGTGGGTTTTACTACCTGCCCGGATTCTTCTATGGTTACCATTATATCTTTTGCGTCTTTTGGGTACACGAAATTCAAGAATGTCACCTATGAGCCCAGGAAGGTACCAACATTCTTCTAGACCTTATTTTAGCAAAGCTATCCCAGGGAAAGAGCATGACGTCCCTAACCGAACTACTGATAAAAGACGCGGAGTCATTGAGGTTTGTGTGGATGAACATACTTAATCACTTTTCGCGTTCTTGAGTTTTCTTACACACATATATGTTTGCAGGATCTTCAGCTTGGTATCGAGATCTTTATAGAAACAATATTTGATTTTTTTCACAAGGCGGCACATCTTCTTCTTTCTCCATCAGAGACTTTTGGAATAGTTTTATCGTGGTTCTCTTCCTCCAGTCACAGCTCTAAAGGAAACTATGGCGACGCTTCGGATGATGAGATCGTGCAGACTGCCATTCTAGGAGATAGTGATTCATCTCCTACAGAAAGAAGAACCACAACGAGTTTATACAATACAGATACTCGGACTTGTCAGGATGTTATTACAGAGCTTGGGTAGGGGGAAATGGAAATGTGTAGAAGATGTTTCGTGCAAGTTGTTTTTTACTTATGCTGTTACTCAGCTATTTGCCCTTTCGATTTAACTTCTCTTCTTGATAGGTATCCGTATGAAGCTATTCGTGTTGTTACATCTGATGGATATGGTCTTCTCTTGGAAAGGATACCAAGGTACAGAGTCTATTATGGTTCAGTAAGTTTCTCTATAGTCTGTTATGTTTCTGTAAGTTCCTTTAAAATGTAATCATTAATTTACTCTATTGTCTTTCCAGACGAGATGCAAGGAAAGCTGTTTACTTGCAGCATGGTGTAATGGATTCTTCAATGGGGTGAGTTTCATAGTCTATTTCGTTGATGACTTGTTAGGAATTTTTTTTGCCTTGGTTTCTCATCTGGACCTTTATCTTCAGATGGGTATCAAATGGTGTTGTTGGATCTCCGGCTTTTGCTGCTTATGATCAAGGTCCGTGCCAAAACATTTCCTAATTTCCCAAGTTACTATATGATAAATATGGAGTTAAGATTTACCGTATGTTTTACTCTGCTTTTCTTGCCAGGCTACGATGTTTTCCTAGGGAACTTTCGTGGTTTAGTTTCAAGAGATCATGTAAACAAAAACATATCCTCAAAAGAGTGAGTAGTATAGAATAAACTGCTTCTTTATGGATTTGATATTTTGTATAGTTCTTTATTGAGGAATCCTCAAAACATGCAGTTTCTGGCGTTACTCCATCAATGAGCATGCAACGGAAGATATCCCAGCAATGATAAAGAAGATTCACGAAATCAAAACTTCAGAACTGAAACTTTATCAGCCTACTATGGAAGAGGTAGTAAACGAGGAGCAACCGTATAAGCTCTGTGTAATATCTCACAGTTTAGGCGGCGCCGCGGTTCTGATGTATGTAATCACCCGTAAAATCGAAGAGAAACCGCACAGACTCTCGAGACTGATCCTGCTTTCGCCTGCTGGGTTTCACGATGACTCCAACATGTGTTTCACGTTGATGGAGTACACATTCCTTCTCTTGGGCCCTGTACTATCTCGGATTGTTCCTGCTTTCTACATCCCCACTAAATTCTTCCGGATGCTTCTCAACAAGTTAGCTCGAGATTTTCATAACTATCCTGCTGTTGGTGGATTAGTCCAGACATTGATGAGTTATGTAGTTGGCGGAGATAGCTCAAACTGGGTTGGAGTCATGGGATTGCCTCACTATAACATGAACGATATGCCAGGTATATCCTTCCGTGTGGCTCAGCATCTTGCGCAGATTAAACATAGCGGTAAGTTCAAGATGTTTGATTACGGTAGCAGTTCAGCTAATATGGAGGTTTACGGGTCCCCTGAGCCACTCGACCTTGGGGAGTTTTACGGGTTGATCGATGTGCCTGTGGATTTAGTAGCCGGAAAGAAAGATAAAGTGATTAGACCTTCAATGGTTAGGAAACATTACAGGGTGATGAGAGATTCAGGAGTTGATGTTTCTTACAATGAGTTTGAGTATGCTCATTTGGATTTTACCTTCTCTCACCGTGAAGAGCTTTTGGCTTATGTGATGTCGCGGTTACTGCTCGTGGAGCCAACGCCCACTCAGACGAATCATAAGAAGGGGATGAAGCTGAAGAAGAAGATGGAAACAGGCAAACCTCATCTATGAATTACATAATTAGGCTTTTACAGAGTTTATGTTTGTCTTATTTGTAATGTTTTTTGTTCAAGAAAGATCGGCTTTGAACAGTGTATATATGCATATGGCTTTTTGCATCTCTATTTATGTCAGTGTTCACTTTCCATAACAAATAATTTAAGTCATGGACATGAAAAGCAGAACTTAGTGACTGATTTATACACAAAAAGAGAGGGATATTATACAAACTTTGTATGTTACAGCTAAAGTTTGTATGAGGTTTTCTACAGAAAAATACATATACATATATGTATACACCTATACTTTTTTATACTTGATGCTGATTCAGACAAATAAAAAGATTCAGCAAAAACATCAGAAGTTTGGGAAACAGTATGGTAAAATGGAATGTTTGTCTGGAGCATCAACCTCAAATCCTACTCTCGAACATGGGCCAAAGTTAACACAGTCAAACGTCGTATACAGATAGTCGTTTTTCAATGTCTATACGACATATTGGGCACGTTGTACACTTGTCTGCACAGACTCTGCAACAAAAATGGCACAGAAACAAAAATTGTGAACAATGACATACATGTCGCCTGTCCAATGACTAAACTATATTGATATGACTTCATAGATTCCTAGTTTCGTTGTACGGTATTTTCAGACAAATTGAGTGACATATGCCTAAACTTTTAAGTGTAATATGGATTAAGGATCCTTACCTGCAGAGAACACGGTGTCTACATGGAAGCAGTACCAAACTGATTTCTTTTTCAAAGCAAACCCTACACAGCACTTTCTCCTGGAGTAGAAGACACATTGACACAGGATTAAGCCAAGGGAAAAAAAGTAAAATAGAAACAAGAAAGTTGAAAAAAAACATCATGGCTAATAAATGAATATACATTTTGCAGTCTTTCATATTCTTGCTGGCTGAATTTTGTGATTTCTGTTTGTTCACCAAGTGCTGCTTGAAGTCTCCATACCTAGGGATATTAAATTAGATTGAATACAAACAACACTTAAGCAATGCTGAAACTAGAAGAAACAAGATTCGACAACAAAGAGAACCTAAAGTTAATATCAGCTCTGAATTGGAAAACAAAAAATGCAAGAAAGAGAAGTAAAGTTTACCTCTTCAGCAAGATCTTCCTTTGGCATTTTCTTGACTACCTCAGGCGGATGACCACTGAATGTATTGTAACTGCACAAGCATATTATAATGAAATCTTCAGCAGATTCCATAACATTTTTTGTTTGAGCATTTAGAAGGTTGAATATACTAACTAACCCAGATTCTTGATCAAAGTACAGTCGAGCTTGTTCCTCCCGGCTTCCTTCGTCAATCGACCACCAACCTAATAGCCTGAGCAAGTGAAAGCATTGATTGATATTTGTTAGTACTAATTTTTGTTAATTACAACCTTTGGGAAAATCGACAGACGTGTTTGTCACCTGGAACCATGGTGCAAAAATCCCAAGCAATCATGGGCACTTGATGAAAATCTAAAATACAATCCTGGACCAGCTTCCCCGCGCAGTAAGAGAACGATCTTCTCTATGAGTTTAGAAGCAGCAAAGAGAACACCGAGGCCTTGCAATAGAAATAGTGGAGAGAAGAGTAATGGAATGGATATATCCTTAGCTCTTTCAGGAGTCCCCTGAAAGTCCAAATCGTTACCTTTTTCAGTATTGTCCACAGAAAATATGGTAAGTTAGAGAGACATGTGGTGTATACCTCTAGATACATGCAAAGAACAACTTGAAATACAATAACGGGAATTTTTAACATATGACCACCAATATCTTGCAAACCGCACCATCTATCTTGGTGCCTATCCTCTTCTGGAGCAACCACAAGGCCACTGTTCCAGTCAAGATATCTGATAGTGGTAGAAGATGACCCGGTTTCTCGGGCACGTGAGCTTCTATGGATTACTGGGTTGGACCATTTTGTGCAAACAAGAAAAGCAAAGCACTCGGCAATTCTGCAAGCAAAACATTTCACAATTTATTACTCCCATAATCATTTCCACCAACCGTAAAAATGACAAGTACTTCTTAAAGACTTAAACAAAGAAAGGCCAAGACGAAGGATACCCAAAATTTATGAATAAATCCCACCATCCAAGAGCAACTACATCGCCTGTGTATGTCAAATAAAACAAGAAGGGAGAATAAGAACATAATAATCCCATCAACGAAATGATCTGTGGAAGATATGATTTTAATAGGAAAAGAGATACAGTAAGACGACTATTTAAGCAAAGCATTCAATAGCCAAATATTACCAGAAAGCTTTAGGAGGGTAAAAAACGTAGCAGCCAACGTGAACACCATGGAAATTGCAACCCAGAAATGCTGCAGGCAACAAGGAAAAAAGCATCTAAATGTTTATTTTTGAGTACTGACCAGCTTCCCCGCCCATCAACACAAGATTAGAATATCCCAATCCTATGTTTGTGGAAACTAGATTATTAGAGAAATTGGTCAAAAAGTTCTCTCTTCTCAGTCCTGAATTGTGTAACTGGAAAATTAGAGACAGATTTTCATTCATGTTTAACAGATTGATCTTGCCTGGATACTTAAAACAAATTGCAAAATCAAAGAGTAACAAGCCTAAAGCAGCTGAACCAAGCCTCAAGCTCAAGCCTTAAAAATTTTAAATAATTTATGCAATGTATGTGGACTTACAGGAAGTGCCTCCCATATTGCATCATCAGTTATGCTGTCGTCGTCGCCTGGCATCAATGCTCGACACATTCTGAAGATAAAGCTTGCAGTATTTAGGAACTTTAGATTTATATAATTTAGGTTTGGTTTGTGTTCACCAGATGCATAGATTGGACGTCTTTGTTTGAGAAGTTAATGGAACAAAGTAATAACGCAAAACATTCATTATATCAATACCTCAAATTGTCCACCAGTATCGTTAATTCAAATGCAAATAACGGTACAAATGCAATCTTCAGACTCACAGCTGGTGGCCAACGAGCTGCATTAAAGATAGGAGAAACCACAATCCGATGAAATGGGAGAAAATGAAAAAACAATCCTTCATACAGAAGAATCAAGAAAATTGTAACACAAAAACTACTTTTTGATGTCCTCCAATTTAACCTTCCGTATAATCCCAAAAAAAAAAGGGTAGCAAGAAGAAACTTTGAGAATCATAGCCAACGTGCCAAATAGTCAAATCAGTATGTTCCCATGCCAAATAGTCAAATCAGTAGGTTACAGAATATTTACCATAAGAACTCTCGAGGTATATACAGAGGAGTAATTCGAATGCTACAAGCAACGGTGTAGCGACAACAGCATGGCAAGGAGCCCACTGTACATCAAAATGGATCATAAACATTTTGTTGTAAACATATCAGTACATATTCACAGGAAAATCACATTGAGTGATATATTGCTAAAAGAGGTAAGGAAATGAAAAGGGACATACATGACGGTTACGTGGAGCAACAGGAGCAGGAAGAGAGAATCTTCCCCTTGCAACAACTGCATGAAAAGCCCACAGCGGGAAAAACACCATCCTACATAACCCCCAGATACAGAAATGTTTTTTTTATCAGACCCAAGTAAAAAAGCTGAATCCTTTTGGTTTCTTGAAAGTCATTGGTAAATGCATACCTCTAAAGGATGTAACTTTTTTACCGTCAAGGATACAAAATGCATACATTGAGTTACCAAAAATTGCAAAAACTTAATACAGTAAAAACTATTGACGTGATTGCTTTTGTTTCTATTAACAGCAAAGAGAAACAAGGAATCGGAAATTGTTAAAGGAGCTGCTTTTGCAATTCTCCGAAAGAAAGAAAAAACAGATACTTTGCGTTTGCGTAGACAAAAAACCGTCGCTTCAATTCGAAAGAGACAATCTTTAGCTTCGAAATTCAACGGGGACAAAAGAAAATCCGAAATCCCCAAATTATCAAATCAGGTAAATGATGAAAATTGAAATTGAACAAATCAGAACCAAAAAAAGTGAATCATGCACCACCCAATTTCAGAGGAATTGACAAGTTAAAAGAGAAAAGAGACTAACCACCATGAGGAAGAGACGGTGTGATCAAGCTTAAGCACCAATAAGAGCGTGAAACTGAAGAGTAAGCTATGAGCCGCCAAGGCTTGTATCGACTTGAGCACTCTCCTCCAACTCATCCCTCTATCTCTCTTTCTCTCTTATCACTTAACGAAGAATTTGTCAACTTGTTAGCTTCGAAACCATCTCTATGGGAAAATATCTCTGAAAGTCGATTAATTTGGAGAAAACGCAATTGCTGCAATGTTGTTTTTGATGATGATGGACCCCTGCTTCTTCTCCTTCCTTCCTGTTACGCCTCGTTTTTTTTCCTTTTTCCTTTTTTATAATTTTATTTGCAAAGCAAAAACAAACAAAACCATTATTATTGCTTTGGATTCCTTTTGTTTTTAATCTCTCTCTCTATTTTTTTTTTTTTTTAGCTTTGCTTGCACGCCATAAGTGAAACGCAAACGCGTTCTCAATGTCACTTTCGTTAACTAATTATTATTAATTCATTTTCATAATTTCGTAATTAAGGTGGCTATTAAAGAATTGGACCACTGGGATAATTAAGGAAACTAGAGCTTAATGTCATGTTAGGTAACCGCATTAACGTATTTAATGATTTTTTTTTTCATCCGAAATTAATTAGAATTCAAAAGAGTCATTCATGTGGAATGTTGTTTACAAATATGGTATAAAGCGGTTCTGTACGAATTTTTCGTGCTAGATGATCCGCTTTTACATTAGCATTGCGAGAAATTAATGGTTTCTTCTTATTAATATTCAAAAAGCGTTATGCATTAACTGGACGGTTGATCCAGTAACGCGTAGAAAGTCTAATCGGAGTCTAAGCGATTTTAGACGGTTTAAACGTTTATAATATAAAATATTATAGATAAAATCATACAAAACTATACATTAGGAAAATAAAAATATTAAATCGGAAACAAAAATTTGATAAAAACGTTTTTTTAATTTATATCAAATATTTTGACAAAAAAAAAAATTATATCAAATATTATATGAACGTTTATAACCATGTATAGAAGTAAAACTTATAAATCTAAATTTGTGTAGTTAGAAATCGAAAAAAAACACAAAAACAAAATTTATGTTATTTAGGCGGTCAAAACGATCATATAGGCGTCACCTAAACGCTTAAAGCCTAATCGGGCCTAGACTACCACCTAAATCGCTTTTTAGAACACTGCTTCTTATGTCATAATAATGGATTTACTTGTTCTTTTCTTTTTGGATAGTTGAAGAATCTAACTTTTTCTTTATAAAAAAGTATAAAGTTTTGTTTCCACTAATATTTAAATGCTTTTAATTTTTTCAAATAAGGGTTACTGATTCAAAACAAAAATAAAAAATGATTTAAAACTTAAATTGAATTTAGCTGAAACTTAAATTAGATATCGCTATTAGATTTACTACATTTGGGATAAAATATCATTTTAGTATAGTAGGAAAAAAAGTCAAAATATTATTATAAAAAAAAAAAAAAAAATCAGCAATTTAAATCGTATAAATGGAAGAAGACCCCACATTAACACGATCTCTCACGCTCCTTTTCCATGGCAAGTCGTGACTTATCCAAATAGGCAAATAAAAATGACAAACAACTCAATTTGTATTAAAATATTTTTATGATTGTGACTTGTGAAAATTAAACAATTGTATTTCTCTTTTTCTATTATGTGTGGGGTGGGGTGAATGAATTTTACAGTTGAGAAAACAAAAACGCTTTAAGCGTTTAAAACCATGATCAATGTTATTAAAAAAACTGAGGATAAATTAATACAACAACAACTACATAATTGGAATTTGGAAGAGAGTCACGACTAGTAACAACAACAAACAACCAACAACAGAGACGTTGACGGTGCTAAAAGTATTAAACTGGTCGCAATTCTGACACAACTTCTTCCTTTCTATTTTTTGTCAATACTGACACACCTTCAACGGACACTCGCAGTGAATCTTGTTTTCTCTTTGTTTTTTTTGTTGCAATACATGAATCTTGTTTTCTATTTTCTCGTCTTTTAGTAAAGAGATTAAAAAATAAAAATAAAAAAAAATTGTAGTAAAGAGACTTCAATACTCAACGTTGGTTTTATACAATTAAGGGAAAAACTGCATATTCCCCTTTAAACTAAGTTGTTTTATCGTTTCCATACACCAAACTTTCTTTTGTGATTATACCTACATGAACTCGAGTTTAATTTGAATTTACTATACGAACAATTGAAATCCGGTCAAAACCAACAAATCGATAAACGATGTTAATATTCTGTTAACAAATGCTGACTAGGATGCCGTGTTTACAGTTTAAGATGCCACGTAATGCCATTAAACGACGTCGTTTTAGTCACTAAATAAATAAAAAAAATCTAAGACTAACATTCTAGAATTGAACACACGACCTCAAGTATTCAGTAGCAGCAACAGAACCAACTGATTTAAGGGAACTTTGGTTATTAATTTATACAAAAAAGTATATATAACTCAATAAATTAAAAATAATAAAAGAAAACCTATTTCTCTCTCTTTACGTTTTCTTCTCCAATCTTCTCTGTAATCTCTTTGAACTTGAATGGCTTCCATTACGAATATATGTAACATGGGTTTATGCATTTCATTCATATGTTATGCAATTTGATTTTAATTTTTTCCCCTGTTTAATAGTGTGGCTTTTGTTAACTGGTCGAGTCAATTAATTGGGTTATTTAGGGCTTTGCTACTTTATTATATGTAAGGCTTACGGCCAAGATAATTAATCAATAAGAAATTCATTCTTTCTTATCATACGATTCAGGTCAATACACGAACCCATGAACTGTGATCTTTCAATTGATGGATAGATCTGATTTCAATCTGATTTTTGGCTATTTATAAGGAGGTCCGTCGTGTTGAAGATTGAAGAAGAGGAATCAAAGAGAAAGAAGTCGACTTAACAATAATTAGAAAACAGAAGTCTCATTTGGTCTCAAAAACCTTAATCCCAAAAGTACATAACCTTAATCCTCACTCTTTGTTTCACTCTGTGTCTCGTCTCAAGATCTCTCCCGACGACTCGATTTTGCTCTACAAATGAAATGACGAACCCTAATTCGTGTAAATCCCCAAATAAGAAAACGACGTCGTTTTGTCTCTTTGCCTAATGAGAGTCCAGCTGGACCAAAACACAGTCGTTTAAAATGAACACGTGTCGTCCTCGTCAGCATCTGTTAACGGAACAGTAACACTGCCTAACGATTTGAGGCTTTTCACCGGATTTATAAAGTATGTATTGTAATTTCAAATTAAACTCGAGTTTATGTAAGTATAAACACCGAAGAAAGTTTTGTGTATAGAAACGATAAAGCAAATTAGTTCAGAAGGGAATAGACCGTTTTCCCTACGATTAAGCTTTGAAGATCTCGTCTGGTTTCAACTAGGGGCAGAGTCCAATACTCTCTGGTTCAACTCATTTCTAATTATACGTAACTTGGTTTATGGGCTAATTCATGAGAAACAAAACATTGGGCTTGGCCCTGTAATATGTTCTGCTCACATTTCCAATTGCTGTCATTTTTGGTCACTTGGCTTCGATCCAAACATTTCTATAGTGAGTGAGTTCACAAAAAAAGTCTTAACCAAATAAATGCAAAAAAATATTTTATAAGGAAACTTATAAAGGGCCATTGTTCTTGGCCGCCATTATCCCGGAAAATGTCAAGCAGAGAAAACCCTAGCGGAATCTGCAAGAACATTCCCAATCTCATCTCTTCTTTCGTCGACACTTTCGTTGATTACTCCGTCTCCGGCATCTTCTTGCCTCAAGATCCTAGCCCACAGAATGATATTCTGCAAACGAGGTTCGACAAACCGGAGCGACTCGTTGCAGTCGGCGATCTCCATGGCGATCTCGACAAGTCTAGAGAAGCATTCAAGATCGCTGGTCTGATTGATTCGTCGGACCGATGGACTGGTGGATCCACCATGGTTGTTCAGGTGGGAGACGTACTGGATCGAGGAGGAGAGGAGTTAAAGATTCTTTATTTCTTAGAGAAATTGAAACGAGAGGCTGAGAGAGCTGGAGGTAAGGTTCTGACTATGAATGGCAACCATGAGATCATGAATATAGAAGGTGACTTTAGATATGTGACCAAGACGGGTTTAGAGGAATTTCAGGTTTGGGCTGATTGGTATTGTTTAGGGAACAAGATGAAGACTTTATGCAGTGGTCTTGATAAACCTAAGGATCCTTATGAAGGGATTCCGATGAGCTTCCCTCGTATGAGAGCCGACTGTTTTGACGGAATTAGAGCTAGGATTGCTGCATTGAGACCTGAAGGTCCGATTTCAAAGAGATTCTTGACTAAGAATCAAACAGTTGCTGTTGTTGGTGATTCGGTGTTTGTTCACGGTGGACTTTTAGCTGAGCACATAGAGTATGGACTGGAGAGGATAAACGAGGAGGTTAGGGGTTGGATTAACGGGTTGAAAGGAGGACGATATGCACCTGTGTATTGTAGAGGAGGAAACTCTGTAGTTTGGTTGAGGAAATTCTCGGAAGAGATGGCTCACAAATGTGATTGTGCAGCTCTTGAGCATGCTCTTTCCACTATTCCCGGGGTTAAGAGGATGATCATGGGACACACAATCCAGGATGCTGGTATCAACGGTGTTTGTAATGATAAAGCCATTAGGATCGATGTGGGCATGTCCAAGGGATGTGCTGACGGACTGCCTGAGGTTTTGGAAATCCGCAGGGACTTGGGTGTGCGGATATTGACATCGAATCCATTGTATAAGGAGAACCCGTATTCTCATTTAGCTCCTGATAGTAAAACGGGTCTCGGGTTGCTGGTACCAGTTCCTAAGCAAGTGGAAGTCAAAGCTTGAAGACCTTTTAGTAAACACTAGCCCGATACTCTTATGTTTAGATGATTGATGCCTTGCAAGTCTAGCATTGGCGGATTCTTTGTATGAACATCAGTAAACATCTTCTTGGAGCATAATTGTAGTTTCTATTATCAAAAAGATAGATAATGCTTGTAGCAATATGGAACATTATATCTGATTCAACATAATTGTTAAAGGTCTATACATGTTTTGATGTTTGATTTACTAATTCAACTCCATACTGAATCAAACTCAATTGCTTGAGGTAATGTAATCAAATCACTCTCATACAAGAAATTCTCAGAGAGAAACTAAACAGATTCTGTATTTCTATGACAATTAGCTTCTACGTGTTTGGATAATCTGATGGCTTCTGTTCTGCTTCCATTGCCACAATTATCCGTATTGTTTGATTATCGCCGGAGCCGTAAAGAGTCAAGCTTTCCTCGCGCCGACTACAATTCCAACGCCATTTCTTCTAATTCGACCAACGCCAATCATTTCCTTCGTCGGATTTCTAACTTCTGTGAAACCGGAGACCTCGACAAGTCCTTTCGAGTTGTCCAGGAATTCGCTGGTGATGACGAGAGCTCGTCCGATGTGTTTCTTCTTGTCCGAGAAGCTCTCGGGCTTCTCTTACAAGCTTCTGGGAAGAGAAAAGACATTGAAATGGGGAGAAAGATCCACCATTTGGTTTCTGGGTCGACCCGGTTAAGGAGTGATGACGTTCTCTGCACCCGTATTATCACCATGTACGCTATGTGTGGCTCTCCTGATGATTCTCGTTCTGCTTTTGATGCCTTGCGGAGTAAGAATCTCTTCCAGTGGAATGCTGTGATCAGCTCTTACTCAAGAAACGAGCTTTACCATGAAGTGTTAGAGATGTTTATCAAGATGATCTCAAAGACTCATCTTTTACCGGATAATTTCACTTTTCCATGTGTGATTAAGGCTTGTGCTGGGATTTCTGATGTTGGGATTGGGCTTGCGGTTCATGGGTTGGTGGTGAAGACCGGATTGGTGGAAGATCTTTTTGTGGGTAACGCATTGGTGTCTTTCTATGGAACACATGGTTTTGTTTCTGATGCCTTGAAACTGTTCGATATAATGCCTGAGAGAAACTTGGTTTCCTGGAACTCAATGATTCGAGTGTTTTCTGATAATGGTTTCTCAGAAGAAAGTTTCTTGGAGAAATGATGGAGGAAGGTGATGATGGTGCGTTTATGCCGGATGTTGCTACAGTTGTTACTGTGTTGCCGGTTTGTGCAAGAGAAAGAGAAATAGGGGTGGGGAAAGGTGTTCATGGGTGGGCGGTGAAACTGAGTTTGGACAAGGAACTAGTCGTTAACAATGCCTTAATGGACATGTACTCTAAATGGGGCTGTATAATTGATTCACAAATGATCTTTAAGTTGAACAATAACAAGAATGTGGTTTCTTGGAATACAATGGTAGGTGGCTTTTCAGCAGAGGGGGACATACATGGGACGTTTGATCTTCTGAGACAGATGCTGGCAGGAAGCGAAGACGTCAAAGCGGACGAGGTAACCATTCTAAATGCAGTGCCAGTTTGTTTTGATGAATCAGTCTTACCGAGCTTGAAGGAACTTCATTGTTACTCCTTAAAACAAGAATTTGTATACGATGAGTTATTAGCCAATGCCTTTGTTGCTTCTTATGCAAAGTGTGGCTCACTGAGTTATGCCCAGCGTGTGTTTCATGGAATAAGGAGTAAAACATTGAACTCTTGGAATGCTTTGATTGGCGGCTATGCTCAGAGCAGTGATCCGAGATTGTCCTTGGATGCCCATTTGCAGATGAAAAATTCTGGATTGCTACCTGATAATTTTACTGTCTGCAGTCTTCTCTCAGCTTGTTCTAAACTAAAATCCCTGCGGTTGGGAAAGGAAGTGCATGGGTTTATAATCCGAAATTGGTTAGAAAGAGATTTGTTTGTTTATTTATCAGTACTCTCATTATACATTCATTGTGGGGAGCTATGCACTGTACAGGTATTATTTGATGCAATGGAAGATAATAGCTTAGTATCTTGGAATACTGTAATCACTGGACACCTTCAGAATGGATTTCCTGAGAGAGCTTTGGGTTTGTTTAGACAAATGGTTTTGTATGGAATCCAGCCTTGTGGGATTTCTATGATGACTGTGTTTGGTGCGTGTTCGCTGCTACCTTCTCTTCGACTGGGGAGAGAAGCGCATGCTTACGCTTTGAAGCACCTCCTGGAGGACAATGCGTTTATTGCATGTTCTATAATTGATATGTATGCCAAGAATGGTGCTATAACGCAATCATCTAAGGTTTTTAACGGCTTGAAGGAGAAAAGTGCAGCGTCATGGAATGCCATGATAATGGGATATGGAATGCATGGGCGAGCAAAAGAGGCTATCAAACTCTTTGAAGAGATGCAAAGAACAGGTCGTAACCCTGATGACTTAACTTTCTTAGGTGTTCTAACGGCTTGCAACCACAGTGGTCTGCTCCATGAAGGGCTGAGATATCTGGATCAGATGAAGTCTTCCTTTGGGCTAAAGCCAAATTTAAAGCATTACGCTTGTGTCATTGACATGCTAGGCCGAGCTGGGCAACTAGACAATGCTCTAAGGGTTGCTGCAGAGATGTCTGAGGAACCTGACGTTGGAATTTGGAATTCTCTGCTCAGCTGGTGCAGAATCCATCAAAATCTGGAAATGGGAGAGAAAGTTGCTGCTAAGTTATTTGTATTAGAACCAGAAAAGCCTGAGAATTATGTTCTGCTTTCCAACTTATATGCAGGATTGGGGAAATGGGATGATGTGAGACAAGTGAGGCAGAGAATGAAGGAGATGAGTTTACGAAAGGATGCTGGATGCTCTTGGATCGAACTAAACGGAAAGGTTTTTAGCTTTGTTGTCGGTGAAAGATTCTTAGATGGTTTTGAGGAAATCAAAAGTCTTTGGAGTATATTGGAGATGAAGATATGGAAGATGGGATACAGACCAGACACAAGTTCAGTACAACATGATCTAAGTGAAGAGGAGAAGATCGAACAGTTAAGGGGACACAGCGAGAAGCTTGCCATTACCTATGGATTGATCAAAACTTCAGAAGGAACAACTCTTAGAGTTTACAAGAACTTAAGGATCTGTGTGGACTGTCACAATGCAGCGAAGTTGATCTCCAAAGTCATGGAAAGGGAAATAGTTGTGAGAGACAACAAAAGATTTCATCATTTCAATAAGGGGTTTTGTTCTTGTGGAGATTACTGGTAAGTAAGACACTATAATCAAATTGGTGAAAATAGATGCATTACTATATGTGTATTTATGTTCAGACGACACAACCGTCAATGTTAATATGTTATAGTAAGCTTTTTGTTTTGTGTTTGTTATAACAACATTATATAGATTATAAACCAAACTGATATATATAGTTATATACCAAGTGAAACTGATGAAACATTTGAAACTGAACTTTTTTCTATGGGAAACAAGTTTTAAATCTCTCATTGGTCAGTGCTACTGCTCACTATATATAACGCGGATCTACATTCTATCTTCACAAAAACAGGAAGAGAAGCAAGAAGCAATGAAGACTTCTAGGAGCAATTGAGCATCATCGTCTTCTTCTTCTTCTTTGTGACCTTCCTCAGCCATCTCTGCTGCTTCCTTAAACCCTGAGGAATTTTTTTTTTTTTTGTTAATAACCCTGAGGAAATTGCATACAAAGAAACATAAACCGTGTCACAACCAATCGGCATTTGTCAAAGATCGTCTTTTGATTGAAAATGTGTTGCTCGCCACCGAACTGGTTAAAGACTATCATAAGAGCTCGGTCTCTACCCGTTGTGCTATAAAGATTGATATCTCAAAAGCTTTCGACTCGGTTCAATGGTCTTTCCTAAATAAAGTACTATCGGCATTGAATTTTCCACCTATGTTTATTCACTGGATTATGTTGTGTGTTTCCACGGCATCGTTTTCGGTTCAGGTAAATGGGGAACTAGCAGGGTACTTTAGAAGCTCACGAGGTTTTCGACAGGGCTGCTCCCTCTCACCATACTTGTTTGTGGTAAGTATGGACGTGCTTTCAAAACTTCTAGACAAAGCTGCGGCAGAAAAACAGTTTGGTTACCATCCAAGGTGTAAGGCTCTAGGTCTTACTCACTTAAGTTTTGCGGATGATCTCATGGTTTTATCGGATGGAAAAATACGGTCTGTGGAAGGTATTGTTGCCGTCTTTGATGAGTTTGCAAAATACTCGGGTTTAAAAATAAGTATGGAGAAAACGACGTTGTATTTGGCTGGGAATTCTTGTACGCCTACACAATTGGCTGCACAGTTTCCGTTTGAAATAGGAAAACTACCAGTGCGTTATCTAGGCCTTCCTTTGGTTACTAAACGATTATCAGCTGCGGACTATATGCCTCTGCTTGAGCAGATAAAGAAAAGGATTCAGACTTGGACTGCACGTTCCCTCTCTTTCGCTGGCCGTCTCAATTTAATATCATCAGTCTTATGGAGTGTATGTAATTTTTGGATGGCTGCATACCGTCTCCCAAATGAATGCATTCGGGAAGTTGACAAAATCTGTTCTGCATTTCTCTGGTCCGGTCCGGACTTAAATTCGCATAAAGCAAAGATCTCTTGGGTCAATGTTTGCAGGCCAAAGCAGGAAGGCGGATTAGGGCTGCGCTCGCTGAAAGAAGCAAATAATGTCTGTTGTCTAAAGCTCATTTGGCGAATAATCTCAAATGGTGACTCACTGTGGGTTAAGTGGGTCCAAACAAACCTCCTCAAAAAATCACCAATCTGGTCTATAAACAAAAACACAGCTGCAGGTTCTTAGATTTGGAGAAAGATACTCAAATATAGAGAACTCGCAAAGTCTTTTTGTAAAATGGAAGTAGGAGATGGGCAGCTCACTTCGTTTTGGTACGACAATTGGACATCAATGGGCAGATTAATGGAACTGGTGGGCACTCGGGGGACGATTGATCTTGGGATCAAGAAAACGAGCTCTCTAGCAGATGCTTGGGCGCATAGACGCAGGAGACACCACCGTATAACTCAGCTTAATTCAATAGAGGATGCTTTATACGCACAATGGCAAAAACGAAATGACAACAAGGACAAGGCTCTCTGGAGGGGAAAAAATGATACATTCAGACCAATGTTCTCAACAAAGGACACATGGAATCATATTCGAACAACGGCTAACACAGTCTCTTGGCACAGGGGAGTTTGGTTCGCACACGCAACACCAAAACACTCATTCTGCATGTGGTTGGTTGTTCAAAACAGATTACCTACGGGAGATCGCGTGAGTAAATGGAAGGGTGGAGCAGCGGGCACATGTGTTTTTTGTCAGAACAACTTGGAGACTCGTGATCACCTTTTCTTTGATTGTCATTACAGCTCTTTGATTTGGGAAGCTTTGGCTAAGGGACTTCTAAAGGCACGATACACAACCAACTGGTCTCTTCTAGTTGAGTATGTTTCGGAAAATCAACTTGAGAGAGTGGAGGGTTTTCTCATCAAATATGTGCTTCAAGTGGTGGTTTACACGATCTGGAGAGAAAGGAATGGAAGGAAACATGGCGAAAACCCACAAACGGCGGAACAGATCACGGGCTGGACTGATAAGCAAATAAGGAATCAGATTTCGGCAATTCGTCTACTAGGAGATCGGCGATACGACGAAGCCTACCAAGCTTGGATCAACTCCCGAACTTAAGAAGACTGTTTTAGCAATTCAGTTCTAAATTATATTTTTGATTTATTTTCAGCGAAATGTTGCACTAGTTGTACAAACGAATATTTTTTCTTTTGAATATAATTTAACATTAGATTCAAAAAAAAAAAAAAAAAAAAGAAACCGTGTCACAACCTCCAAGCTCTTCACTCTAACTCAAGACATCAAAGTACGACTTTCTTGTGGACAAGTTGTGTAGAGCGTAATGGCTCGTGCCGTCATGGCCTCTGTGAGGATAACCGGAAACTATGTTAAGGCGATGTGTAATGTGTTTGGAAATGATGAGAAGAAAGTGAAAGGGTATGTTGTGAAGAAATGGTTGGGTCTAGTTTAGCTTGTACGATACATATGTTCTTGTCCAATGTTATTGTCTTTAGTGATAGAGTATTAGTCTATTAACAATTAGCTAAGGTTTTCATCGGTAAAGTCAAAAAAGATTATGCAAATTAAAACGACCGAATTAGTAAATTATACTCAAAAGTAAAAAAAAAAAAAAAACTTACAAATATTATGCAAAATTAATTCACAAATTTATGAATAATAAAATATCAATTCCATAAAAAGTACTATATCATCAAAAAATTGTGAAAAAACAGAGAGATTTATTCGTTTCTGTTATTCTTCTTTTTGCTACCGATGTGATTGAGAACCCACTTAACTCATAGGTTAATCAGTCTCGGATAAGAACATTCGAACAATTACCGACACACAAAAACTTTGAAGAAAAAAAGAAAAGAATATGTTGTCGAGATTGTTCAAGGCAGGTGAAAAGGTTTTGTTGAATCTCGTTAGCAAGAAAGACCTTCACATGGCGTCGAGGAATCAGGAGAAATCTCCCAAAGTGCAAGAGCTTTACGACCTCTGCAAAGAGACTTTCACTGGCAAAGCTCCTTCTCCTGCTTCCATGGCTGTCCAAAAACTATGCTCTGTGTTGGGTATTTTTCTTTCTCCTTTTGTCTCTGTTTGATTTTCCCCGACTGCGATACGTTTTTTTGCAATTTCAGCTAGTTTTGATCGAATCAGTGACTTATTTGAAGCGATCTACAAGATTTAGTTAAAGGGTTTTAGGTTGTATTGTTGGATTTGAATCAATGTGCAAACTCATTTGATTTGTGAATCCCACCAAATCTGGGCAATTGCAATTTGAAATCGTCAGAGTCTCTGAGAAGTGCAAAGCTTGTCACTTTGATGTATACATGAGGCAATTTAGGACTTTTATAGAAGATATATATCAATCTATTCTACATAGAGGGACTATTAGGATCAGTGATTTTATGGTTCATTGTGGTGAGAGTTGAAGTTAGAATTTGGGTAATGTTTGTTTTATAAGCAGAGGTGTGATTTGGTGTTTGGTCATTCTTGTGTGCAGACTCAGTTAGTCCTGCAGATGTTGGGCTTGAAGAGGTATCTCAAGACGACGATCGAGGCTACGGAGTTTCTGGGGTTAGCCGTTTCAACAGAGTAGGACGATGGGCACAACCGATAACATTCTTAGACATTCACGAATGTGATACTTTTACAGTAAGTCTTTGATTGATACTGTTTTCTTTCTGCTGATCAATCAAGAAATCTAAAACACAAGTGTTTATCTGTTCTTCTTCAGATGTGTATTTTCTGCTTCCCAACATCTTCAGTGATTCCATTGCATGACCATCCAGAGATGGCTGTGTTTAGCAAAATCCTCTATGGATCACTTCATGTTAAAGCTTACGATTGGGTTGAACCTCCATGTATTATCACACAAGATAAAGGCGTGCCCGGTTCTCTTCCAGGTTATTGTTAGTTTCTCATCTTGGGTTTCACTTTGTATCATTGATAATTAAGACTTCTTGCAACTACTTGTAACAGCAAGGTTGGCCAAATTGGTGGGTGACAAAGTTCTTACGCCTCAGTCTGAGATACCGGTGTTGTACCCAAAGACTGGAGGCAATCTCCATTGCTTCACTGCACTGACTCCATGTGCGGTGCTTGACATCCTCACACCTCCTTACAAAGAAAGTGTTGGCAGGAGTTGCAGTTATTACATGGACTATCCGTTTTCCACTTTCGGTATGCAAACTTTTTCTTCTAACTACTCTTTTTTTTTCCTTGAGAAGAACATTATGTTACTCTGTTTTCTTTTACCGGTGGTTTTTTCCCTTTGGATTGATAATAATAGCATTGGAGGAAGGAATGAAGAAGGTGGAAGGAAAGGAAGACGAATACGCTTGGCTTGTACAGATTGACACACCCGATGATCTTCACATGCGTCCCGGATCATATACTGGTCCAACTATCAGGGTCTAGATTTTTGTGGTTGGTTTTGTAGCGACGTAGAGCAACTCTTGTATCATTCCAAGATAAGTCTCTGGAGAAGATATCAAAATACAAATTTCAGATGAAAGATGAACTCTTTGATTAGTCCATCCATGACCACTTCTCACACGCACGCACGCAAGCAAAGATGAACTCTTTGATTAGTCCATGTCCGCTTGGGAGATAATTTCCACGTGGGCCATAATAAAAATAAATAAAAACCAAATTTAAAAATAAAGTGAAGAGTGACGAGAAGATTTTAGTACTACTGAATCAAAGTTAGCCGCCGCCGCCGTCACGTTAAACCTTCGTCTCTATCTCTCTCTCTCTCTCTCTCGACCTCTCCTGCAATGGCGTCTTCGCTTCTGAGAAACCCTAATCTCTACTCATCAACAACAATCACCACCGCTCCTTTTCTTCCCACCGTCTCCTCTAACCCCACACCTGTCTCCTCCTTCCGTTTCCAACCATCCCACCACCGTTCAATCTCCCTCCGAAGTCAAACCCTCCGTCTCTCATGCTCAATCTCAGATCCTTCTCCACTACCACCTCACACTCCTCGCCGCCGCCGTCCTGAATACATCCCTAACCGCATTTCCGATCCAAACTACGTCCGTGTCTTCGATACAACTCTCCGTGACGGTGAACAGTCTCCAGGAGCTACACTCACTTCCAAGGAAAAGCTCGACATCGCTCGTCAGCTAGCTAAACTCGGTGTTGACATTATCGAAGCTGGGTTTCCAGCTGCTTCTAAGGATGATTTTGAAGCGGTTAAGACTATAGCTGAAACAATTGGAAACACTGTTGATGAGAATGGTTATGTTCCTGTTATCTGTGGACTCTCTAGATGCAATAAGAAGGATATTGAGAGGGCTTGGGATGCTGTCAAATACGCTAAACGGCCTAGGATTCATACTTTTATCGCTACGAGTGATATTCATTTGGAGCATAAACTGAAGAAAACCAAAGCAGAGGTCATCGAAATCGCTAGGAATATGGTTAGATTCGCGAGAAGCTTAGGCTGCGAAGATGTCGAGTTCAGTCCAGAAGATGCAGGAAGGTTCGATTTTTCTTGATATTCTTTGGTAAAGATTCGTCCTTCTCTTTTTCTGTTTATGTAAAAATGCTTTTTTTTTTTTGTTCTGTAGATCGGAGAGGGAGTACTTATACGAGATTCTTGGTGAAGTGATTAAAGCAGGAGCAACAACACTGAATATACCTGATACTGTTGGTATAACTTTGCCTAATGAGTTTGGTCAATTGATTACTGATTTAAAGGCCAATACTCCAGGGATTGAAAATGTTGTCATCTCAACACATTGTCAGAATGATCTTGGACTCTCTACGGCCAACACTTTATCTGTATGTCTCTTTTTTTACTGGGAACAACTTAGCTGATTCAAATCGTTGGATATATGTAATGCTAATGTGTTTGTGATAACCTATTTGAATTCAGGGGGCACATGCAGGTGCCAGGCAGGTGGAAGTGACGATCAATGGAATCGGGGAAAGAGCTGGAAATGCTTCACTGGAAGAGGTCAGACTTTTATTATTTTGTCAAGACATGTGAACCTCTCCTGCATTGATTTTTTTTGGGGGCTTGATCTTACTGAGTAAGAAGATTCTTAGTGTATAGGCACATATTGTGAGCAAGATAATCTGTAGAACCGAGTACTACTTTTTCATTATCAGTAGCAGTGCGAAGTTTGGAATTATATTCTTTAGTAAGATTTTAAAAGGCTAAATTTCTATGTAATGAGTCTTAGTATAGCCTTGGCTACAATTACCTCAAGAAGAACATGTGGAGGTAAAGTTGAGAGATATTGGGTTAGAAAGTTGGCTATTTTCCATCATTCGCTACTTGGATATTTTGTCTCAGGGAGGGCATTATCCATTATAGACTTTCAGTTTATATTCTGCGTGCGCTGCAACGGGAGATAAAATCCTTACCTGATGATTTTCGTGTAAGTGTAGGTTGTGATGGCCATAAAATGCCGTGGAGATCATGTATTAGGAGGTCTATTTACCGGAATTGATACTCGGCACATTGTTATGACAAGCAAGATGGTACCACTCTTGGACTTCATTCTTTAAATTGGGAAGACAATTATTAATTATTCCAAGAAGGGGAAAAATTTTGTAGATTTCCATATAAGTTTTCTCATACTCGTGGCTTGTTTTCTCAGGTGGAAGAGTACACAGGAATGCAGACACAGCCACATAAGGCTATTGTAGGAGCGAATGCCTTTGCGCATGAAAGTGGTATCCATCAGGTCAGCTCAAAAAAATCATCTTTATTTGATTATTTCTTTGATGAGATGTGATGAGGTTACACAATATGCTTATGATCCCATCCTTTCATATCCATTACCTATGAACAAGACGAATAAATAATTAAGCTCTAAACTGTTTTGACTTGCATGTTCACTCTTTCAGTTTGCTACATAACGGTCCTCTTTTCTTCATTATTATTGTTCATGACTGTTTTACTTTTTCAGGATGGAATGCTAAAACACAAGGGTACATATGAAATTATATGTCCCGAAGAAATTGGACTTGAACGATCAAATGATGCTGGCATTGTCTTGGGGAAGCTTAGGTATGAAATTTTATCTTGTTTTGCCTGTAAACTCCCAATTCTTCTTTTTCTTGTTCAAACAATGCAACTAGCATGTATTTGGTGCATATTCTCTACATAATTCGCCTGAGATGCTGAATATTTCAAGACATTATTTGTCGTACACTACATATGTGTTTGAAACCTGAAATCTAACTGTTGGTTTCTGCTTTTGCTTGGATATAATATTATGCAGTGGGCGTCATGCGCTGAAAGACCGTTTGACTGAGGTACACAGCAATCATACACGTACTCATACTCAGTACTACTATCTTTGTGGGAGATACTAATCTCTTATCTTTTCTACATGTCCAGCTTGGTTATCAATTAGATGATGAACAGCTAAGTACCATTTTCTGGCGTTTCAAAACTGTGGCTGAGCAGAAAAAGGTAGTTGCTTCTGCGTATCGTGTTATTTTACTCAGAAGTCTAGCTTGCGTTTTCAATTCCAAATAAAAGCTTTGCAGCGATTTTGAGAGGTTCATTAGACTCTATAATAGTTGAGTTTCTGTGGCTAGTCTGGAATGTTATTCCCATTTATACTTTGTTTTCCGTAGCTGTGGCTGCAGAGACTTAGGATGAAAGAGGATTGCTCTTTCTATTATTTAGTGCTCTTGAGGTTTAATGTAATGTCTCCTGATCGTATATGTTTCCTTGCTGATCCAGAGAGTTACCGATGCGGACATAATAGCTTTAGTATCTGATGAAGTTTTCCAGCCAGAAGCCGTGTGGAAACTCCTGGACATTCAGGTGAAATTGGGATGTTTCCCTCCTTTTCCTGCTAGGATTGGAAATCAAGATGTGCTTTTTTAGTCCCTTCTCTTGTTCATTGTCTTGAGCCAATTCTCATTGTACTTAAAAGTGGAATGCAGATAACTTGTGGAACTCTCGGGCTTTCAACAGCAACTGTAAAACTTGCTGACACTGATGGCAGAGAACATGTCGCTTGTTCCATTGGAACTGGGCCTGTCGATTCAGCTTACAAGGCAGTCGATCTTATCGTAAAGGTACTGTTTATACCACTGAGGCTCTCATTTCACCAGGTGATCAGTTATTGAAAACTTTTTTCCCCTTAGGAACCTGCGACCCTGCTTGAGTACTCAATGAATGCAGTAACAGAAGGGATCGATGCCATCGCAACCACACGAGTTCTTATCCGTGGAAGCAACAAGTACTCATCTACAAATGCAATAACTGGTGAAGAGGTTCAAAGGACCTTTAGGTAAAATCCTCTGTTCCACCATATCTTATTCCAACCGGATCGATTATCTACAAAGATTTTTTTTCTGTTGATGAGTAGTAGTTATAACATCGAACCGGCTGTCGTGTTTGGCAGTGGAACTGGAGCAGGAATGGATATTGTGGTGTCAAGCGTCAAAGCTTATGTAGGAGCCTTGAACAAAATGATGGACTTCAAAGAAAACTCCCCCACAAAAATCCCTTCCCAAAAAAACAGAGTCCCTGCCTGAATTAAAAATCTTTCCGGCAAAAACCAAAGTCAGGCAAAAGTTAGGTTCTTTTCTTTTCAAGTACATAGTTTGGTAATAACTGCAGTTTCAGAGTTTGCTTCTTGTTTATCAATGTTGCATGTCAAAAGAGTTTGGTCTTTGGTGTACTATATATATCTTTAGTCAACTTAAATCTCTAATTTTAGAAATAATGGTTTTAGAATAAGGAATAAAACCAACTGTTAAACAGTTTAACCTATTCCAAAAAGCTGTCCTTAGACTAAACTAAGGTCTTAAAACTCAAAAAAAAAAAGAAAAACTGATACCTCTCTGTTCTTGATTCTTTGTCTCTTTGTTACAACTTCTTCATATATCACGACTCAAAGCATTTTCTCTGCGAGTCTTTTTAGATTTCCGGAT